GATTTTTTGGTCTTTAACCTACTGGAACATTACACATAATAAAACAGTACAATGTACAGACAATAATTAACTATCCGCATTGTAAAGGATATAGTGAAATTCAAATCATCAGCGACTTTCTGAAAAATAGACATTAGTTGGGTAAACCTGTATCACTTTTTGTGTCATTAGTCAGGGGCCTAATGGAAACAGGTTATTTGAAAAATAATTTGTAAGTTATTGTACACACACAATTTTTTTTTTAATGATAACTTATATAAGTTACTTTTATGTCCTACTTGGACATAGATTTCTTGGGGTTTTTGGAATTTCCTGCCAAATGTAATTGCATTTTGGGATTCCATTATGTAATACAAGATGAAGTGCACAGACTCCATTTGAAAATTGGTGAGGGGGTGGAGACAAATAGCATTTTACTTCTTATTTTGAAGTTTTATTTACATTGTTTTGGTCAAGTTTTTATCATTAAATAAGTAATTTTTCCCAGTGTTCCCAAGATTTTGGACAATTTTTCTGGATTGAGCAAGGTTTAAATTTAACCAAACTTTTGTTTTTGTCTTGATGCACAAGCAAACGCCTTTGGTGCACGGGGTGTGAAGTTTGGGGGAAATGACACTAAATAACTTGAACAAGTTATCATTTTATTGAAACTATTTTGGAAAGATAACTTGTTTGAGTTACAAATGATGGGAAAAGCTAAGAGAGGTAACTCACTGTGACCAAAAAATAACTCATTTGAGTTTACCATTATTAAGATACAATTTAGTATTGGATGTGTAATTTCATATCAGACATCAACATTTTCAAACAGAAGCTGTTTCTAACTGAAAGGCAGTTTATGCAGATATCTATTCATTATAATGCCTTTGACAGTTACTCAGCATTTTTACACATATTTGAAAGATTTGTCAGTAACTTGATAAAATTTCATTAACTGTTTTGTAATAATATTGACTGACTGACATTAGCATAAACTGTTATTTTTACCCTTTTTATCTCACCTCAACAAGGTCGAGATATGCTATGCCCCTGGCATTGGCATCGGAGTTGGCATTAGCTTTGGCATCCCTGGAGTTAAAGTTCATTCAAGTAACTATAAGCCCTACCTGGACCAAACTTGCATGGATGATCCATCTAATGATGGACACTATCAGACTTGCTTTGGATGCTGGGAAGACCTACCGGTACATTTTCCAGATGAGTGATCAGGTTTAAGTTTTTGGAGTAGGTCCATTCCCAATTAACTTCAAGCCCTATCTGGACCAAACTTACATGGATGATGCATCTCAGGATGGATACTACCAGACTTGCTCTGGATGCTTGGGGATTTTTTTGACTACCCTTTTCATGTAATGGGGGAAAATGAGAACTGTTGAAAGACATTAAGTGATGGAGGTGTGAATATACTATATATGGGAGTCCAGGGGCATGTCCCCATGGAAATTTTCAGATAAATGTTGCAAAATCTGCATCCTGAGAGCTAATCTGGGGTTATTTCTAGACTATCATAAATTAATATTGTATAAATGGTGCCTGTTTTGGAGGGTAACAGTTGAAATTGACACCCCAAGGAAAACCATTGTCAACTGACGCGTCAGCGGAGGTTGACAGTAGTTTTCTGAGGGATGTCAATTTCAACTGTTACCCTCCCAAACAGGCACCATTTATTTTATTATACTGAATGACTTATTGATTTAGGATGTCAGCAAAAAAAAAGTTCGTCTGTACATTCACGTTTAGAAAGCTTTCAAATTCCCTGCTTCTATTTTTCTCAATAAGAAAGCTTTGAAAAACATTTACCGACCTCTTTATTGTTTGTTTGATACTCAAAGAGTCCTTTATCATCTAAAGTTTCCTTATTTCTGCACTCGCAAGAATGTTTCGTCTGTTGTTTGTTGTTTTCAAGTAAGTTACATCGGATGCAAGCTTTTATTGACGTCAAGTTTATTTGTCTTCTTTCAAATGCACAACGGACATTTTGAGAATTATACGGTAAACCATACGTGCATGATTTGCACGCATGTAACATTTTCGTTGTGTTACCCGTTGTCAAGTGTGTTGCTAATGCTGAGGGTGACATTACGGATTGTTAACTGCATCTAAACCAATCAGATTTTAGTATTTAACATGAAAGTATAATAAATTTTAAATGTTACATGTTTGTTTAATCAGGAAATTTTTCATAACTTAAAGGGGAATTTTTGACATTTTTTCCAAAGAGAAAAGGTACTGTTTACTGGTAGTTAAAATAGGATTGATAAATCCCTGATGCTGGATCTGACCTACATTTTCGGATGAGTTAACAGATCAAGGCTCTACCTGGGCCAACCTTGCATGAAATCAGGATGATGCATGTATGGATGGATACTACCAGATTTGCTTCAGATGTTAGATATGACCTAGATTTTCCAGATGAGTGACCATGAGGTTAAAGTTTTTGGAGCAGGTCCATTTCCAAGTAACTATAAGCAGTACCTTGACCAATCTTGCATTGATGTATCTAGGGATGCATTCTACCAGACTAACTTTGAATGCTGGATCTGACCTACATTTTCTAGATTCGTGAACAAAATACAGTTTTTGGAGCAGGTCCATTCTTAATTAACTGTCCATCCTGCCTATACCAAACTTGCATGGATGATGCATCTAGGGATGGACACTACCACACTTGCTTCAGATGCTGGATCTGATCTTCATTTTCCAGATGACCAGGTTAAAGTTTTTGGAGTAGACCCATTCCCAAGTAACTATAAGCATTACCTGGACCAAGCTTGCATAGATGATGTATCTAAGGATGCATTTTAACGGACTTGCTTTTGATCCTGGATCTGACCTACATTTTCTAGATGCATGACCAGGGTACTGTTTTTTGGAGTAGCTCTTTAACTATATGGCCTGTTATGATTAAACTTGCATGGATGATGCAACTAGGCATGTATACTACCAGATTTGCTTCCGATGCTGGATCTCTCCTACATTTTCTGGATGAGTGAACAGGTTAGATGTTTTGGAGCAGAACCAGTCCCAAGTAAGTGGAAGTCCTACTTAAGCCAAACTTGCATAAATATCAATCTGAGGATGCACACTAACTAGAAAATTTTTTGCGTGGAATTGGGATAAATTTATTCCTGACATAGTGATTTCAGAGGTCTGATGTTAAATATGAAAAAGAACTACCCATGTTAGGATTTTGTTTTGTTTTTATTTCTCATCAAGAATATTTTCTTTTTCGGTCAGCTATGTAACAAAGTATGCAGGTACACCCTTGCATGAAATTTTTGTCTGTCTAAGGTACATTAAACTTTTGACATTCCAAGTTTACATTTTTATTTTACCTCAGTCACTAGATGCTGGCATTTTAATTTGTCACAGGGAAAAGAAGGCAGTATCTTATCAGTAGTTTTATAAAATTAGCACTTAGTTTATAGAAGTAATCAAACTTCTTTCAAAATATCGATCTGACTTTAACATCTATATTATGACTCAGATGAAGTACAATGTACTCTTAATGATTCGTCTTAATGAATAATTTTTTAAGAAATTAGCACATTTTATAATTTTATCATGTAGGGAAAAGAACTATATTTCATTTACAGGTGAAAATAAAGTGAAAGGCTCTGAGTCTTTTTACATGAGGGTTTATTGAATCTGAAGTTCATATTGAGATTTTGTCAGTTCAGTTATGCCTATAGATATAAAATTCAGACTGATTTCAAAGTCCATCATTTATTTCCTATTATGTACAATGTGGCTAAATTGTCAATGTATGTGCCTGGTTGAGTAAAAATGAAAATAAAATCTGAGATATAAGTTTTCCCTGTAGGTTTGTACATGTATATAGTTTTTAGGTTATAGTATATATTTCCAGGAACTGGTCGATTTCCTTGAGGAAGTGACCTCGTCACTGCTGATTTCCTCGCAGTCAACTCTAGTACTTCATGTTACTAACACTACTACATGTACTACTACATCTAGGTACTTAGTCATGTAAAAGTAGCACCCTTCATTGAAAGCCCCAGAGTCTTAATCTCTTCTTGACTGTCTTCAAGTTGTATTCAAAAATTTATTTTGCCTGTGAACAATTTATTACAATCAAACAGTATACCACTTGCTAGTTTTTAAATACAAGTACAAATGTTTTAGTGGGGGTCTCTAAAATGTACTAATTTAATAACATCTATGGGATCTTCTCAACACTTACTTTGGTCCTTCTCACAAACTTTGAGACATCAGTTTGGGTTTAATTAAGATCTATGAGTATGGTATTTTGTTCATTTGAAAATGATTTTATTAACAAAATGATCTATTTGATATACAAAAAAGTATATTAAAAGAAGTTGAATTATAATGACATGTTATTTGATGTTTCAAACTCCATCAAAAAATTTTACCCAGTAGTATAATGAGCTTCCAAACTAGGCCAGAGGTGTAGTTTTTAAATACAAGTACAAATGTTTAATGGGGGTCTCTAAAAATTACTAATTAACATCTCTGGGATGATCTGATCTCCATCAACACTTAATCTGGTCCCTCCCACAAACTTTGGGGTATCAGTTTGGGTTTGATTGAGATCTGTGAGTATGGTATTTTGTTGTTTTTTTTAAATAATTTGATTAACAAAATGAATAATCTAATTAAACAAAAAAATATAAAAGAAGTCAAATTATATTGACATGTTATTTGATCTTTCAAATTCCATTGAAAATTTTAGTATAAAGAGCTGCCAAACTAGGCCAGAGGTGCACGGTGTTAAATCAGAGATAAGGTGCATGTGTTGTATTACTTTTTGTTGACTCAGACCCCATCCCTAAAACACAGAGTCCCTCACTGATATTTGTCAACTGAGGCTAACTCCATAGACAGAACAGAGACAACTAGCCTTGAACGTACAGTAGATCTGGCAATGAGCATTTAAACTTGTATAATTGTGTGGGTTGACAGACATAATTAGGCAGATGTGTGATTACTTGTCCTTTAAAGTCGGAGGATGTACTACATGTGGTTAAATTCCCCTGTGGTGTGCCCCATTGACTCACCTGGGTTCGCGACCCACATCCTGTCAGAGTCTGTGGACAGTAAACAACGTTCTCCAGATTTAACTGCCTCCCCTTGTGTGTGTTGTGTTGTTTTGTTGCATTCCTTTAAACTTAAATAATCTTTTAAAACAAGGTTGTGTTTCGGAGTGTATTTTCTACTTTTACATTAATAGTAAGTAATTGTACTTTTTGCTTTTTAATATTTGAAATATAATTTCAGTGTATTTTATTTGCTTGAATTTTATTTCATTGTATAATATGAATACTTTTGTTGTAGGTGTTCGTAGCGTATTTAATCTCATGCAGACATATATTTAGTATTTTCCTTGTGCATTAAATGTGTATTGATTATGAATCATAGACTGTGTACATTTAGGTATGTAATCATGATATACATCTGCTGTCAAAAGTTGGATTATTTTAGTGTGACGTGACAAATACAATTTGATTTACCGCAAGGAAGTATTTCTCATACAAAAAGTTGTGAGTTTATGAAAATCAGTGTTCATCTCACTGAGATTCGACGGGAAGTTATTGTAGCAGGATTTGCTGAGTAAAAACTTTTCAATTCTTTTGCATTGTTTTTTGTCAGCTTGAATTGAAAAATGGCAAGTAAAGTGGCCCCTGAACTGTTGAAAGATGTGCGAGCAGAACATCAACTTACCCACGTAAAAACAGAGGAAAAGAACCCTCTGCCCTCCGCTGAAGGTAAGGATTTGCCACAGTACAGTGTTACATCTAAGTATCTTACTAAAAGTTTTTATTTGTCATTATGCCATGTAACCTTATGTTAACCAATCAATCCTTGGAGAGCTGTAATACAAATATTTTTTTCGTTTGGTGACAGATCCTCATAGTGGAAGACTGTTTATAAAATCTATTAAGGCAACAAGTGTCTGTGCATTAGATCAACTAAAAGACAAGTGTCTGTGCATTAGATGATGGAGAAGGCATATCAGATTGAGAAATGTTCTCTCTGATTCATGTACAAACTTACAAGGTTGTTGTTTGTTAAACCCGAGTTTATCTTCATTACTTAGTCTTGCACAATGCTTGCAGGGAGTTTGTGATTATGTAACAGTATTAAGGGGGTGGAGAGAGATGTCATGATTGAGAAATTACAAATGTTGGAGAATGTTTGATGGGCTTTAATTGGGGATTGCATGCTAGCATTATAATTAGAAATTTGCATTGAGAGTGGGGGTTATTTTGATTGGGACTTTTCCCACCTGAATCAGGAACATTGGACTGTCTCTATAGAATCTCACCTGTCTGACAGGAGGTTGGTCCGTTGTGTCATCCAGGTGTACATGTGATTGTTAATTACTCTCTCACCAGATAAACAGTTTTACCTGGCCAGATATATGTTCAGTGCTGGTCTATGACTGATTCGAGTTGTTGTTATTGTATAAAGCACAGATTGGCACATGTTCTGTCAACATGGAGCTCTTCTGTACTGACCAGGCAAGAGGACCTTAAGGGGCCTATGTCCAGTGCCACAACAAAAAGTTCATTCATACATTAGCAGTAAACAATAGAAAGTGATGCAGGACTAGCTCTATATTCTCTTTAGAGATTAGTGGACAGGCTTACATCCAAGCCTGACACTTGTCTGAAGAGAATAGCTCTACAGATACATCAGAACTCCGTCATTGAGTGTCCATTCATTAAATAAAGCTTATGATGACCAAGAAAAAATGAATTTTGATTAATTATCAGATCAATTTAATACTGAGACTAGGAATTATTAAAACATAATAATGTAAGAGGATGCATGACATCAAGACATAAGTGGATTATAAATATAACAATGTTAAAAATTGTATCAAGAGGTTTCAAGATTTCTCAGTTGAACTTTCTATATTGAGTTCAATACTGCTAAACTAATTCTGAACTTAAGCAGATTTGGATGATTTCCTGCTGTCAGTCACAATGGGGTCCTAGTACATCATAGGGAAGATTGGGGGATGACAAGTGAATAAGATAATAGACTGTCATACCACAAAGTAACCCACTCAGAGAAGATTGGGGGATGATGAGTTAGTAAGATAATAGACTGTCATACCACAAAGTAACCCACTCAGGGAAGATTGGGGGATGATGAGTTAGTAAGATAATAGACTGTCATACCACAAAGTAACCATCTCAGGGAAGATTGGGGGATGATGAGTTAGTAAGATAATAGACTGTCATACCACAAAGTAACCCACTCAGGGAAGATTGGGGGATGATGAGTTAGTAAGATAATAGACTGTCATACCACAAAGTAACCCACTCAGGGAAGATTGGGGGATGATGAGTTAGTAAGATAATAGACTGTCATACCACAAAGTAACCCACTCAGGGAAGGGGATGATGAGTTAGTAAGATAATAGACTGTCATACAACAAAGTAACCCACTCAGGGAAGATTGGGGGATTATGGGTTAGTAAGATAATAGACTGTCATACCACAAAGTAACCCACTCAGGGAAAATTGGGGGGGGGGGGGGGGTGACGAGTTAGTAAGATAATAGACTGTCATACCACAAAGTAACCCACACAGGGAAGATTGGGGGATGATGGGTTAATAAGATAATAGACTGTCATACCACAAAGTAACCCACTCAGGGAAGATTGGGAAGTTGATGAGTTAGTAAGATAATGGACTGTCAAACCACAAAGTAACCCACTCAGGGAAGATTGGGAAGTTGATGAGTTAGTAAGATAATGGGCTGTCATACCACAAAGTAACCCACTCAGGGAAGATTGGGGAATAATGGGTTAATAAGATAATAGACTGTCATACCACAAAGTAACCCACCCAGGGAAGATTGGGGAATAATGGGTTAATAAGATAATAGACTGTCATTCCACAAAGTAACCCACTCAGGGAAGATTGGGAAGTTGATGAGTTAGTAAGATAATAGACTGTCATACCACAAAGTAACCCACTCAGGGAAGATAGGGGGATGATGGGTTAGTAAGGTAATAGACTGTCATACCACAAAGTAACCCACTCAGGGAAGATTGGGGGATGATGAGTTAGTAAGATAATAGACTGTCATACCACAAAGTAACCCACTCAGGGAAGATTGGGGGATGATGAGTTAGTAAGATAATAGACTGTCATACCACAAAGTAACCATCTCAGGGAAGATTGGGGGATGATGGGTTGATAAGATAATAGACTGTCATTCCACAAAGTAACCCACTCAGAGAAGATTGGGAAGTTGATGAGTTAGTAAGATAATAGACTGTCATACCACAAAGTAACCCACTCAGGGAAGATTGGGGGATGATGGGTTGATAAGATAATAGACTGTCATACCACAAAGTAACACTCAGAGAAGATCTGGGGGTTGATGGGTTAGTAAGATAGAAACCTAACCACTTTATAGAACAGGAAAACAGATCAATTGTTTTTCTATGAAAGAAACGGGGAAGAAAATATTAAGGAAATTATAAAGATTTTTTAACCTAACAATTTCAGTTTTACTCAAATTTGGGAGATTCATATTTCCCTGTATGTTTATTAATTGTAAACATTCCTGGTACAGTTTTGTATTGATTATGAATTATGATTACTACAGGCATAACCTTGGTCTTTCTACAACAGATCGTTTATTGAGGAGTCTCGACAGAGATAAGTTTTAAATTCCCCGACCCTGCTGTGGTTTACTGTTTATATCTGCCCACTCAGTGCCTGATATCTTTAATTGCTCCCATTGTGGTTACACATCTGTAAAATGTGGATTATTAATGTTGTTTAATACACAGATTCAGTATGAAAAAAAGAATTGTCTCACTGAGGAAACAACTTGAAAATTTAAAACATACCAGAAGCAAAATATAAATGATACTGTGCATTCTTTATAACATATTTTCTTCATTTAAGGTATAGTTTGAGTATTCAGTAGATCTATATACAAGTATATTCAACTGTTTTCACCTGAAAAGTAACTTTTTCCAAAGTTAAAGCTTAAATTTAAGTTTAAAAAAATCTCATTTTACAACCCATATTTTATCCCTTTGGCACCTCCTATATGTAAAGAAGTACTGCATCAAAACTATTCCAAATATGAACAGCGCTTTCATATTAGAGAGTGTAATTCTAGGGCAAAAGGGCGTGAGACATATCTAAGATCCTTGTGTCTAACATTGTATTAAATGACCTGTATATTACAGTGAAACTCGAGAATATCTATTCATTGTTCACTTTAGTATCTAGTGACAATGGATGACCCCCTTCAATCATTTTATGCCTCACGAACTGCAAAATTTCAAGGACATAAATCTTATTTTATATATCCTTACCATAGTAAGCTGTCAAAAAAGAGATCGAAAAAAATACAACCGTGGAACATGGCAATGATAATAAAGAAGAAAATTCGGAATTATTATTTTTTTTTTTTAAATGTTAAATATTTTACACAGATTAGAGCAGATAGGGCATACATGTTTACATCTATACAGCCTGCTCACTGAAACATGTTATATATGTCATAATTGAATAGTGAGTGATTAGAAAAGTTAAATGAAGGAGCAGTAATGTTTTTAAACTAATGGGTCTGAATATAAAAAAAATTCTGTAGCAAGCACAGGAAGCTGGTACATGTTATGATACAGAAATTTAGGTAGAAGACTGGGTTATTTTAGAACTTCTTGTAGTTTTTGTGAGACTGGTGAGCTACAGATCTGCAGTGGTCTACTGTTATTCACTATTAGCTAGCTTTTTGGGTAGTGATTTTATAGAAGTTAGCTATGACTGCTCTTGAATTGTTTAGTAAATTTATTAAAATAAGCTTTAGCACTGTGGAATTTTGTTTTTTGTAATTTTGTTGCTAAAAGCTTGAAATTCTATTGTCTATAAGTAAGTTATAGCTCTATCTTCTATTAGCAGTATTAAACTATGAGTATGAGACTGGGTTTGTTGTGATTATGTAGCATTTAGCTACAGTACATTGCTATTGAGTGTATAGCAAGCTTACAAGCTGTCTCTGTAGACTAGAAGCTACAGTCCATTGCTAATGAGTGTGTATTAATCTCTGTAGACATATAGCTACAGTCCATTGCTATTGAGTGTGTATTAATCTCTGTAGACATATAGCTACAGTATATTGCTATTGAGTGTGTATTAATCTCTGTAGACATGTAGCTACATTGCTATTGAGAGAGGTACAGTACATTGCTAATGAGTGTGTGTAGTAAGCTATAAGCTGTTTCTGTAGACTTGCAGCAGGAGAAATGTCATGAAGAACTTCTTCAGCACGTGGAGACATTTGACTCGCTTCAGCTTCACCGGACTCGCACCAGGGAGCGAGTCATGCTCCCGGACTCGAGTAGTGAGTTCAGTCCCCAGTAGTGAGTTTAGGCGTGACAACTAACAGTTTTGTATTCTGGAGTGATGGATTTTAATCTCACACTGTGTAGTGTGTTATATCTCAGACTTTTTACAGGAGACTTTTCTCCACATCTTTAGCCAGACACATAGAACTTTATCACTGCCTGCACATTCTCATCTGTACTAGAAAGGATTTTCTATCTTTGTAGTACTCAGCTCTATGTTACTGAGAAAACTTAAAGTATATTCAGACCATGTATTTCCTTAAACTAATAAACTTAACCCTTCTAAGCTATATTTTTCTTTCCTTGTTCTTTCAAGTGTATTACCTAAACATTTTAACATGTTCTTTATAGTGTCTTAACACTGTTCAAGTTATGTTCTTATAAAAAGCAGATTTTCTTGACTAGAATGTTGTAATCAGTACAAATTCTCCTGGAATTTGAACAATTAGGAAGAGACTGCTTAAGGCTGTTTTAGGAAAATGCGTAATTGCCTGGATGTTTTTGTACAGAGTTCACTGCCCTTATTTGGTTTTAACTTTTATCATTTGTATCAATGAAAGCTCGCTTATTTTAAAAACTTGGAAAGAATCCAAATGTTTATTTATACAAAGATATCTGAGCGAATTTAAAATTAAGAAAAAAAAAATCATTAATTGTTGGTAAAACAAGCATTAGAAAAGACCAAAATGGACCTTGTCAGAAAATGAGTTTGATTTATAACTATAGTAACACTTGCTTAGAGGGAATATCGGGGGGACAACAGTTTGATTTCTATGATTAAGGTTCCTTGTAAACACATATAGAAGTTTATATGTGTAGAGTGTTAAGAATGTTATCGGAGAGCTTAATTATATATGTAAATGTATACTGACTCTCTGTTAATTGTATGAGTTTTATACTTTGAACTTTACTAGAAAATATGTTAAAGAGAAAAAAAGAGGATAAAACATGATGTTCGTCACGTTCAATCCCCCTGTAAGACTTTCTTAAAACAGTGATTTTTTTCCACAGTTAAGTTGAAGATGGGATGTAATTAATATTTCATTTTCACTTTTTCATTTCCAGTAAAACTGGGTTCTTAATGAACAATTTTTCTCTCAAGTTTGTATTGGGGAATACATGGGGAATTGAAAAGTATTCCTTATGTTAAGCAAGAATTCTTTATATCCAAGTACCAACAAGTACCGGTATTACTGTACATGAAAAAGCACCACTGTGGAATCATTATAATTTGTAGGGGTCAGTGTTTGTAGATAATCATCTTCGCTAGCCAAGGATTTCTGATCCGCTACTCTCCTCACAAACCCTTGGCATACGGTGCAGTCAAAAGTTGGGATTGTTTAGGACACGTGATCTCGAATCTTCCAACATACGCACAAATTGCGTCATCGACAAAAATAAAAGGCGTATTTGAAAATTTCAGTTTTTAAAGAATAATTAACAAGAAGATATCGATCAGTGTTGATTTGTTATTTATCGTACAAATCTACATCTACAATAAGATTCCTGATCACAATATTTGTACATCAGCATAAGATTGGATGACACCATATCTATTTATAGAGTAGCATGTTATCTTATGAATTGTTGTTTACTTGTGTTTTTCATTCCCGAGACTAAAGAATCAAGATATATCACAAAGGCAAATATCATCATTTACAAAAGCAGTTCGCTGATTGTTCGAACGATGTCAATCAACTCCAATCACAACTCGAGGAAAAAAAAAAATTTAATAGCACCGTATGCCAAGGATTTGTGAGGAGAGTAGTGGATCAACAACCCTTGGCTAGCGAAGATGGTAGATAATCAAAATTTTAACTTGTTCTTGGGGATGTTATTTCATGGGAATCTCATATATATACAAAAGATTCAGTGAAATGATACAAAGTTGCTGTTTTTGGGGATGACCCATGAAATCCAGGAACAATTGTCCTCCATGAACATTGATGATTCCGCAGGCTTCCCTGGACATTGGACAGAGTTTCAGTGCTTGAGTGCCTTGTTTCTGTTATGCAGTGATGTTTATAATGAAAAAGGGATTTCTTTCTGTCACAAACACTCAATTAGCATTTAATGAAAAGAAAAATTAAAACTATTTTAATTGGGAAACTTTATTAAAACATTAATGGAAATATAAATAAAGTCAGCATGTATGCATGTTTTAAATGATTGTTCTTATTTTCAATTAAGTATTTACACAAGCTTTGCTTTTCAAGCTTTCATATCTTGCTTGCATGGCGAAATTCTTTGCAGTGCTTCTAGAAGAAAAAAATCGAGAACGACATCTGAATAGCATTAGTGAGTTTCTCAAAAGTGAACTTCGACCCACGGAACCACTGGAAAAAGTAGTCCTTCCAGATACCAGCAGTAGGTTTTATTTCAATAAAAGAGTGTATAAGTGTTGTACACAGAGGAAAAACTAACAAGATAACCTTGTGTTTTACACTCTTAGTAACAACCTTCAAGATGCTCATGAACAAGTATACTAGTGTTGTACACCCAGAAATAAACACTAACAAGTTCACTAGTGTTGTACACCCAGAGTTAAACACTAACAAGTCCAATAGAATTGTACACCCAGAGTTAAACACTAACAAGTCCAATAGAGTTGTACACCCAGAGTTAAACACTAACAATTCCACTAGTGTTATAGACCCAGAGTTAAACACTAATAAGTCCACTAGTGGTATCCACCAAGAGTTAAACACTAACAAGTCCACTAGTGCTGTAAACCCAGAGATAAACACTAACAAGTTCACTAGTGTTGTAAGTTCAACTCAGGTGACACTAACAAATTCATTAGTTCTGTACAGTCAGATATTGACACTAATAAGTTCACAAGTGTTGATAAGTAAATATTATATAGAAGTCATTCATTATTAATAATCCATTAAAACTAACTCAAGGGGGGTGTTCTTTGCATAAAAGATTACTTGAGCTTTTTATACTTTTTATTTTGTAATTTTCAAGTGTCATTGACTGATATTAACATATTCTTTCCAGAACATTATATTACATATGGGAACAAATTTACTAATTCTAAGTGTTGAACAGATCATCAATTTAGTTGGTTACGTGCAGTCGTTTCCCTCTTGTGGGTGTGCAATAGTATATGATCATGGTCTTCATCAAAATGCAGGTGACCTATGTTAATGCTGTCTGTCTGTCTATCTACATTTGATGTGATTGAAGCCTTTTCTATCTACAGACTTTACAGAGAACACTTTGATAAGGGAGGGACAGAGAAAAGGGATCTGTAGAATCCTTGTCAAGGTCAAGAAAAAAAAATGCATAGATAAAAAAAAAAATTAAAGAAATGTTAAGGACCTTGACCACAATTTCAATTTCAGTTTGTTTATTTACCAATTAAGGACCCTCATGGGGCAAAAAGAAAGTACAGTGTATACATTTACATGTATATATAGTCATATACATGTAATACAATATACATACACACAAGAGAGAAAGAGTTGCATGATTGATAGGAGAAAGACATAAAAAGAAGGAATAAACCAGATAGTTTTTATGCATATAAATTCTGCACAAGTAAAAATATTTGACCACATTAAGTAATATTATTTATGAGATCATGATGATAGAAAGTTGTTGAAATCTTTTTGATGGTTTCTTGTATTTTTGATACAGTCCTCTGGTATAGAGATTGTACTGCAGAGTGACCATAGAACATATCATTTCAGTAAAGAATTGTCCAGGAGTACACCGACTTATTTTTACTGAACAAAACCATAAAACCTGTTTTATTCAACATCTGCTAATAAGAGTCCTCTAAGCACCAGATACATTATGATTTTTGTTTAAATAAAGCACCATGCTGATAAAAATATGAATTATGGAATCCATTCTGGCTCTTGTAAGTTAAGTAGCTGCAAATATTAAATGTAACAAGTTGTTGACAGCATGATACAGTCAATGTTCTGTAACAGCTGTTAGATTAAAATTTACTGTCTATTGGAGAAAATGATAAACAGCAAATCCCATATCTATCAGTATTTAAAGGTTAAAAAACATCAGCATGAATGTAGAGAATCAAATAGAAAAATCTTTTATTTAAAATCAACAAAAAAATTAGCTCTGAATATGCTTGAAATATTTTTGTCTTTTATGAATCATTGATAACAATGCAGTTCATTTTAGAAAGAGGTAGATTTATCAATTGCATTCATTGGTTGATGTTATCTTAAGCATGTTCTCCTCCCCCACCCCATCCATCCCCTTTTTTTTATGCCCCCATAAAGAGAGATGGGGGGCACATACCAGTAGTTTTTGGTCTGTCCATCTGTCCACAAAAACTTTAACCTTGGCCATGACTTTTGAATGGTTGGTGCTAGGGCTTTCACATTTCACTTGTTTATTCCTTGAGACAAGATCTTTCTTTTGTTACCAACCTTTTTGAGCTCATGACTCTGACCTTGGAGTTTGATCTATTTTTGAAAAATTGTAACCTTGCCATGAGCTGCCATACAGGGGCATTAGTGTTCCATTAACACATCTCTTTTTTTTGGCGTCGGCTGTTTTTCTCATTTATAGTCAGGTAGTACTTATATGATACCTGAGTTGTAAGTTTCTGTTGCGTACTTGTATTTTATCTGTATTTTACCTGTAATTTGGATTACCCGTTAATGACATCATGTTTTACCTGTGATTTTAATCAGCTGTTTTATTTACAGCTATTGCTCAGGAGAAGACAGAGGAGGAACTCAAGAGTGGGATAGAACAGTTTGACAAGGACAAATTGAAGCACCAGGAAACTGAGGAGAAAAACCCTCTTCCTGATCAAAAAGGTAAGATTTCTTAATGAGAACCCCTCCCCAGCCAACACTACATAAACTCAATCACCCCTACTGCCCATTCCCCAGACAACAATGCCACAAAAAAACAAACCAAGAGGTACAACCCTCCCCCCACCCTTGATGAGAACCCCTCCCCAGCCAACACTACATTATGTCAATTACCCCTACTGCCCATTCACAACAATGCCACAAAAAAACAAACCAAGAGGTACAACCCTCCCCCCACCCTTGACCGAAATGGTAAACTTTCTTAATAAAAATCCCTCCCTGACCAAGACGTTAAGTTTAACTCATCCCCCCCCCCCCCCCCAAAAAAAAAAACCTTCCCAGAAGAAGATGATACAAACAAACCAAGAGGTACACACACTAGAGATAGTATTCAGTCCCAATTGTACCCCTATCACCAGTCACAACAGTGTGTGCAGGATGATTTGTGTGCATCCACATTGCACATTATACACAGTACATGGTTTATTATACCTGCACTTTCTAGAGAAAGTTCGGGTATCTATTCGGACTTGCAACTAAAAAATAAAAAAAAAAACTGTGTCAGAATTCATGAATCAGAAGTTGGCTCTTAGTAAACGTACAAAAAATTGTGTATTCTTAAAATCGTGGAAAATATAGTCACTATGTAACATGATGCAAAGTTTTCTTTTAAAATCCTAGCTGTTCTTTGAGTATCCCATGAGATGTTAATGTATCACAATCAGATGAAATGTTGGTCCAGACATAAACTGCATGGAACATTTTTCTATAATCCAATTAGCCATAAGGATCTATCAGACATGTTTCAGACTTGTAGGATAGTGTATAAACAAGGAGTCGTTACACTCAATGCCAGATATAGGAGTTTAACTCAGTGATAGCGTAGATGATAAACTTGTTTACCAAATACAGACTTTCCCTCAATATTTGACTATTTCTAGGTTTATGGGGTATAAAATTGCAGGCCTTTATTTGAACAAGTCCAGATCAGACCAGTCCATTTATGATCTCTACACAGAGTTTTAGGGTTTTCACCGATTTTCTTGATCAGTCAATCAACTATGATTATCTGTAGGATAAGACAACAACTTGGTCAGTGACCCTATAACTACGCTAAGTATGTAAGGTATAAGTAGGATTATAAAGCTAAGCTGATACATAGATCATATAGACTAATACCGGCTTGTTAAGGTACTTGTACTGATCCTGAATTCAATGCTACACTTAGAAGGAAGGATATGGCCTATATTAAAAAGTAAAAGGAAAACAAAGCATCTCTATATTGTATTGTAGTCCTACCTCATCCTCTTGGCTTCATTGCTTTCTTAAATCTACCACATCTGCTTCACAAATAGAATTGCAAGTGACAAAGTACATAAAGTATTTTTTGTAGTACCGGTATGACTTCAAGTATTGATATTTTTTTCATATTTCATTATAATAGTATGTCTGATGTATAACATTATCTTAAGTAGAACATTATTTCTAATTGGTTAACTATTGGTTGATGTGACAATTTCCTAATGTAGCCATAGCAATCGAAAAAAGAGAAAAAGAAGTAAAAGAGGGAATTGAGAACTTCCCAAAGTCCAGGTTACGCAGAGCGAACACAGAGGAGAAAATCTCCCTACCCAGCCCTGAAGGTAGCTTCCATCTGACGCATGCTGGCCGCAACCTCTCTATCAAATCTCCGACACTCTCAGAACATTAATCTTTTTGAACTTGCACTTCTCTTTACCTACCAGTATATAGATCTATAGTTTCAAGGTTTATGAAATTAGCAGAATCATAAAAAAATTGATTGTAAAATATTACAATGGAGATTTGACACACGGTAGTAAAAATACATGGTTTCTTTCACTCAGAATTAGACAATAGAAATTCTTTTTTTTTTTTCTTTTTTCTTTTGTATACTTTTATTACAATTCATTTTTATTTTGTTATACTTGCTTTACATACAATTTTTTTAATTTTTATTTTTTGATATTTTATATTAGATTTAACATACTCTGTGCATTTTTGACTTGAATATTACATTGGTGTAGTTCCTTGTACCTTCCTTATTAATTTATTTTTGATTTTCCTTGTTTTTGAATGTGTTAAAATCAGGAAGAACAATCTATGATGTAGCAAGGTGTACTCTTACAGATTGCAAACTTGCAGAAATTTGTTATATGAGCACAGATTCTGCAATGCTGCTCTTTTTGTAGGACAATTGTCCTTTAATTTGTCTTCCTTATTTCTTTTTAAAATGTTAGGGACTGATACATGTACATACATGTACATATTTAATGGCTCTCCTGCATCTAGATGCATATATAAGTAAGTGACAGGACTGAAACTCCAATATAATAATGATATTAATTATAATATTTCAAATTGGTTCTACAATGTGTAATATATATAGTTACACCCATTCCAATACTGATTAATTTGCAAATTCAGGATAAAGTTATATACTCTAGTTATAGGTAAAGCTGTTACATTCCTTTTTTATCTATAGACTATAACTATCCCAAACATATATAATTTATGAAATGGAGAGGGAAAAAAACATCAAGATTATGGTGTTTTCTTTCTTATTAATGTATTGAAATTGTTAGGTACCAGTGAAAAAAATGAATCTTCCTAATCACCACTGAATTGTAATACCTGTATTTCAGAGCTGTTAGGTATATCTTCAAATCTTTTCAGCCCAGGTAAACATGGGCATTTATGTATATTTCAAACAAAATCATTTTTGCATTTGTGGTTGTACTTTGTTAAGATGGATGGTGAATGTCCTCCTGGTAGATGATTGTATGGATATTTTGTAACACGTAACCAGTTTGTGGTGGAGATGAGACATCTATAGGCTTATAGAGTTTGTCATTTCATTCACTTAAGAAAAGTCAGCTAGGATAGGAAGTGATTTGTTATAAGGATGACATCACTACACGACCAACAATAATGTATTGAGGTCTAAGGTGATTAAGAAACCCGAGCGTTAGTGAATGTGGCGGCAATAAATAGTATTCTGTCTTAGAGTCCTGATATATCACTATACACTTGTCTATTAAACGTCAATAAATTGTAATCTATAATTTATTAGCTATACAGATGTACAAATAATAAAAGAAACATAAATATATGTATATTGCTATGATAAACAAAGTCTGAACCTGACTATTTATTTTTATATCCATATATTATAAGGCATGCAGATTTAGATTTAATCAAGAGATAAAAATATTTTAAAGTGCAGAGAATTTTGATGTAAACATGTTTCTAGGTCATGGTAAATTCTATTTATGTAAAATCTATGCATTAATGATGATAAATAATAATCCTGTGTTTTATTGATATGTTTTTCAGAATTGAGACCCTACATTTAAAGTTATCAGTTTTACATCATCTGTGATTTAGTGTGTTATCAATGTTCAGGTTTTTTTTTTCCCCTATTGATTTTACTATATACAATTTTGCATTGTAGACCACCATTTATTACGGATTTATCTGCTAGTTCTAGTGTGACCTTAACAATAAATTCTGTCTTCTATTTTTCAGTCATCCAGCAGGAGAAGAGAGAAGTAAACATTAGGAAATCTCTGACGGAGTTTGAAAAAGGCAACCTAAAGCACGTACAAACAGAGGAGAAAAACCCGCTACCCGATGCCACAGGTTCAAATTCATAATTATCACATAGTATCAATTAGACTCTATACACTGGCTTAAATGTTGCATACCCTAGGCTTAAATCTTACACATAGGGATTGGTGTTCATAAACATCAAATACATATTAGTTAGACACCACGCAAGTTGGCTTAAATATTGCATATCATAGTCTTGGACATAGAGGTCAGAGTTCAACCTCGTTAAATATATATTGATTGATACATGTAATCCAGTAAGCAGGGTAATGAAATATTTTGCCTGATTTACAATTTATTGAAATTAATATGCCAGTAGGTGAACAATTTGTTTAGGAGTTCAGTAGAAAAGTACCAAAGGAATCTTACAATTATGACTTCCTAGTAGAGATTCTTAAGCTAGGTGAGATTGTGTCCTATGACAGTCTATGGGAGAGGTTAAGACCTCCATGTTTTATATGATAACTAAATATATAAAGTTACAAACAGCATATATAGTAATGTTACAAACAGCATATATAGTAATGTACAGCATCATATCTATAGTACACAAATATATTAAATAACACACATCATGTAATTATATACTGCATTATTTTGTTTGAATTTCTTTATATTTCAAACTCAAGAATAAAAATGTTAGATTGTTGACGTATTGGGTAGGAAAACCCAGTTTTAAGTGCAACAGTTGACAAAATCCCAAAAAGAATAACACGATTTAGAAATAAAACTTCCTAGATATTAGGTTTTAAACAGGTGCGTTTTAGGTTATATGACATAGACTTTCATCATTGAAAAGATTTCCTTGTGGAATTTTGTACCCTGTATGTGTGTGCTTCAGTTTCTAGTTTCCTTGTATATTTGATACATATCTATAATACATATATACTGTTGTCTATTTTTAAAATCAAGTTTGTTCTACAAGTGTACATACACATGTATATTTTCCAAAAGTAATGAGCAATGTTTAACTATTTCTTGAATCCCAAAACACATATTTGTTTATTAAATCCTGGGTTCAGCTACTGTTTTTCTTTAAGCATTTAAATGCCCATTAAAAGCAGTCTTTCAATTGCAGATTCATAATGATTTACTACAGTAAAATGATTTAAAACATAATAGAAAATTTTATTTAAAAAATTTCAATGAATAAATGATGTCAAAATAAGCCCTGTCATAATCATAGCATAATCATGTTGTTATTGAATGTGTTCATATTGAAGATGAAAACTTAAAAGTTGCATGTTGTTTGTGTTTATTAGTTATCGGCCAAGAAAAGAGGGAAAAAGAGTTTCGCTTGTCGATCACTGAGTTTGACAAAGCTCAGCTAGCTCCCATCGAAACTCAAGAAAAAAATCCACTACCTCCAGTCGAAGGTTTGCATGCTGGCATTGTGTCGAGCTCACTCGAGTCTAAAAACTCCAAACACTAATCACTGATAATCTCTAATGTTTTGACTTTGCCAGCAATAAACATTCACTGAAATGAAAGTATAAATGCATCATTTTCTTTTTGATTTTTCACTAATTTCCTTCTTTGAAATTATTTTAATCAATGACTTAATAAAAAATCTCTGTCTTGAACAGTTGATATTTTGCACTGATAATGACAAGTAACCATCTATAGTTGTGCTATAATATGACATAATGGACACACTGTTTGCTTTTTATGTAGATTTATAAACTCATTAACAAGTTGTCGCATGATGAAACTAAAATCTGCTTGTGGTAAATAAGGGCACCTTGTTCATTATTTTGTGTTGCATTGTATAGTTCTTAAAAATCATTTATAATGCAGTCTTGAGATTTTTTCTATTTTTAATTTAATTTTATTTATTTATTTTTTTGCTGATATATGTTATCTATAAGTGTTTGGTTGAATGTTTTTGTATAATTTCTTTCTGCCTGTTATTATTGTTTTATCAGTTCTTTGCTTGCTTTATGATGCATGTCAACCTCTCTCTATTTGTACAGTTATTGGACAGGAAAAGCAAGAAGTAGAACTCCGATCTGAAATATCAGAGTTTGACAAATCCCAGCTCTCACATACAGAAACAAAAGAGAAAAATCCCCTCCCCCCTCCAGAAGGTTTGATTTTAGATTATGTACTCCCCCTCAACTTAGAACTTTTTATTGTTGAAATGAAAAAAAGTATTGCACCATGAATTATAGCTGTATTGAATACCAGGGATTTATCATCCTATTTTGGGAAAGCCATTTTTAGGGAATTGGGAAAATATTATCGGCTATTTGCTAGTGGTGTTCTAATCATCGATTATAATCAAAAATCAGCCGATTGCTGGCATAATCCAAGCGCTCGATTACAAAATTTTTATTTTCTATTTTTCATTTTTATTCATTTTTTTTTTTACAAGCGTAATAGTTTTTAAGCCAAATATTCCAGCCTCAACTTATCTATTAACTTGTTTGTGTATCATAATGGTGCAGACAGACAGACAATTGTATCCTTACCCGGGAAACAAATCATGTTCCCGGGTATGGATATAAGTTTTATATCTGTACAACGTATGAAGAAAAATTAAAGAAAAGCAGATACACACTCAATAAAACACTCAGATGATATCCTTTTATTCTTTTTCAGCAAAATAAACAACAAATACATAATATACAGAAAGTAGTCAGTTACCCATTCTTACCATTTAATTACTGTAGAAGCACAAATTTTCGTGAGGATAAAATTTCGTTGATTTGTCATTCAAAAAAGGTTTTGTTGGCTTTAAATTTTGTTGTTTCGAAAGAAGCTCTATTCAATATATAGTCGAACAAAAATTTCGTGGGATTTAATTTCGTTTAGAATTGTTAAAAACGAAATAATTGAAATTTGATCCCCATCAAATATTTCTGCTTTTACAGTAACCAAATTGATAGATTTTGTAAAAGCCTGATTATTATATTCAATAATTAGTTAGTAACAGTAATTAAATTCTTACCGATTCCCATCACTACTATTTGCTGAAATTGGGAAAAACTTTAAAATCTTGCTAACATCATGTGTATTCAGGTGTATTAATTCATTTAACATTTCAACATGAACTCTAATTTTGGGCAACCAAACAGACAATTAAATATGATCTAACTTCATCATATACAAGATCAATTATCAATAATAGACTAATAAAACTAAATTTGACTTCACTGAGTATAAAGTATTTATACCTCTTAGGATTAGTACATGTACTTGTTGTATGTGTGTGTATGAGATTTCAATTTAGGTGATTAAAATCTGTTTCTGGAGATTATAAACCTCTGCAAAAAATTATAGTAAGTACACATTTTCTCAAAGTCCCCTTTTAATTAATATGTAAAAATGCATTGAAAATATATTTTTCTATCTGAAATATATGCTTACATTTCTTACCATTCACTCATAGATCAGACCTTGGGGTAATGGTAATGTGTAATGGTAATTCATTGTAATCATTACATTTTTTTTAAAGTAATTGGGTGTACAATGGATCCATCTTTCAATTACAAGTAATTGTACTGTAATGCATTACTTTCAAAAATATGTCAGTAATGACCATTACTTTTCAATTACATTTTGTATTTTAATATCTTTTTATTTCTGAATCTTAAACAAAGCACAGCCATTGAGAGTTTTTTTTTTTTATTACTGATAATGTTAAAGTCTAAAAATTAAAATCCTATATCTTACCATTTTTTAAAAATGTTTATTCAATGGTGATTGATAGACAATATACTAAATAATTGTTTTAGTAGAAAACTTCTTGACAAGACAGTTTTAAAATCAATTGAAGAGAGCCAGAAAAAAAATATTGAAAGAAATCATAAGGTTTCAAAGATAGCCACAAAACAAGTGACATTAATATATGTACTATACTATGACTACCAATTAAGATACAGACTATATTTTTCAACTTGAGTTTTGGTTTTTTTTTTCCACAAAGTTCATTCTGGTAAAATGGACTTGGAAAGCAGGATAAAAGATCATTATGATCTACTCAAAGACACAAATGGAAACTAAGGCCAAATGTAAATACATGTATTGATATTGTCCATCATTCATTTTTGGTAGCTTGAGAGTCACCTCTAACTTCAAACCCTACATCTAGGTACCAGTAATTATCACCTTTGATTGTGTTAAATTTATATCTTCATTGATTATGCCTGCTCAGCTAATTATGAGTGCAAATTAATTAAATTATTAATACATACTCGTTTTACAATTATAGAATTATCTGTTGATTAAATATCACTTTACATAAAGCATAAGGTATGAAATGTTTATCACTTATTTAAAAAAAAAAAGAACTAACATCATGCAGAGACTGAACAAAACTACAACACTGATCCACTTTCTTTGTCAACTGCTTTGTCAACTGTAGATTGGTAAACTACATGATAAATGAATCCAAAATCCAAATACCACTCTGACTTACAGACCTGAGTGAAAGCATTTTAACCGGGCACAAAGTGTGAGAAAGTTAATTTATGGATATAAATTGTGTGATCATAAAATTTATGTTTTTCTCTTATAAAATGTAATGTGTAATGTAATTCATTACATTAACAAAGTAATTTAATTAATTACTTTTCTGAATGAGAGTAATGGTAATGGTAATTATAATGGTAAAAATTCCAAAATAATTATAATTTAATTCATTACATTTCAAAGTAATTGACCCCAGGTCTGTCATAGATAAATTGAATAGGTGGACAAAACTTAATAAATCTATATTATAACACAGTATCACCATTTTCAGAAAAACGGAGGAAATTCGGATTAAAGTCGGCAATGTTTACTAACAGTCTTATGACTAGCTAAATGAGATAAATAGAGGAAAATTACAGACAATATGACAATTTTACTGAGTTTTTTTCCAAGATGATTAAATATAAAAGCATTGTTCACCAATTGGGAAAAAATACTGCCATAATGGGAAAAATTGAACTCATTTTCAATTGGGAATGGGGCCGAATTTCGGCCCGTGAGAAGGTACTGATAAATCCCTGAATACAGTTGAACTTCAGTATCTTTAACTTTGATATCTCAAATACTATGGATATATTTAAGTGAGATGAATGTTCCAACCACCATTTCTTTATGTATTCTAAAATTGATATCTCAAATCCTCAGATTTCTCCAAAGTTTTTCTTGGTCCCATCAAGTTCAAGATGATGAGGTTTGATTGTTTATGTAAAAATACTCCAGAAATCACAATGATCAGCGTATAATATTCCATGGTAATCTCAAAATTGGTTGTGGTCCTTCTTGATGATACTGGTTTACACCCATAAATTCACCATTTTCCTCTTGCCTTATGCAGTAACATGCATGTGCTAGCCTTTAAGTGCCACATAACATTACATTGCTATGTTCAGCTTTTCTCTCCTTGTAATTGAATATAATGTATTTCATAAGTGAAAATTTTTATTTTATGTTCTTTTGCAGCAATTGAAATGGAGAAGAAATTAGAAGAGCATAAAAAAGGCATTGAAAATTTCAAGAAGGATGATTTAAAGCATGCAGAGACTGAGGTTAGAGCAAGGTTACCATCCAAAGAAGGTAAATATTGTCACACACATACAGACAAACATAGACAAGCTTAATAGAGGGTAAATATTGTCACAGACAGAAATACACACAATAAAAGAGAGACAAACTAAATAGAGGGTAAATATTGACACACAGACAAAAACAGACATAGACAAGGTAAATAGAGAATAAATATTGACACAGACAGACACACAGACAATAAAACAAAGACAGACAATCTAAATAGAGGTAAATATTGTCACGGACACCAATGCACAGACAAAAATTAAATACACTGTAGAGAATAAATATTGTCTCAGAAAGACAGACAAAAAACAGACATAGACAATTCAAATTAGGATAATTATTGTGACAAACAGACACACGGCAAAAACAGACATATACATTCAGATGATGGGATGCATATTTAAGGAATCACTGTCTAGTTAGTAGAGTATGCCAGAGCATCAACAATAGTTGGAAATGTGGGATATTTTGCATAATGGGCGAAGCTCGTTATGCATAAATTATCCCACGTTTTCAACTATCGTTGATTTCCCTGGCATACTCTACTAACTAGACAGTGATTCCTTATATTTCAATTTCATTGTGAAATAAAATTGTAAATTTAGATTTTAAAAATGTAGATTAATAGATTTAAATTACACGAGGCCTTACGTCAATTTCAATAGTCCCCGCCCACTGACGTCAAACACAAAGACAGCCGCACGTGAATTACATGCATATTAGGCCTCCTTGTGTCAGACACATAGACAGCCGCACGAGAATTACATGCATATTAGGCCTTCTTAGCTCCTGATCTTTCGCTTGGCGAAATTTGCATTCTGGTGGAATGATCAAGAAATCAACTCAACTTTCAAAGAGTTATCACAGAGAAAACAAGTAGAAATGGAAATATTAACATATAAAGATTCAGAAGGGACCATATTGACAGACAGAGACAGAAAATGTGACAGAGCCAAAATGAGGGGTATAGGTCTGTGTGATTATAGAAGGAATAGGTGACCAAAAATGAGAACTCTTCATCATTATATTGGGTGATGGTTTGAAACAAACTGATTTTATTTTGCTTTAAATTTAATATATATTATAAGAAGCAGTTACAACAAGAGTAATAAATGGTAATCTGTTGTGGCATTCCTATGCATGTTAAACTTTTTCTCTCTCCAGATATTGCACTAGAGAAAGCATCAGGTGACAAGTAAAGAAGATCCCAGAGGGAGGCCATGGCTTTGCTGCGTAGAACAGGAAATTGCACGTAGCTTATCACTAGTGATCACATGACCAACTCTGTTTACGACTGTGAATAACTGATGAATGCATGAAGTATTGTAGGTTTGAAAATGATATAACTTTTATAAAATATTACAAGTGTTAATATGATATTGATATTTTTTTTGTTTAAAAATCTTTTCATTGTTAACTATCAATGTGCTTCTACTGTTACAGTTTTGTTTTTTCTCCAGAAATTTCTAATTTGTGAGAAGTTGTAAGAATTGATGTGACCTGTATGAAAGCTTAGATCTGGTTCTGTGCCTTGGATTTTATCTCTAAATTAGACTGTATTTAACAAGGAGTAGGAAAGATAACTCTGTATATACAGATATTGACATAATCAACCAGAATCTCTCAAACTTGACTCTAGAACAAGTACAAATACATTCGTCCAAACAAATTATAATGTTACATAGTTATTCAGGGGAAATCTTAACTGATGGTCTCTGAAATGTGAAATATTGATAAATGTTTAAGTATTTTTGAACCTTTATTATTTCAACTACTCAATGTTTTAACACAGAAGTGCAATTTTAGGTGAAGATATTTTGAGTTGTGCAATGATCTAAATCTGAATTGCAGCTTGTGAAATGTTTAGCTAGAATTACAGTCTGTAGAAAGCCCAGTATATGTAGTGCTGTTAATTATGTCCTGTAAATTTTCAATCACTCGTCTTCCGTATCTGTATAACCATGTTTCTAGTTACAGTCTTTGCATTAGAATTGTCTAGTCAGATTATAATACACAGCAATACATTGTCTTGGTGACAGGAATCAGCCTCACATTGTCACAGTGTAGCAGCAAATGTTGAATGTTCTCTGGTTAAATATTTTTGTTGGAGTTATTAGTTACATTTTTAATGTTGAGTTCCATGCAGTTGCCTGTTTTTGTTTTCTCTCTCAGTTAAATGTTTTGCTCAAATCATTTGAAGCCAAGTTTTTGCCTCATTGGCAAGGGGAGGTCACTCTACTGAAATTCTGTGAAATTTTCAGCACTAGCTTTCTGTACTTTTCGTTTCTGTAACCAATTAACCATATACTACACAAATATCTGTGTATCTGCTAATTCACATTTAAATCGCTAGGACAACTTGTGACTGTTTTCAAGTACTGTCAAAGCATATTATATTTTTTTGCTAATAAAAAATAAATTTATATATTTTGTTTATTTTTTATTCAAATAAAGCTATAATTACAAGATTCACAAGGAGAGGGCAGTGAATTACTTCGTGGAATGTAATGCTGACTTAAAGTAAAAGCAGCAGCTGAGGATGAACACATTTGGTGTAAGCATTGATGAATAAGCACTTATTTGATACACTTGAGGCTTGAGTTGATACCGGTTATACTTGGGTTTTCATGTTGATACTGGTATGCTCACATCGTCTACTGATCTTTGTGTCAAGCAGTAAGGAAGTCTATATAGGTCTCCCGATGAGTTTTGCTAGTGTGATCGTATCCTACGACCTTGATCTCTGTCCCGCCAAAAATGACCTCAAGGTCGACTGCACGCTCTTTGTCCCCCGTCATGTCGGGCATTTCTACCACTAGACAGCCACACTTCTCTACGCTATCCTCGTCTGTGTACTGGACGTTCTTCTTCGCCGACTTGAAAAACTCGAATATGATCCCTCTCTGATTGGTGATGATGGGTGTGTAGGTTTCCCGCCAAACTTCATTATGTCCGATAACCTCGCCACTCTCTGCCCACACCTGCAGTATGTTTTTACACAACACTAATTCATCTGAGACGACTTTCAGATCATCTCGATGCTTGCCGTCCTCAAATGGCAGGTAGGATCCAACTCCGTATGTGTAACGACATATCCTCTGACAGATGGAGCTGGGATCGCAGCCGAATGCCACGGCGCCTTTCACAACCGCCAAACTCGCTTCTTCAGGCACAAGAACGGTAACTCTATCACTGAACGCTTTCTTGATGGAAGACTGTAGCTTTGCAGACTCCGCAAACCCTCCCACAAGAAAAATGTAGTTAAGGTCGCGGAGTTTGGGACGTTTTAATAAGTTCTCAATGTGATCGTTGATTTGGTCAAGGGGGTCTTTAAAAAGAGAGTCGACTGTTTCGGAGGATAACACTAGTTTCCCTGAAGAAAACTTCACTGATGGGCCCGATTTTTCTGAGTAGTGTTTTATACAGTCTTGCACTGATTTTCCTTCGTGGGAAAAATTGCAGAAGTTGTAGGGAAGGGAAACTCTCACGCTCTCACTCTCGCCGCGTTTCTTGATTTCAAAATCTTGCAGCAATTCCACATAGTCTTTTGGGAACTGGGAATGAAAAGCATTAATGAATTCCTCCCCAAAGATTCGAAACAAGAGGTTAATAAACTGTTGGTCTATTACGGTACCACCCCACGCACCTCCCGTGGCGCGGAAGAGCTCGCGAATTTTACCGTCCTTCCTCACCTTGTGTGCAACAATATCTATCGTCCCACCTGTCGGAGAAAAAAACAAGATTAATTTCAGTCTTTCTATCAATCTAGTTAACTTTCACTTTTTTGTAAATTCTACCAACCTCCGGCGTCGACTACTATGTATTTGGTTCCTGGTTCAAATGTTGGTTTGGGCGTCTGATTATCCATGTTGTCTACAAAGTTGTTGGCCTGAATGGTTCTGCAGGTCAAGGACGCAGCCTCGGGTTCAAGGGCGATCAGCAGTTGGTTACTATGGGTATTGTCTATCAGTTCTCCCTAAAATTACAGCGATAAGTCATGGCTTATATCGATTGTGTACATCTAGTTATTGTGTAACATTCTTTTTTTCTTGGTACATCACAAGTGTCTTGACATGCTAGACGTTTATCTAAATACCTGCATGTGTATTTGAGATTTTCTGGAACAACATTAAAACAGTTGTATTTACTTGTAATTGCGTAATTGACGGTTGATTTTGAGATCAAATGGCTGGACACACCTTGTAAGCCGCTTCTCTCATAAACTGTTTAGCATTTTCGTCCCAGATTGCTGGCACAGTTATGACCCATCTAATAGTCTTGGCGTCCGGTTCGTAACCCATAGCTCCCGCCAGCTGACGTAACAGGTGCCCCTTCATAAAGAGCAACGATTGACTGAATACGTCCACTGCCAGTTGTTCCTTGCCGTTCACGTCCTGAACGACTATCTCCGTACTCAGAATCTGAAATAATAGCTTTCATGAATGAGAAAGATTTCTCATTATTTCGAATTTATATCAAATGTGGTTGAATTTATATTACATGTTGTTGAATTTATATCTAATGTTGTTGAATTTATATCTAATGTGGTTGAATTTATATCTAATGTGGTTGAATTTATATTACATGTTGTTGAATTTATATCTAATGTGGTTGAATTTATATCTAATGTGGTTGAATTTATGTCTAATGTGGTTGAATTTATATCTAATGTGGTTGAATTGGTTGAATTTATATCTAATGTGGTTGAATTTATATCTAATGTGGTTGAATTAATCTTAATCAGGTTTATGTTACCTCTGGTCAGTAAGTGGTTTGTTACTATATACAGTGTTAAGGTTAAAAGAATCCTTCACATCGGAAATCAACCAAAATCTAGAGTTAAACCACAGGATCTTACCTTGTTATCATACAGTTTCATTTTGAAACGGTCAAAGTAATAATGTTCTGCTGCCTCTTCCTCAGTCAGATCGCTGTATTTGGATACGGCTTCGAATCCAAAAGCTGCAAACTCGCCATTGGGTTTCAATAGAAGACACGTGGGTGTTTTCTGTAGAAGGAATCCCTGCGTCTGTCCCCAGTTTCGATTGGTGTAAATGGTCTCCTTGTTAGACGTCAGAGCGTAGGCGTACCCGCTGAAGGTGGTTCCGAAGTCGATGGCGGCGATGATTTTGTAGGACTCCTCCTCTGGACTTGCGGACGCGGCGGTGTCTGGACAGATCTCTTCGTTACTGGACTCGGAAATCTTGTGCTTGGTAGCGGTGGGTTTGGTTTCTTCGTCCGCCATTTTGGCTGCAATTTGGTTTCTTTTTGTTCGAAATTTGAATCAGTAGTTGATTTGCCAACACAATCAGAACAGTCCGTTTCTGGAGATGGGAATACTACCTGTACGTTTGTTGCATATCCTGACACTGAACGTAATGCAAATTCGTTTTGCAGTGATGCTTATGGACCGAATTCCTGGAGCGAGTAGCATCAATTTTCCTTTGTTAAGTCATGGGATCGATAGAATTAAGGTATGGAGTTGTGCTGTGGAGTCAATACGGTAAGGATGCCAGACACACAGCCAAATCAATAGCATGAATCACACGTGAGTTTGAAATGGTGTCCCAAAGACAATACGCCAAATTTTTGTCATCAAAAGCGATATAATACCCAAGGACGCAAAACACCCAGGCTTACAGGGGGAGAGGAATGAGGAAATTACGAGTTAACAGATTTATTTGAAAGGTACAGTTTTTTGTGCTATTTATCCTGGTTACTTTTTCATTAAATGAATAAATTACATCTGTATAAATTTTGTTGCTACGGAAATCAATACTCAGTAATGTTGAAAACTAGTCTTCGGAATAATAAATAATGCAAAATCATTTTTTGAAAATGTGTAATGTTATTGTTGTGTACAGTGCAAAATACAGGTAAATTGCTGAATCTAATTGTTTTGGGGGGGATAAAGGAGGAGGGTTTTAGGCCTTAGTAGTCCTAAGCTTCTGTCGCTGAGATTTTGAAGTATTTTTTCTATTGATTTTTTGTGCCCATTAAACGTTCTACATTTCCTGGTGCTCGCGATCTAATGCCATCCTAGTGTTGCTATGCTAATGTCCGAGTGGTTTTCTTTTTTGCAGAATTAATTTATGCAAGAACAATGGCTGTTGAGTCTAAAAAGAAAGACTTGCTCGCAGACGCCAAGAACTTCTGTGATGGGCTTTCTAATGTGTTTATGCTGAAAAAGAGAGATCCTCAAACCAGGCATTTGCTTGAGAAAGCCAAATTATTGATTGAAAGTTTGATATCAGAGAATCAGCGAGCGACGAGCAATGTTACGAGCACTCCCAGGGGGTCAAGGGCTGCCGGGGGCATGGGCCAGCTCTGGGTTAAATTGGATGAACTGAAGCGTGAAAACGAGGAACTCCGGAAACAGGTAGGCAAGCCATCTGATGACCGACCGAGCATTCCCCCCAAACCTTCTCAGGGCCCAGGGGACGTCATCATCGCAGATCTCCACAAAACAAAGAAGGAAAATGAAGCACTCAAGGCCAAGGTTGAAAAACTTGAAACACAAATCAAACAGATGGACTCCGTGGCGCTCAACGTGCAGGACGAATACAAGCGAGCCAAGATTGCCCTGGAAACGACCCAAAGATCCATGGAAACGGTCCTGAAGGACTATCGGCAAATGGAGGATGAGCTTAAACTGGCGAAGAAGGAAAGCGAGAATCTCAAGCAAACGTACAGTACCTATTTATTTAATAGTAATATGAATTTCTTTGAGATGCAAAAGGATATGTTTTATCTCTTATGTATGTTATTTAAGCATTCTCACTAATTACTTATTTTAGGTTAGCTAAGTCGATGCCGTTGATAGGTCGTACAGATAATCGACACGTGGAGAATATCAGTGAGAAATGTCGGCCCTCCAATATCGCCCAGCTGTACAATACGCTAGAGAGCCAGGAATGGGTGGACGCCAAGGAGACGCTAGAGGAAATCACCGACTTCGAAGAGGAGGATATAGTACAATTCCTCTGCGCATGCGTCATGGTAAAACAGTTATTCAAATATTTCTTTTGTTTGATCAGTGTCCAGTATACAGAGTAAAACATGTTTAAGTATTTTTCAGCAATCCTAATCTATACATTAAAATTCTCCAATTATTGTAGGCAGCTTTTCAAAGTTGTAAGGATGTGTACGATGCCCTGAAAGCCACCATCGCAGAACTTCTAAGAAAGCCTACATTGGTGGTAAGCATCATTAATTATCAGAACTGCCGTTTTATCAGATCTGTTAGGCTTATATCAATTAGATTCGATCTGTAATAAATTAAGGGTGTTAACTATTTGTCTGTAAAAAAATATATATATATTTTCAGATTTGCATTCTTTAACAAAGGGGATTAACTATCCCGATATACTAGTATATCGATGAAGATATGTTTGAAAAAAAAATTGAATGTTATAGAAATAAGAAGTATTTGATCATGTTGAATTGCACGCAGTTCCAGTACGAGTATAAAATGTGTTTTTCAGATCACCGATAATTTGGAAAGGGAGCGAAGTGGGAAGAGCAGACTACCAGACGACATAACAGACAGCATTGGACATCAGCTCAGGCAACACTTTGATGACATTGACTCTGACGTCATTTTTGGCGTAAGCGAAATATCCTGTCCATATTAATGTACAAATGATAATGTTAACTTGTTAGTTCTTAGTAGATTGGAGCCAAAATTTTTAACTGCATAGTTGTTACCGATAAATAGACTATTTATGTTTTTTTTAATATTAAATGTAATGTTTTTTCAGATGATGTGCGAAAAGCTGACATTAGAATTTACGGAATTTGTACAACGACACCCACACGAAAACAAGGTGGTCCAGAAATTCATGAATCGGTGCGCAAAGGTCACTTGGCAAATGGTTATTCAGCACCCTCCTATGTGGCTGTCTGTTGACGACCACGAATTTGATGATGAAAAACACAAGCTATGGTGGTCATGTGACCACACCGCAGCCAAAAAAATCAACTTTTTCGTGTGGCCCGCATTATATGACTATAAGCGTGGGAATTTACTTATTAAAGGCTGTGTATATGCCAGCTAATGTATATCCATGACTTAATTTATTTGTAACAAAGTATTTAAGCCCCAAAATTATTTTTTATTGAATTCTTTATTGTGTGTCTTATTATGCAGAAAGGATCAATGGACTGTGTATTTGTCATCTTGTTTATTTTGCCAGTAAAACTGCTTTTGATGGTCTCGTCTCTTGTTCAGTCTATGTAAATTTTCCCGGTGTTTTTGACTGTTACAAAAGCTGTTCAGAAATAGATTTATGAAATAAGAGTTCGAAAGAAAAAAAATGCGATTTTAACATGTTCATGCCAAAGAACATGAGCTCAAGGACATACAAGTAAAGTATTACTTATATATGTACATATGATTGACATGAATCCCAAGATTTAAAAGCACAGGATTCGTCAAAAATATAACGATAGTTTTGTCTGCATGTTAATGAATGCCTGAGAAGTGATTATATTCTGGAACTTTGCAAACTAGTCAGTTATTTCAACGGCTTATCCTTTAAGCTAAAATAAAAAGTGAAAATAACGAACACTAATCAAGCTCAAACGTCCATTGAAATAATTAATACAAATCGGGAGCAGAGAAAACACGGACCTCTGAAAACATCAGAGGTGGAATCAGGCGCCATGGAGGAGTAAGCATCCCCTGTCGACCGGTCACACCTGCCATGTGCCCATTGTCATGATGGGGCAAACGGAAAAATCCGTAGACAATTCAGTGTGAAAATGATGGCCTAACAATTTGTATGAAAAACGTAAGTCAACATTCGACTAAATGATAGATTGTATTTACTGACAAGGTCATTGTATCGAGCATAGAATTGCGAAATGCTGACTTTAAACGAGACTGTTGATATTCTTGTTTCATCAACTTATTTGTCAATAGCTTGTCTCATTTTAGAAATTGTTCGTACATAGAGCATGCTCTCACTTATCGAATCAACTGAGCGATATGAACCCCGTATGCAGGTGATAAGGGTATATTGCTGCATAAGTAAGGGAAGTTGACGATAGAAAAGTGGAAGTCATTTTGTTTATCATAAAGTTCGGTTATTAGTTATCATTAATAGCCTCTTTTTCTAGTAAAATATCCAAATTTGAAACAGATGTGTCGGACTTTGTAGAATCTTTCATTTCGATTTCAAAGGACTATATCGAATCAACGAATAGGAATGAAAATTTCTATAAAAATTTAAAACGATAATCGACAATTTTGTGGAAGAGAAATCAGCACATTTTTGGTAATCTTGATGCTTGCATGCGAACAAAAATCAATGCTGTCAAGCTTCCAAGTGTTATGCATATTTTACATTCATATGAATATACTGTATGCATATTTTACATTCATATGAATATATTGTATTTTTAAAATATTTTTTTTTCTTTTCAAAGAAAAGGGGTCCTCCTGGATTTATTAGGAATATTAAGCCCATTTAATTCCAAGTTAAGTTTTGCAATCGCAGAAAAATGGTATATCAATTTGAAGACTATTGAAAACCATAAGAAGGGTTAGGATCTGGTATGAATTCTTTGCAGTACTGAAATCAAATAAAATTATTTATATTCTTTGCCTACGTAAGAAAAAAAAACAAATAAAATTGAGGAGGTTTAATGGTGTAACAATATTAAGGTGACATTTCGTTTAGCTCTGTCTGTCCTAGACTGACAAGAGGAGCTTCCACAATTATTAAAGTGTACATCCCCCCCCCCCCTTTAACAGTCTGCCTTTAACATTTTTTTTTCCAAAGTACTACTCCTGATGAAATACTTGATTTTAATATAATGTTTAAGTACATAAAGATATATACATTTCTATTCGTGGACTTATAAAATCTTATTCAATAAACGGTTGTTGTTAATAATGATAGAATCAAAATGTTTCAAAAATCAAAATACTGCTCCTTTTTACAATTCTAGAACACACAGAGACCTGAATATATGTTCATCGATTTTTAAATTTTGTGAAGAGTCTTTGTTGCAATCATGTTGATAAGGGCCCCGATAGTGTCCGATAGTGATCAGTCTATCCTTTCGTCCGATTTAATTTGTCCGGAGTATGCCCCCCCCCCCCCTTTGTCCAGCTAGGTTTACACTTCACCATGCCCATTGACCATGGGAAAAGGGTGTGCAGTTACTTTGAATCAATTTTCTAGATCAAAGGTCAAGATCGAAAAATCTCTCTGTGTAAAATCCTTATCTGGATTAAATTTTCTCTCCCCTTAGGCCAATTGGACTCGTACTTGTACTTCACCCAGAGAGTGTCCGTTGATAGAAGGTGTGCAGTGAAGAGAAACCAATTTCTGAAAGGGTCAAGGTCAGAATTTTTTTTTCATAAAAAATTCTTGTCCAGCTAGAGTACATTTTCTCTCCCCCTCCCCCCCCCCCCCCCCACATTTAGACTCAAACTTCATCGATAGAGTGTCCAGTGGGTAGTAGGTATGCAATGACCTTGAACCAATTTTCCAATCAAAGATCAAAGTCGAAAAACCTCTTGTGTAAAATTCTTGTCCGGTGCATATTTTCTCTCCCCTTGCCCTTGAACCAATTTTCTAGATAAAGGGTTAAGGTCAGAAATTCTCTTTGCACAAAAATCTTCGTCTGCCGTATATTTTTACTCCCCCTTGGCCCATTCAGGCTCCAACTTTACCCATCTTGTGTCCATGGGTAGAGGGTATGCAACCACCTTGAATCAATCAAAGGTCAAGAACCTCTTGTGTAAAATTCTCCCATGAATATTTTCCCTCCCCTCGGACCAGTTGAGCTCATACTTCATCCATAGAGTGTCCGTGGGTAGAGGGTGTGCAGTGAACTTAAACCATTTTTTTTTTAGATGAAGGATCAAGGTCATAAAATTTCCTTGCATAAAAAATCCTTGTTCAGAGTATATTTTCTCTCCCCTTGGCCAATCAGACTCAAACTTCGCCCATAGAGTGTCCATGGGTAAAGGATGTATGGTGACCTTGAACCTATTTTCCAGATGAAAGGTCAAGTACAGAAAATATCTTTGTAAAATCTTTTTCTGGAGATATTTTCTCACCCCTTGGTCTTAACTGGCTTTAACTTCACCCATATAATACCCGTAGGTAGTGTGCATTAACCTTGATCCAATACTCTGCATCAAAGTCAAGGTCGAAAAACCTCTCTGTGTAAAATCCTTGTCCGGAAGACCGGAACTCCACATTTCTCTCTCCTTGGTCCCGTTGGGATCTTATTTTGCCTAAGAAGTGCCCGTGGATAGGGAATGTGCAGTGATCTTATTTGATATATATATATATATATAGAAAGCACAAAGAAATTCACTTTTATAAGGATACCCACTTCCGCCCCAGCCCGGGGTTGAACTCTCGACCTGCGGAATCTGTCTCCTAGCAGTACAGGAACAGCGCGCTAGACCGCTCGGCTATCTAGGCAAGTCAAAAAACTTGCTTTCGATGTCGATGGAATTCTCGCGGCGCTGTCCTACACTACACGGTCATTGAGAATGGAAGTGAGATACAGTTATTTGGACATTAGTTTTATCAGAGGATCGTTACCAATACACGTTGTAATGAAATTAATTTTATTTATAAAGCACATTTTACAACAACTCTTAAACTAACATAACTGCCCTAAGTGAAGAAATATTAATATAGAAAGCACAAAGAAATTCACTTTACAACACAGTACAACGTGTATTGGTAACGATCCTCTGATAAAACTAATGTCCAAATAACTGTATCTCACTTCCATTCTCAATGACCGTGTAGATAGCCGAGCGGTCTAGCGCGCTGTTCCTGTACTGCTAGGAGACAGATTCCGTAGGTCGAGAGTTCAACCCCGGGCTGGGGCGGAAGTGGGTATCCTTATAAAAGTGAATTTCTTTGTGCTTTCTATATTAATATTTCTTCACTTAGGGCAGTTATGTTAGTTTAAGAGTTGTTGTAAAATGTGCTTTATATATATATATATATATATATATATATATCCACAACAAACAATATTTAACTGCATGCATCTGTGTATTCTTGTCAAGTTGAACAAGTCCAAAACACATGTACAAAATTTCAAATGTAAATAAAAAACAAGATTTCTAATTTTTCTGTATTTCACACACATAAAAATAGCCAGATATATTTCTTACTTTTAACAAGAAAAAATGCGATTAAATTCTGTTAAGTTCATTGCGTTTTGAACGGTCGATCGATCGATCGATCGAGAGAGAGAAAGCCTATGGGAGAGAGAGGGGGATCAAGGATCATAAGTAAAGACATACATCAGGCGCGTAGCCAGCATGGAAATAAAGTGTACGCAGAGAACGGAAGGGGGTCCAACTTTCAGAAATCAAAATTTTATTAATACATTACCAAATTGCCATGATTTAACTATACTACAACAAAAGGGGGGACCACCCTTTCAATAAACATTTTCAATAGTAATAGGTTAGGTATGGAAATAAGTAGGGGCAGGCCACCCCCTGCCCCCCTATACTACTTGCCTGCTGGTGAGGGCCCAGAAGCTCCGAGTTTTACCAAATATTTCATTCATTTTCTTGCAAAATATAAATATTGTCATTTAGCTTTTGTTTATAAAATAAAAGACATTATATTAATATTTATTGTTTTAACGCAAAATTAATACTTCCTTGGAATCTTATTGTACATGTCGTTAGGCTTAATATTTAACCGATATATTGGTATCATATACTCTTTTTTAACGTTCAAAAACACGTACATGTATACTAAAAGTTAATTTTTAACAAAAAATATCGTTATATAAATCATATACTAGTAGATCAGAGCATTCAACCATGTGTTAGAAATTTAATTTCTAAGAGATCTTTAAAAAAAATAATCAGTGTATTAAAGAACAATTAAAAATTAATGGATGATTTATTCGGATTTGGCAATGATTCAATAAAGGCATTCAAATTTTATTATATAATTGTGATAAAATTCAAACGAAACAGTATGACACAAACACAGATATTTGTTGGATGGTACAGAACGGAGATTTTTTCTTCGAATACTCCCCCTCTCTCCTTTTTTTTTTTTTTTTTTTTTTTGAAAATGATGTGTACGCACTTGCGTATTTGCGTATAGGCAGCTACGCCCCTGTACATGTACAAGTCCATAGAGATTAGTTTACATAATGCAATATATAGCTGTCGTCCATTTAATCAAGAACTATGTTTATCATATATGTATAAAGTGTAGTATATATAGTCAAGCCTTTACTGTTCTGTACATAGTTGTAGTAAATCCGGATACTCATAGCCCGAGACAAATAACAGGATGTACTTTTTCTTTCTGCCATTCTTTCTCTCCCTTTCAATTTTCTCAAATTTTCTACGATAAAACATGCATTGTCATATTACATTGAAGTATGTATAACTAGTGCTTGGCTTGTAGCGTGTGATACTGGTTTAGATCGGTATTTTATGCAGACCCTAATTAGATAAAAATGCACACCCAGTAAATCTATTATTAGACCCTGTCCAGAACTGACTTGTATATATATTCGTCTATTGAACTGTTTGAATGCACGTGTTTTTAGTTGTTACATGCATGTATGCAAAATTTACAAAAAACATTTGCAAGCATACAGTAATATTAAGAAAAGTTAAGTAATGCTGCTCAATATGTTGTATACATTGCATACACAAGATGTCACAGATTGAGAAAGCAGCCCAGACTTTATATAGGTCACGCAGTGAACTGCTAAACTAATGCGAACCAATATCGACGTAAATTTCTTCAAATAACGACATCTATTGATCGCTAACCGTAACATAAACGCAGGATTCAATAATATAAGGATTATAGCATGATATTATCTATAAATCAATCTCATTTGATGAGTAGATTTGTTTTTATTTGTAAATAAAACCAGATTTCCTAGTAACTTGTACCTTTGTTATGATTAACGAAGTTATTTTTACTTCAGCGGGTCATGTGATGAGCCACGTGTTCTTGCGAACCCAGTTCGGTTTACCCATGCTGCAATGCGCTACACATTCTCTCTATACAAGATGGCGGAAAAAAAGTAAGTTTAGTAGGGACATACATTTCCTCCTTATTTAATTATTGCGACCGTCTTTGCACCTTTGCTTTTACGTACTATGTTTGCTTTATGCTTTTCTCGTGTATTTGAAAAATAACGAAACACTAGAAGCTCAAATAGAAAAGACTACAAACCTGTTATTTAAAGCGAATAGAAATCACTAGCAACAGACGATATCGGGGCGCGTTTATGCATCAATACGGTCCTAAATATTTTAAACGATTTTCACCACTTCTAGGGCACGCAGAGACTTGAAATTTTGCAAAAAGAAAGAGAAGATATTTAATTATCAAAATATTATAGATTTGTTTGTAATTTCGAAAGTTTTGATACGAAATAAAACGATTTATCTTGTGTTATGAAAATGTTAAATCCTAAAGTGCGTATCATTGTTGCATATTGAATCACGTGTCCATACAACCCGCGAAGTAATAGGGGACTGGCATATCTATCTGAAAATAGATTAAGCTGTAAAAATGGAAAGACAAATGCAAGAAAACAGCTAATTTGGTAATATCAAATGAATATTTTTTGGAATCATGATACTACATTAGTATATAGACCTTCATTTGCCCTTGATTACATTATTAACATTGAAGTGGGTTTTTGTTTATTTTTCTTCTGAAAATCCTTCAAGTTTTAGCACATTAACTTGCATATATATGTAAGCTATGTTTAAATATAAAAATACTTAATAAAATAATTTATTAAAAACTTACATTTTGTCTTCCTTCATCAATTGAACATTACATGTGCATTCCATTTCTTTTAATTTCTGTTGTTTTCATTCACACATGAAATTAGCAGCCATTAAACATAATCATTGCAATATGATTGATAACCTGTGTCCTTTTGTCCTTTCTAAATGAATCTGGATATATGTGTCTTAATTATGTTTTATGTATTGTGATTGATCATGCTTCCTCTACATTAAATATGACTCTTACTCAATTTTTCATTAATTTAAAAGTGGATGGAGACTCAATATGATTTTATTATATAATAGTGAAGATTTCGTCATTGTTTTTTATGCAGATTAAATGAAGGTAACAACTTGTTATTTGAATTGAATTTATTTAATTATATTAGTGTGTTAATTCTTAGATTAACAATTTGAAGGGGGGAAACATTGAATGATATGTTTTAAGTGTAAAACTTTTTTAAATTAAAAGTTGTGTCAAACAAATAGGACATTTTTTTTAAAATGTCAGTGTAAGGTATCTTTCCTTGTTCTTAAATAAAAGATAATTTTATTTCTCACTGATATAGATCTAACAATTAATGAAAGGTAATGTAGTTATTAATAAAACATAAGATCAAATCTTTAGCTTTTCAAGAAAAGCATAAAATAAAGTTAGACCACATAGTACTTTTGCATCATTTAAATTTTGATTCTTCATTATAATGATATATATAATAATATATTATTATTCTTCGAATAAGGTTTAAACAACATCTAGAAAAACAAACTGGTTCTTGACTGTGTGTGTCCTAAGAAAGCAGCACTGGTACTTGTCTGTGTGTTTGTCCACTAAGGAAGTAGAAGTACTCCGTCCTTGTCTGTTTGTCTGTCTGAAAAGCAATGATTTTGATATCATTGAAAATTGTCTGTCATAAATGAGATTTTTAAAGATTTGATATGTACATCATTAAACTAATGAAAAAAAAAAATCAATTTATTGATGCAATTGGTGGGCATTTTATATTTAACACATTAGAGACTGAATTCAAACAATACATGAACTTGAGCAAAACATTTCTATTTTATGCAAAATTCTTTTTAAAATTTTCTCCTTTATTATTATTTTTTTTAATTAATTATACATGTTTTCAAAAATAACCTAAATAATATTTAGATTTAGTTGCTTTTTAGCATTAAGTAGCCATAATAGACTTTTGCAGGTACATTTGCCAAGGATAATTTGACTTGGAGAATATATTCTTCAAACATGTACTTGATCATATAATATACAATTTCAGTCAAGTTTTGAGCTCACCTGAGCTGAAGGTTCAAGTGAGCTTCTCTGATCGAAGAGTGTCCGGCGTCGTCATCTGCAAACTTTTTACATTTTCATCTTCTCCAGAGCCACTGGGCCAATTTCAACCAAACTTACCACAAAGCATCCTTGGGTGAAGAGGATTTAAGTTTGTTCACATGAAGGGTCATACCCTCTTTTAATGGGAGATAATTCAGAATTATAAAAATTTAATGGCATCTTATAAAATTTTTCTTCTCATAACCACAGGTCAGAAGGGATGAGACTTATGTGACAACTTCATAAAATAGTGTAGATTCAAGTTTATTCAAATCAGGATCCCTTGGGCTAGAGTGGGGCCACACTAGGCAATCAAAGTTTTGCTTAGGAATAGATAGGGAAAATATCTTTAAAAATCTTCTCAAGAAAAGCAAAGCCATTATTAGTCATATTTGATGTAGAGGCATCCTCAGGTAGTATAGATTCAAGTTTGTTCAAATTATGACCCCCCTCCCCCCCCCCCCCTAGGGGTAGGGAGGGGCCACAATAGGCAATCAAAGTTTTACATAGGTATATATAGGAAAAATCTTTAAAAATCTTCTCAAGAATAGCAAAGCCATTAACAGTCATATTTGATGTGGAAGCATCCTCAGGTAGTGTAGATTTAAGTTTGTTCAAATGGGGACCCCCGGGGCTAGGATGGGGCCACATAAGGTAATCAAAGTTTTACACAGGAATATGTAGGAAAAAATTTCGAAAAATCATCTCAAGAACAGCAAAGCCATGATTAGTCATATTTAAATGAAAGCATCTTCAGGTAACGTAGATTCAAGTTTTTTTCAAATCATGACCCACGTGGGTAGGGTGGAGCCAAAATGGAGGACCAAAGTTTTACCTAGGAATATATTGGAAAAATCTTTAAAAAATCTTCTTTTCAAGTACAGCAAAGCCATGATTGGTCATATTTATATGGAAGCATTGTCAGGTAGTGTAGTTTGAAGTTTGTTCAAATCATGCTAAAGGGGGGAGGGGGTTATATATTTAAATTTTTAAGTACTATTGAACTGGTCTTGCCAAAGTGCTCAGGTGAGCAATGTAGCCCATGGACCTTGTTAAATAATTGTAATGTATCAATATAATGTATCAAAGAATTCTAAATCATAAATCAATGATACATTGATATTGAATCTGTCAATAAACTAATTTGAAAGCTATTCAAACTTAAAAACTTTAAGAAGGGAAATTGAACCTTTTATTTGATAGATATGAGGAGAGTGGGGAAACCGAATTTTTTAGAACTTAGAAATTTGCCAAATTTGTAAGTTTCTCATTCATTCAAACTTATCTCTCAGATCTTTTTTTTGTATGAACCAGGCCAGGAGCTTCTGACACTGACCCCCCTCCCCTTCCCACAGAAATGTTTTGCATCCAGTATTTGGCATATCACATACTATAGACACATCACATACTGTATAGAAGAGTTATTTTACAATGCTTTAATTTTTAAAAAAAATCTGCATGACATGGGATATATAAAGAGGAGTCAACATTTTTAGCTAACCTCGACAAAGTCGAGATGAGCTTATGCTATACCCCCAGCATCGGTGTTGGTGTTGGCGTTAGCGTCGGCGTCCCGGTTAAAGTTTTAGGAGCAAGTCCATTCCCAAGTAACTATAAGCCCTACCTGGACCAAACTCGCATGGATGATGGATCTTAGGGATGGACACTACCACACTTGCTTCAGATGCTGGATCTGACCTAGATTTTCCAGATGAGTGACCAGGTTAAAGTTTTTGTAACTATAAGCTCTACCTTGAACAAACTTGCATTGATGATGCATCTAGGGATGGACACTACCACACTTGCTTCGGATGCTGGATTCGACCTAGATTTTCTACATGAGTGAATTTTAGCCATATTTTAACCAAATACATGGATGATGTAGCTAGGCATGGTCACTTCCAGACTTGCTTTAGATTCTGAATCTGACCTACATTTTCCAGATGAGTGACCAGGATAATTTTTTTGGAGTAGCTATATAACATTATGGCCTGTTATGATCAAACTTGCATAGATGGTGCATCTAAGGATGAAAACTTCCAGACTTACTTTGGATGTTGGAACTAACCAAAATTTTCTTGATTAGTAAACAGGATAAACTTTTTTTGAACAGGTCTATTTCCAAGTAACTATAAGTCGTACTTAAACCAAACTTGCATGGACATTGATCTTGGGATGTACACTAAATAAAAAAAAATATGTTGCCTTACTTAAAGATAACCTTCGTCGAGGTGAGCTTCGTAATCTTTGATTACCTATGTTTAAAATGTGGAAGTGGAACCAAATGAAGTAGGAGAAATTGTCCTATTATGTGTTACGTCTCAAATTGAGAAATAATCTGACTTTTTAAAGAAACTGTTCTTTCTGAAATAAAGAGAAATCCCCTTGTGATCCAAGATTAAAACGCATTATAAACTATTTTAAGTTCATGTTGAAGACCACTTTGAACTTGAGAAAAATGCCAGGGTCAAAGGTTATTCATCAAATGACCACTTGACCATGTCCCCAACATGTTTAGTTTTAAAATCAAGACATCATCTCTCTTGCTTTGGGGGGTGGGGGGTGTAATATGATAAGTATCTAAGTTTTATAAGATTAAGTATAGAACTAGGACACGGTTGTCTTTCTTTGGATGGCAGATTTTTTACTGTATTTAGCAGGTTCATATGGTCAATGGAGCTGTGAATTTCTAACACAGGTTCATATGGTCATTTGAGCTCTGAATTTCCCAACCCTAGAGATGTGAATTTCTTGGCATGCTGGTTTATACAGTTAAATTCTTCCTGTTATCAGAGTCATTGCTTATTTCAAGTTTCCTCAATGGGGAAAAAAACCCATTATGCCCTATTTAGTTTGGTGCCTTGAAAATCAAAGATGTATGGTTTAAGTCTGAAAGTGAAACAAAATCACTCATCCTGTTCATTGTTAGATGACTGGCATGATCTTAACTCAGTGTAACACTGCTGAAGTTGTAAATAGATCCATATTCATTATTCAGTAACATGTATGTTATAATTATGCCAGCACCATCACATAACCATACAGAGAAAAACCTCAGATTACTAATCCTAAATTCATAGTTCAACCCTTAAAAAAGAAAATGTCCAGCACATCAGAATTCTTATAAACACAATGTAAATATGCTGTTGAAACACTTATTTAGAATAGGGGTGGGGAGTGGGAGGGGATAAGTGATGGGAGTTTTTTATTTAGGTAAAGGCACTATGTACATGATGCATAAAAGAAGTCAGCTATCAATGCCATGGCAGTATAAACAAGTGATTTAAACTACTGAGTTTACAAATGTGTAAGTTATTAAACTGTCTCTCTACAACTTCTGGGAGGATCACTTGGAGGTTTTACAGTCACAATTTAGAACATTTTCTTTTGATGTACATGTATGTTATATATACAGTAATTAATGTAATATGTACTTGTGTACATTAATTAATCAGTTGATTTCATTTGCTTCTGGAAAATCTGCGATTTCTTCACAGATCGATCATGAAATGATTAATTAATAGATAAGTTAATGTTAGTTATTATAATGCAGCTGTAGATTTCTTTTTGGTCTTTGCTATCGATGATTATATTGCATTCATACTAAAACTAAGACGGAGTTAATACCATTCTACTACCAGAATTGCCCCTTGGTGACATTTTATCTACAATAATGGCAGACAAGAGTTAAGACTAAAGAGATTTCAGGGCACATTGCTTTACATCTGTCAGTTGGTGGGTATGTCAGTCTGTAGACGAAGTGTTGTCCACTCAATATCTTGAGAATCTTTTGTTAGACAGACATCAAACTTGGTACATTCAGGGGGGACAGTAAAACATGATTATACCAAATGCCCCTAAAATGAATTCACCCTTAAAGCGAAGTGATCTTCTTTCCCTGTAGTTTTAAAATATATAAAGTTAACGGATGTAACAAAGAAATGTATTTTACTGTAGACAACCACTGTCCAAATTGAGGTCACAAGGTCACAGGTCACAGGTCAAACTTCTCTAGACAGGAAGGTATTGTCCATTCAATATCTTGAGAACTTTGTTTGACAGACATCAAACTTGGTACTATGGTACCCTTTGAGGAATAGATTACGTACCACTGTAAATTCTCTATTCAATATATTCAGAACCCTTTGCTTGATAGGACATCATACTTATACATTGGTTCCCCCTAGGAAGTAGATGACCCCTATTGATTTTGAAGTAGAAGATCAAAGGTCAAGGGTCAAACCAGACATTAAGAATTTATTGTTTGATGAATATCTTGAGATTACCTTTCTTGGCAGACATCAAACTTCATACAATGGTTCTCTCTCTATGACCTTGTAGATTTGGAGGTCATTGAGTCAAAGGTCAAGGGTCAAACAACATAGAAAATAGACAAAGGAAGATATTGTCAGCTTAATAACTTGAGATTTATTGTTTTACATACACACTGGTAGGCATTGATACTCTCCAAGAAGCAAATCATCCCTAATGATATTGAGGTCTGTTAATAAGCAACTTTGAATTAAAAAATTTGTGAAAATGACATTTAAAAAATTTGAACCATTGCTCTCATTAGGTTTTATGCATTACTGATGACTGAATCTTGTTAATAGTGGACAGTCAGCTACACAGTGCCAGTGCTGATATATAGGTTATTATATAGCATAGACTTTAAACTTATATTTTACTTTATTCTAGAAACATCTGATTTTATCTTGATTTACAAATACCAACATATGTTTTTTAACACATAATGTTTAAACTTTTTTTGAAATACAATTATTCCATTAAATGTAATCAAGCTAAAAACAAAATTCCAAAGATTTGCAAGACAAAACATGCTTAAATGAAGTAGTGTTTAATTATCAGTCTGATAGATTTAAATTTTAAAAAGAAGGTTCAATGAAGGAAGTAAATTAAAAATGTTTGACTATAAATAGGAAAATACAAACTCTGAAATCCACTTCCTCAATGGTAGAGTATGTCTTTTTAAGCAACAGAAATATTTCATCTTTATTGCCCTGAATTTTTTTTATTGTGTTTTAGTCCTTCGGGTAAAAACAGTTTGATTGAATGTTAATGGCATCTTATAGGTACTAAATGAGTAGTGCATGCAGTAGTTTAGTGATAATTAATCTTTTGGATAGATCTAACATTTCAGGTTATATAATTTTGTTGTTGTTTGTTTTGTATTGGGGAGGGGGGGGGGGGTATTTTGCTTGCTTTATGCATTTATCTACTGGAATAAACATGTACATGTATACACAAGTTAAAGGTAGCTATTTATGTGTACAGATGAAAAATCATTAAATTCTTCTAAAGAACTACAAGGCTGAACATTGCCAAACTTCAGTGTACATTTTCTTCATGTGGTGAATAGATTCAACTTCAGATGATGGCCCAGGGGGCAGAGATGGGACCAAAAAAGGGTTTCAAAGTTTAATATATGGGAATATGTATATAAAATTAAAAAAAAAAAAGAAAAAGCATTAGGAAAGGCACAGGGCTACAATTTGTCCAAAAAGCCTGATTTATGGCCCATGAGACCATAATAGATGGTGGTGGGGTTGTCAGATTGAATGGTTTTTTTTTTTAATTGTAATATTAAAGAATTTATGAAGAATACTGTAGAGAAAACAAGGGCACAAATTATCAAATTAAAATGAAAATATTCTCATTTTTTGTAATTAATTATTTTACATATCATAAAATCACTCATTTTCATGAGGTCAAATTTTTATTGGGATGTGAGGAAAAGATGTTTGTTGTGAGGACTCTTATAGTTGAAGAAACATATGGAACTGTAGTTTGAAATTTTGTACCATTTTATGGAAGACATGAATTTTTCTGTGTCTTCTCATAAAAAAAAACCCCATCAAAAATACCCCTCCCCCTGTAAATAACTCAGTGTAAATTACTAATTTCACAGTATTTCTCATCATCATAATCACTGCCCTCTAGAAAAAATAGGAAATTTAAGGAATCAAGTTTCAAAATAAGGAGCAGATAAGACAGATGGAGAAAAAACTTGATGCATGCAAACATGTTTTCAAGTACAGTCAAACCTTGTTATCTTGATAAAACTTCGAGATATCAGAGGATTCAAGATATCAAGGGTAAAATACTTGAATAATAAATGGTTGGGACTTCCAAATCACATCGACATATCCATGGTATTTGAGATATCAGTGTTTGAGATACCAAAGTTCAACTGTATTGGCATTTTTGTTTTTAGTTTTTTGTTTTTTTAGTTTAATTCGAATGAAATATGTAATTGTCAACTCATTAAGTAAAAAAAAAAATACACTTTTCGCAAAAGAACTGATTTTTTGAGAATAAGAGAGTACATGCAATACTTTCACTTGACAGGTGAACAGAATCTAGAAAAAACATGGAGAAAACAGAATCCTTCAAAGTATGGCTCAAGCCTCTAAGAGGCATGGCTTGACCTTTCCTCTACGAGTGAAACCCCTTAATCAGTGCAGAAAATACACAGGTAATCCATTACTTCCTTACAAAGTTATAAAAGGTAAACCCTTTAATCAGTACAGAAAATATAAATGATATACTAAAATACTTTACACTAAAAAATAAAGGTAAAACGTTATCTCCCACAGAAAGTATAAAGTTGAATACCTATCTCAGTACAGAAAATATAAAGTTGAATACCTATCTCAGTACAGTGAGATATAAAGTTGAATCACTATCTCAGTTGAATACCTATCTCAGTACAGAAAATATAAAGTTGAATCACTCTCTCAGTTGAATACTTAACTCAGTACTGAAAATATAAAGTTGAATCACTATCTCAGTACAGAAAATATAAAGTTGAATGCCTACCTCAGTACAGAAAATATAAAGTTGAATCACTCTCTCAGTTGAATACTTAACTCAGTACAGAAAATATAAAGTTGAATCACTATCTCAGTTGAATACTTAACTCAGTACAGAAAATATAAAGTTGAATCACTATCTCAGTTGAATACTTAACTCAGTACAGAAAATATAAAGTTGAATGCCTATCTCAGTACAGAAAATATAAAGTTGAATCACTATCTCAGTACAGAAAATATAAAGTTGAATCACTATCTCAGTACAGTGAGATATAAAGTTGAATCACTATCTCAGTACAGAAAATATAAAGTTGAATCACTATCTCAGTTGAATACCTATCTCAGTACAGAAAATATAAAGTTGAATCACTATCTCAGTACAGAAAATATAAAGTTGAATCACTATCTCAGTTGAATACCTATCTCAGTACAGAAAATATAAAGTTGAATCACTATCTCAGTACAGAAAATATAAAGTTGAATCACTATCTCAGTACAGAAAATATAAAGTTGAATGCCTATCTCAGTACAGAAAATATAAAGTTGAATCACTATCTCAGTTGAATACTTATCTCAGTACAGAAAATATAAAGTTGAATCACTATCTCAGTACAGAAAATATAAAGTTGAATGCCTATCTCAGTACAGAAAATATAAAGTTGAATGCCTATCTCAGTACAGAAAATATAAAGTTGAATGCCTATCTCAGTACAGAAAATATAAAGTTGAATACCTATCTCAGTACAGAAAATATAAAGTTGAATACCTATCTCAGTACAGAAAATATAAAGTTGAATCACTATCTCAGTACAGAAAATATAAAGTTGAATACCTATCTCAGTACAGAAAATATAAAGTTGAATCACTATCTCAGTTGAATACTTAACTCAGTACAGAAAATATAAAGTTGAATCACTATCTCAGTACAGAAAATATAAAGTTGAATACCTATCTCAGTACAGAAAATATAAAGTTGAATCACTCTCTCAGTTGAATACTTAACTCAGTACAGAAAATATAAAGTTGAATCACTATCTCAGTTGAATACTTAACTCAGTACAGAAAATATAAAGTTAAATACCTATCTCAGTACAGAAAATATAAAGTTGAATACCTATCTCAGTACAGAAAATATAAAGTTGAATCACTCTCTCAGTTGAATACTTAACTCAGTACAGAAAATATAAAGTTGAATGCCTATCTCAGTACAGAAAATATAAAGTTGAATCACTATCTCAGTTGAATACCTATCTCAGTACAGAAAATATAAAGTTGAATCACTATCTCAGTACAGAAAATATAAAGTTGAATACCTATCTCAGTACAGTGAGATATAAAGTTGAATCACTATCTTGCTATAAAAGTTATAAAGCTGTTAAAAATAGCTCGGAAAAAAAAAACCTATACAGTTGATTCTCAGTATGATTCTGTCAGTGGCTGGGAGATAAAATAAGATTCTGTCAGTGGCTGGGGGATAAAATAATAAGATTCTGTCTTTGGCTGGGAATTTCAAGGCAAATAAACCTTCAGATTTAGGACTTTTTTTTAAAAGTAAATCAAGTACATTAATTTGTTAAGGAAAATAGAAATTTGAAAAATTGGTATACATATGAGTTTCACTCTCAGATACAGTTCCATTCAATGTTACTAGATAGTTGTTTATTTTTGTAGAGTATAGAGCCCCATAGTGATAAGTCAAGCTCAAGTAGACATGTGTAAAAAAGGATATATATAGGTTAATAACATTGAAATACCTTGCTCACTGAAATTTTGAGATTTGAATGGAAACCGTTAAGTAACATGATATTATTTTTAATTCTTTATTTCAGATTTGTGTGGGAAAAGGGTGGGTAACACTGACAGACCATTATTGTCCGTCATAAAACTGGAACCAAGTAGGAATGGTGTGCAACAAAACGGATCAAAACCGAAATCCACTACACCACAATCAACAAACCAGGAACTGCCTCACGAGCATAAAACCCACCATCTGAAATTCCATGAAAACCTTGTACACTGTGGCTCCCACAACTGTGTGAATACTGACCATCACAGAGTCTCAGTGTTTCCTAGTGTGGGTGAAGCTTTAAAAACTCTACCGAAGGAAAAGACTTGTAAAACCCTGCTGGTTTGTCTCGAAGATGTGTTCAGAACCTTACCGATTCATATAACAGCAGTGAAACTTTCACATGTGAATAAACTAATGAATCATTCACAATCAGACATTCAAAAGCAGCTCCAAGAAAATTTTGAAGAGGAACTGAAAAAGAGGCTGCAGAGGAAATCCCCAGTAGAGAAAGTTTACAAAGACTCTTCTATGGAGAAAGCCGAGGAAGGATGTGTTGATCTTTATTGTGATACCCCTGTTAAACAGAACACATCTTCAACAGGAAAGCCAAAACCCAAAGGAAAAAAGAAAGTTTTAGATGGGCAGAGTCCAAGGTCATCTCCAGGGAAACAATCGTCAAAGAAAAAACCAGACAGTGACCCAGCACTGGCCTGTGATGGCATTAATAAGTCTGAAACACAGGACATCAAACAAGGAAAAAAGAAAGGAAAAGGGTCACCTTCTAAAAAGAACACAAAGTCAATGGAGGGGGCTCTTATTGGAGACTACACAAATAGCACCCCAGAGAAACAGATAATTAAAAGAAAGAAACCCAAGGTGAAAATTGATCCTAGTACAACAGACATTGAAACCATTTCTACCTCTTATACACCATCTCCAGACTCCTGTAGCAGGAAATCTTCACTGAATCTCTCTCTGACTGGCCTGACCAGCCCAGGAGAGGGAAAAGAGTTACACATCTACACAAACCACAATGACAGTGCTAATTCTTCACATCTACAGAATTCAGGATGTTCTATCTCTTCTTCAGATAGAGAGAGTAAACCAATGGACAGTCCATCAAGTCTTTCACCTTCTAAAGAATTGGGTAGAAGAATCAGGGCCCCAAACGTAAGGTACTCTGATGATATTCTTCTCTTGCCATTAAAATCGCCAAGGCGGAGCCGGTCTCCAAAAGGGAGTGCAGAAAAAGAGGGAGCATCGGGGGTTCCAGATGAAAGTCCCACAGAACACGATTCTCCGGAGAAAGTAAAGAAATCCAGTGAATGCCAGACCTCACAGCTCTACTCTTTACTGACTAATAAAGGTCAGACAAATAAAAGTGTGATAGAAAAAACTCAAGTCATGGACAATGAACAAAAAGGGCAGCCATTATCTCTATTAGCACAGAGCTCCATGAACCCACCACTCACTAATGGTGTGGTGGATGACATGGAAACTGAATCTGTGAAGTCATCAGAAAAACCAAAAAAGAAGAGGAAGAAGAAATCTGACGGCGTTGTCTCAGAAAAATTAAAACCCAAATCTGTGGAGAAATCTGAAAAGAAGAAGGGAGAGAAAGTTCAGAAAGTCAAAAGTCCAAAGTCAGGAGCAGACAAAGTTAAAGGTCCAAAGTCAAGTGCAGAAAAAGTCAAAAGTCCTAAGTCAGGAGCAGAAAAAGTCAAAAGTCCAAAATCAGGAGCAATCAGAGCCCTACAGTTTGACGAGGGTATAGAGGAAACAGGTAACACAGAGAACAAAGAGGAAGACGCAGTAGAGAAAACTAAAGAGACAAAGAAGGGGAGGAAGGCAGGAACTCCAAAGAAACCCAGGAAAACTCCAGAAAAAGGGAAAAAAGCTTCAGCAAAATCCTCCCCGGAAGTGTTAGAATCTGTAAACGAGACGACAGGTTCTCCAACCTCAAGTAAATCCAAATCTGAGGACACAGATATTCTGAATTTTGTGGACAGCAACAGTTCTAGGTCTCTGGACTTGTTTTCATTGATAGCAAAAGTCAAAGACAATATTAATACAGATACTTTTCCTACATTTGCTGATGAAGTTCTTTTGAAGGCAGAGGAAGATGACACCAATAAGGAAGATTCAAATGAGAAAAATGAAAGTGATTCCAAACCAGACAGTGAGAAGGTGGACAACAACTCACAAAGCCTGGAAATTGTGGATGATTTCTTCTCTGCTGACTTCTTAAAAGTGTCACCAAAACATACCTCAAAGTCACCATCCAGAGAAAAAGCAAAACCAAGTATCAGTGAAGAGACCTCTACAAAACCATCTTCTGCTAAACTGGAATCCATTTTGTCAAACATCAAAATCAAGAAGAACTCTCTAGCAGATAAAGGTACCATGAAGGATTCAGCATGTGACCATCCTTCATCTGTGTCGTCAAAAACTGTAGACACCTCTGGGAAGGAGGAGAAACACGTCAAAATCAGGAATGTCGGGAGATTGGATGGAAAAGTGACGACAGAATCTACCAGTTCTTTTGATCCTAGTGTTCCACTTATGATTGACACACAGGAAAGACGTAACATTTTTGATATGATTATGACAGATTACCCATCTCCAAATAACATCAAAGGACAGAAAGAAAGCTCAGAAAAACACGAAGAAAAGGCGGAAAGTGACAAATCTAGTTCTGATGCAAAAGCCCATAGTGATATTAGAGATGTCTCTCCAAAGGCAAACGAAAATTTGTCTCTCTCATTACAGAGTGAGAAATCTGTGATCGAAAAAATTCAGGTGAAATTGGGCATTCCTTTGGAAGAGAGTCCTAATAAACAATCAGAGAGCAGCGATAAATGTGATAGTCCTAAAAAACAATCAGAAGTCATCAAAAGCCCCTCCAAGTCCACTCCGTCACTGGTGAACAGAGCATCTCCAGGCAGCAAAGAAGATAGAAGAGATCACAATAGCACCAAGGGGAGCTCAGACTATGAGGTGGTGATGGATACAGTAGACGAGCATCAAATGTTAATGGATGTAGAGTCTGACTCAAATCAATTATCTCCTCCAGATGGAAAGTCGAGCTCCTCTCGCCCTGTACCTAGGACTTCCACCCAGCGAGTCACAAAGGAACCCACGCCTCTAAGTGTTCTGAGCACTATTGAGACAGAGGTACAGGATGTCATGTCTGCCTTCACCAGTAATGTTTTGGATGAGTACCTTGACACAAAAACCAACAGAAAAGTCAAGCTCAGTCGACCCATCAAGAGGACTGACTCAGAGGAACGACTCGTGGACTCAGAGGATGAGCTTGAGGAGGTGACAGAGATGCCAGAACGATATGATGAGTTCTCTGGGATGATCGAGCAATGTGAGCCCTCATTTGATGAAGTGGATGGTGTCTTATTCACTTCCTTTGCTAATGAGGAAGCACTAAATGCACATGTGAAGGTGGAAAAAAAGACAAAAATAGGCAGGAATGAGAGCATTTTATTAGGAATGGCTAGAATGAAGAATTTGAGAGTGAAGCAGAATCAGATTAGGAATAGTGTTCACCAGAAGAAGGATGCAAGGTTAAAAGCTCTGAAGGAGCAGTATAAGATCAACCAGAGTCTGCAGGGAATGCATCTAGTACTGCTGAAGTATCAGAGAGTTTTCAAGAGAGAGCTGATTCTAGAGCTGATGGCAAAGGAACAGGAAAGTCCTGGCAGTGTCCGAGGTAAGACTCCCAAGAAGACATCAGACATCACCCAAATCAAGGGATGGAAAAACAAGTTTGGCCCTGATGGAGAAGCCCTAGAGATGAAAGCAAGTAAAGGAAAGTTACACTGGAGAACCGAGGAGAGACTTCTGAGGAACCACGATCCAGAGCAACTCAAACAGATGGGACTGGACCTGAAGAAGAAAAGGAGAAAGAATCTAGTATTCACAATCAGAAAGGGGATGTCTAAAGGTGATCCTAGCAGAATGGAGAAGGTCGACCTGACTTCACACACAGAAGAAGAGGAGGGCATGGAAGGGGGAGAGGAGAATCAGGATGGAGAGAACAGTTTTGGTCAGGAACTTGTGGAAATGGGGTATGAAATCTTAGACACTGAAAAACAAAAACTCAGGGACAAAAAGCTAAGGGAGAAATACAAGAAGTACCTAATGATGAAACTAAAGCTAAACAATGAAGATATCGATATTTTGAAGAAGCTTGGAGGACAAAGGCTAAGAAGTATGTTGAAACCAGAGAGTCCAAAAAAATTGCCCCCACCCCCACCTCCAACTCCCCCACCCACAGAGGAGGGAGACAAAGATGGAGATACAACCACAGAAGGGTCATTGGATACACCATCCAAAAAGAAAAGGAAGAGGAAGAAAAACTACTTCTGTATCATCACACTGAACAGTAGCATGGCTAATGCTGCATTGTCTGCTCTCCATCCTAAGTTTGTTGTGAAGACAAAGAAGAAACCCAAGGCTGTCAAATCCATCAAAAAGGAAGTGGTGGATCCAGAGATTGACAAGCAGAGCAAAGGTGGTGCCAAGGAGAAGGCAGAGGATAAGGCTAAAGATAGGAGGCCAGAGGAGAATGAAATCAGGGAGGAGTTTGACAAGATGTGTGATAAACCAGGTAAGAGGTGTCTAACACCAGTCTTTGTTTCTTCCTTCACTACTAACACTGACTGTCATTCTCACTGTAGAGTTTTATTTGTCATATTTGTAATGAAATATGGGATTCATTTGTAGCTGCTTTAGTTAGTTTTTCAGTGCACCTCATCTTTTCTGATGCATAAGCTGGCTTTAGATACAACAGTCATTTGATGTGTACATGAAAAAGATTTAAGGAGATGTATCTCAACTAAATGTTATAGGAATTCATATAGCATATATGTAAACTAAATTTATGAAGTCCTGCTGTGAACAAAGTTCCTGACGTACTTAAACCAACTTTCCTTTTGTCTCCTTTCGTTTGCAGTTTTTGTAGTATAATATATAAGTAGGGATTTTTCTCTCACAATTCCTTTGTCCCAAAAGGTCTCTTTTAGTTGAAGGTGAAAGAATAATAATTTGGTTCATGGCAACATTTCAAAACTATTTTTCACTGCTTGTGCAGAGGTCGCAAAGGAAAGTTTGTTTAGAGTTATAAATTTGGTACTAATGTGGCATTTATATATATATCTGCTCTTTGACTTTGTGGTGGTGTCCAAAAAATTGAAATGCACTTTGGAATTTTTTACTTGATCAGATAAAGTAAATGAAATATATTTGAAGTGTAGATTCTGGAGCAACAAAGAGAAAATTTAACTGTATTTGTGGATTTTTTTTTTTTTTTTTTTTTTTTTTTGAGTTGCTAGCATGTTCAGCTTATAATAATTGCTGCATTTAGGAGCATTCTTTCACATATAAGACTTGTACTAATTAATATAAACTTTGATTGCTGCATTATTTGCCCTTCTGATTGCAGATGAGTCTTTGGTGTTGTACAATAGCGGTATGTTCTTCTGTTGCTTACATTTCAATCAGAAACTTCACTGAACTTTAGTCACACACACTATTAGTTTGTAGTTAGTCATGCATAGTCCAGACTATATAAACTTTATTTATCAGATTTTTACAGAATAACCCTGAAATATGTCTTTTAAAATACATATTAGGATAATTTTAAGAACAAAACCATATAAATACTTTTTATAATGAGAAGAATTTTGTTTAATGATAAAAATGGAATTCTCTGGTTCCTGTCCAAAGCTACTGGTACCCTTGGTTTCCATTTCCTGTTTTATGAAGCAATCATTTCAATGTTATATAAGATGTTTGTATGGTAATTATAACTGTGTTCTGTGAAGTGTGATGGTTTTCCTCTGTGATACACGGTGATCAGTGCATGACAACTTCTTCCTTTGTGTTAATCCTATAATCAATTGCTATCACTAGGGAGTTGCTATGGTGATGACCTTGTATGACCTTTTTTTAGGTTGTCGCTATGGTTGTATCTGTCACCTATGTAAATTTTCCGGTGGATCACCAGAGACTACAGACCTGAGTAACATGGAGAAGAAATGTACCAAGGAGTACTGTCGACTGGGCTGTATCTGTGACGATAACCTTGACAAGGTCAGCAAGCATCACTGTGGAAAACCTGAGTGTATGATAGAGTGTACCTGTGACCCTGTTGCTAGGCGACGGACTAGTAGGTCAAGCTCTACGGGAGAGAAGGTGGAGAGTGGAGGGAACTCTGAGGATAGTCAGCCGGTCTCTCAGGAGGACGGGCAGATAAAGAAGCCCGGGAAGAAAGCCCAGTAGGTTTACTACCGAGTTTGTGTCCCTATATATTGATGTAATGGGTATTATTATACTTTCATGTTAAATACTAAAATCTGATTGGTTTAGACGCATTTAACAATCCGTAATGTTACCCTCAGCGTTAGCAACACACTTGACAACGGGTAACATTACAAAAATATCACATGCGTTCAAATCATGCGCGTACGATTCACCGTAGAATTCTCAAAACGTCGGTTGTGCGTTTGAAAGAAGCCGAATAAACGACTTCAATAAAAGCTTGCGTCCGATGTAGCTTACTTGAAAACAACAAACGACAGACGAAACATCCTTGCGAGTGCAAACTTTAGATGATAAAGGACTTTTTGAATAGCAAACAAACAATAGAGAGGTTGGTAAATCTTTTCCGAAGCTTTCTTATTGAGAAAAATAGAAGCGGGGAGTTTGAAAGCTTTCTAAGCGTGAACTTAACGACGATCTCCGAATTTTTTTTAAGACATCCGAAATCAATAAGACATTCAGTATAATAAAATAAATAGTGCACGTTTTTGAGGGTAACAGTTGAAATTGACACCCCTCGGAAAACCATTGTCAACCTCCGCTGACGCGTCGGTTGACAATGGTTTTCCTTGGGGTGTCAATTTCAACTGTTACCCTCAAAAACGTGCACTATTTATATAATAGTACTCTATGTAGGTTTACTACTGAGTCCAATAATACTGATGTAGTGGGTAATAGTACTCTGTGTAGGTTTACTACCGAGTCCTGTAATACTGATGTAGTGGGTAATAGTACTCTATGTAGGTTTACTACTGAGTCCAATAATACTGATGTAGTGGGTAATAGTACTCTATGTAGGTTTACTACTGAGTCCAATAATACTGATGTAATGGGTAATAGTACTCTATGTAGGTTTACTACTGAGTCCAATAATACTGATGTAGTGGGTAATAGTACTCTATGTAGGTTTACTACTGAGTCCAATAATACTGATGTAGTGGGTAATAGTACTCTATGTAGGTTTACTACCGAGTCTAATAATACTGATGTAATGGGTAATAGTACTCTATGTAGGTTTACTACTGAGTCCAATAATACTGATGTAATGGGTAATAGTACTCTATGTAGGTTTACTACTGAGTCCAATAATACTGATGTAGTGGGTAATAGTACTCTATGTAGGTTTACTACCGAGTCCAATAATACTGATGTAGTGGGTAATAGTACTCTATGTAGGTTTACTACTGAGTCCAATAATACTGATGTAATGGGTAATAGTACTCTATGTAGGTTTACTACTGAGTCCAATAATACTGATGTAGTGGGTAATAGTACTCTATGTAGGTTTACTACCGAGTCTAATAATACTGATGTAGTGGGTAATAGTACTCTATGTAGGTTTACTACTGAGTCCAATAATACTGATGTAATGGGTAATAGTACTCTATGTAGGTTTACTACCGAGTCCTGTAATACTGATGTAGTGGGTAATAGTACTCTTTGTAGGTTTACTACTGAGTCCAATAGTATTGATGTAGTGGGTAATAGTACTGTATTGTATAATATTTCCCTGTTCTCAATCTCCTTGTTGATTTTGCAGTGTAAGTTGTGATTTGAAATTTTCAGAGTCATACCTCAGAGAAAATCAACATACCGACTTGCCAAGAATCTGGATGCAGTCAGCCGTAAAGCCATGCTGGTTTACGAGGCTAGTGAAAAATTTGAGTCTCAGAAAACGAGAACACGGAAGAAGCAGGTATGCTGAGTGAGAGAAATTTATTTTGTTTGAAAATTCATTGCATGGTTGTATCTATCATTGGTATTAAAAAAAAGGTTCCAGCGTAAAATTTTTATTGTTTTTGATCATGAGCAGCAGGACTCAAATTTTTGTCATTATTATTTTCATAATAAACTTTAGAAGACTAAATTGTTCAGATGAGCTGCAGCCATTTGTAATACAGGTGAACTTTGGTTTGTTCACCTCCAATGTCTCGAATACCATGGATTTGTTGAAGTAATTTGAAAGTCCAAACCACCATTTTCATAATTTTCTTATTGTATATACCCTAGTTTCTTGAACATTTGGATATCTCTAAGTTTTTAGCTCACCTGAGCCAAAGGCTCAAGTGAGCTTTTCTGATCAAAATTTGTCCGTTGTCTGTCGTTGTCGTCGTCGTAAACTTTTCACATTTTCATCTTCTTCTCCAGAACCACTGGGCCAATTTCAATCAAACTTGGCACAAAGTATCCTTGGGTAAAGGGGATTCAAGTTTGTTCAAATGAAGGGCCACTCCCTATTCAAAGGGGAGATAATTATGAAAAAGCAAAAAATTAATGGCATTATTTAAAAATCTTCTTCTCAAGAACCAATGGGCCAGGAAAGATGAAACTCATATGGAATTATTGTCAGGTAGTGTAGATTCAAATTTGTTCAAATCATGACCCCGGGGGGTAGGGTGGGGCCACAATGGACGATCAAAGTTTTACATAGGAATATACAGGAAAAATCTTCAAAAATCTTCTTCTCAAGAACAGCAAAGCTATGATTGGTCGTATTTATATGGAAGCATCCTCGGGTGGTGTAGATTCAAATTTGTTCAAATCATGACCCCCGGGGGTAGGGTGGGGCCTCAATGGACGATCAAAGTTTTACATAGAAATATATAGGAAAAATCTTCAAAAATCTTCTTCTCAAGAATAGCAAAGTAATGATTGGTAATATTTATTTGAAAGCATCCTCAGGTGGTGTGGGTTCAAGTTTGTTCAAATCATGACCATCAGGGGGTAGGGTGGGGCCACAATGGACGAAAATTAAAGTTTAACATAGGAGAATATAGGAAAAATCTTCAAAAATCTTCTTCTCAAGAACAGCAAAGCCATGATTGGTCAAATTTATATAGAAGCATCTGCAGGTGGTGTAGATTCAAATTTGTTCCAATTATGACCCCTGGGGGTAGGGTGGGGCTACAATGGACAATCAAAGTTTTCATGGCGTATATAGGAAAAATCTTCAAGAATCTTCTTCTCAAGAACAGCAAAGCTGTGATTTGTCATATTTATTTGGAAGCATCCTGAGGTGATATAGATTCAAGTTTATTCAAGTCATGACCCCCAGGGGTAGGGTGGGGCCACAATGGACGATCAAAGTTTTACATAGGAATATATAGGAAAAATCTTCTTCTCAAGAACAGCAAAGCTATGATTGGTCATATTTATATTGGAAGCATCCTCAGGTGGTGTAGATTCAAGTTTGTTCAAATCATGACCCCCAGGGTAAGGGTGGGGCCACAATGGATGATCAAAGTTTAACATAGGTGTACATAGGAAAAATCTTCAAAAATCTTCTTCTCAAGAACAGCAAAGCTTTGATTGGATATATTTTTTTGAAAGCATCTTCAGGTAGTGTAGATTCAAGTTTGTTTAAATCATGACCCCCGGGGGTAGGGTGGGGCCACAATGAATGTTCAAAGTTTTATATAGGAATATATAAGAAAAACCTTTAAAAATCTCAAGAACAGCAAAGCCACGGTTTGTAATATTTATATGGAAGCATCCTCAGATAGTGTAGATTCAAATTTGTTCAAATCATGACCTCCAGAGGTAGGGTGGGGCCACAGTGAAAGTTCAAACTTGTAGAGAAAAAAGTCACAGTCAAAAAATTATGTAAGCAGTGTAGATTTAATTTTGTTCAAGTCATACCCCACCCCCCACTCCCTTTTAGGGGTAGGTTGGGACCATTTATGCGTTTAAGCTTTTCAATACTAAACTGATTTTTCCTTTTTTCCTGGCCACAGTGCTCAGGTGAGCGATGTGGCCCCTGGGCCTCTTGTTTTTAGGTCCCATCAAGTTTGAGACTGCGAGATTTGACTGTACATGATGAATGTATAAATGTGTTGACTTCTAAATTAAAGTTTTGTTATTTGTAGGATTCCAATGAAAACCAAACTCCTAATTTTACCGTAGAACACGTACCAAAACAACAGGGTAAGGGTTGTCCTAATTTTACCATAGAACACACACCAAAAACACGGGGTAAGAGATGTCCTAATTTTACCATAAAACACGTACCAAAAAAACAGGGTAAGAGATGTCCTAATTTTATCATAGAACACGTACCAAAACACAGGGTAAGGGTTGTCCTAATTTTACCATAAAACACGTACCAAAACAACAGGGTAAGAGATGTCCTAATTTTACCATAGAACACGTACCAAAACAACAGGGTAATTTTACCATAAAACACGTACCAAAACAACAGGGTAAGTAGTGTCCTAATTTTACCATAGAACACGTACCAAAACAACAGGGTAAGAGGTGTCCTAATTTTACCATTGAACACTTATTAAAAAAAAACGGGCAAGAAGTGTCCCAGGGTTATCCTTGAGTCTTTTGTCTGAATATATTCACCAAAGTAAGCCTTTTTTGAGCAACAGTGAAATATGAAGCACTAAGTAAAATTCAACTTGCCTCATTAAAATCTGATACTTCAAGGATCTGATTAGAAAATGAAATTGAAAATTTGTATGGCAAAACTTTGTTATGTTTATGCCAGCATTTTGTTTTTGTCATTAGACAACCCATCATTGATCTCTGAGAACCACAGTAGGATTTTAATAAAAAAAACCCTGTGTCTTTAACCTGCAGCTGATACTATTTATTTATATACTCTAATGGTTATGGATATTTATTGTGAGAAAAGGATTTGATAAGTGGTAGGTTATGTTTGGTTAGGGATATTTTGTCTGTTAAATTATATATGCACACCAAATTATAAATGTCATGATCAAAACAAAACTGCCTTAAATAAAAAAAAGCACAACATTTATTATAAAAATCTTAATTTTTTTATTGTTGCAGTAATGAATATTCCCCAGACAGAAGTGAGCACCGCTGCACCGCTCCCTCCAAGAAAACCTCAGGTGACCTTGGCCCTGGTCCCCAACCCAGGTCTTCCTATGACTGGACCGGTCACTATCTCTATCCCTCAACCTAAGATTAAACCGACACCCATCCAGACAGAAATGTACCGTAAAGCTGCAGTGGCCTTGAAGGTCTGGTCTATGTAAACATTTATTATATTTCTGTTAAAATGTTTTCTATTCAAACTTTTTAAACTTAAGATGGTAAAATAACTGTTGTAGTCTGAAAATTTTCACATAAAGCAAAGCTATACCATGGGGTTTAGTTTGTGCTATACATCCCTCAGGAAATTTTAATTCAACTTTTGACTCCAATATTGGATTTTGATATCCTGCAATATGATTGGTTGGCGACTTCTCCAACACTGAAGAGTCCCACAAAACTTATCCCCGGGGGGTATGAATGTGCTATCCAACCCTCAGAAATTATAATAGAAATTGGTATAATAAAATGCTTATCTATTTGCTGTGAGTGGGATAGCTCTTTCTTCAAACCATGACAAGAAACTATTCCTTTCGGGCAATCCCTCAGGGAAAAGTTCCTGTTATGGCAGTGTTTGAAATAACTGTGCACCCGATCACCCGAGATTCACAAATTTTGCTGCGGACAAAAAGATTTGCACGTGTGTTGAAATTTGCCATAAATTAAAATTCATATATTTGATAAATGTCTCTCAAATCAACTAATAGTATCGGTAGCTAAGTGTAACAAGCAAAGGGGTAGAATTTGACAGCCTATAGATTTGGGATGGAAGTTGTGGTGATCGTGCCCCATTCAAATTATCGCTAAAACAATTGTGTAAAAGACTTATTTTTTCTCGGGCTAGTAGAGTTTTGGCAGGGCTGACAATTTTCACTAGATTACCGTGAGTTTCAAACACTGGTTATGGATATGATAAAGAGCTATCCCACTCACAGCTGTTGGATAAGTGTATAATATGTACATGTACTAATTTGTATATACATGTACATCTACTGATAAATAAATACAATGTATATATTTACTGATTTATACATAATCTACAGATTTATGCACCTATATATTTACTGCAGAGTATTAAAAGAACTTCAAAGGACCAAACTTTTGGGAAATTTTATATAATTATACCCCCGCTCTGAAGGAGAGGGGGGTATACTGTTTTACCCTTGTGTGTCTGTCTGTTTGTCTGTCTGTGTCCGTCTGTCTGTCTGTGTGTGTGTCTGTCTGTCCGTAAAAAAATTTTGGTCACAGTTTTCTCAGCAACTACTCATCGCAGATGCTTGAAATTTTACACACACTTTGTTGAGGCATGCCATATGGTGGGATTAATTTTTGTACGAATCTGATGTCAACTTCCTGTTTATCCATGCGTCTGTCCGTACCATACATAACAAATTTTGGTCGCAGTTTTCTCAGCAACTCTGATTGCAGATGCTTGAAATTTTAGCACATTCTTTGTTTAGGCACGTCATATGATGAAAATACTTTTTGTACGAATCTGATGTCAATTTCCTGTTTATCCATGCGTCTGTCCGTACCATACATAACAAATTTTGGCCCCTTTTTTCTAAGCAAGTACTGATTGCAGATGCTTGAAATTTTAGCATACTCTTTGTTTAGGCATGCCATATGGTGGGAATCATTTTTGTACGAATCCAATGTCAACTTCCTGTTTATCCGTGTGTCTGTTCGTACCATATATAACAAATTTTGGTCGCATTTTTCTCAGCAACTACTGATTGCAGATGCTTGAAATTTTAGCACATTCTTTGTTTAGGCATGCCATATGGTGGGATTAATTTTTGTATGAATCCGATGTCAACTTCCTGTTTATCCGTGCATCTGTCCATAGCTGAACTTGTGTACATTCACATCAAAGCGGGGGTATTACTAGTGAGCACTGGCTCACAGACTTCTTGTTGAATGTTTGTTGCTCTAATTGGCTGCCACAAAAATCTCAACTTCTTTAATTGTTTTTCAATGAAAGACTTTGCAATTTAAAATATTATAAGACTCTACCATATGATGTAGATTTCTTGAAATATCATGCATGCACATGTACTGCAATTTGATTGGCTAAAAATTTAAATAGCCATATTTATGCCCCCCTTCAAAGAGGGGAGGGCATATTGCTTGGCTGCTGTCTGTCTGTCTGTCGATTGGTCTGGTTGGTGCGCCAACAGTTTCCGTTCATTTTCTTTGCAGAGGGTGCACATACTGAAATGAAATTTGGTATACAGATTTATCATAAAAACATCTAGGTCAGGTTCTGTTTTGGGTATGATCAAGCAATTTTTGACAGAGATATGCCCCTTGGACTTAGAAAAATTCCAATTATTGGGGGGGGGGGGGGGCATAAGTGTTTCACAAACATCTCTTATTTACATGAGATTTGAGATTTACACTAACACATATGTATATATTGTAAGTCTCTTTAAGAAGATATGTGCGAAATGTAGAAAACATATGCATGCACATCGCTGAAATCACATTGGCTAATACTTATAGGTTTTCCAATAAAATACTTTGAAAAATAAAGTGTAGATAAGTCTAGTCTAGATACATTAAATGAAAGAATTGCCTAATTAGATGAAGCTTGTAGGGAATAGGGAGCCATTTGGGGAACATCTGTAATGGTTTCCGTTACAATTAGAACTATGTAGTTACATTTTCAACAGTGACATACTGTATTTTTTAATGGAATGAAAATAATTATTATACCCCTGCTCTGAAGGAGAGGGGGTATACTGTTTTACCCTTGTGTGTCCTTCTGTCTGTAGCAAATTTTGGTTAGATTTCTCAGCAACTACTCATTACAGATGCTTGAAATTTTAGCACACTCTTTGTTCAGGTATGCCATATGTTGGGATTTATTTCTGTACGAATCTGATGTCAACCTCCTGTTTATCGTGCGTCTGTCCATACCATACATATCAAATTTTGGTCGCAGATTTCTCAGCAACTACTCATTGCAGGTGCTTGAAATTTTAGCACACTCTTTGATTAGGCATGCCATATGGTGGGATTCATTTCTGTATGAATCCAATGTCAACTTCCTGTTTATCCGTGCACCTGTCCGTACCATACATAACAAATTTGGGCGGCAGTTTTCTCAGCAACTACTCATCACAGATGCTTGAAATTTTAGCACACTCTTTGTTTAGGCATGCCATATGTTGGAAATTTTTTTGTACAAATCCAGTGTCAACTTCCTGATTATCACAGTGTCTGTCCAAAACTGAACATGTGTATTCACATCAGAGCGGGGGTATTATTAGTGAGCATTGGCTCACAGACTTCTTGTTTGTACGAAATTGTTTTCAGGTTACATTTATCAAAGATTTTTAAAATCATTTGAATTGACCAGTAAGAACCTTAAGCAATGTAAAAATTTGTCTCAAAAAAGTTCTTATTTTGTTTTTTTGTTATAGTAGAATCTTTTACAATTTCAGCCTCAGTCAAAGAAGACTGTGGATGACAGTGAGATGGCGCTGTTTGAGTCCGACTCGGAGGCTGAGGATATACAGGAGGTAGTGTCTTGTGCCAGAGTGGATGCCCAGTACACAAGGGGGTAAGGATATTCACAAATGTAGGTCAAAAACTAGTGGATTCTGGGAAGGGAGAAGTGAGTTGTTCTCATGCTGCATACTTACTTGAATATTAACTATTAGTAAATTACAATAACACAAGTCAACTAATTATGACATTGCTGAAGATTTTTAAATGGCTTTTAAATATAAAGAGAAGGACTGACATTCAAAAGTTCAATGTTAGTTTTCAGATGTCAGACTGTAATGTTCAACTTGCAGCAGATATAAAACAAAGTGCTAAAAATTAGGTCTATACTAATTAGAGTTGTATTTTGACAGATATCACCCTAAGAAGTGTACATGTGGTAAGGAGCATGTCCAGAGCCGGGCCGTCTCCTCCCAGTGTCCCTCCCAGGGTGGCGGTCAGATGGCCAGTAGTGGACTGTCTGCACTACAACACAGACTCACAGGAAAACCAATAGTAAGTCGTGTTATTACACACACTACAACATAAACTCACAGGAAAACCAATAGTAAGACATGGTGTTATTACACACACTACAACACAGACTCACAGGAAAACCAATAGTAAGTCACTACAACACAGACTCACAGAAAACCAATAGTAAGTCACTACAACACAGACTCACAGGGATACCAATAGTAAGTCACTACAACACAGACTCACAGGAAAACCAATAGTAAGTCACTACAACACAGACTCACAGAAAACCCATAGTAAGTCACTACAACACAGACTCACAGGAAAACCAATAGTAAGTCACTACAACACAGACTCACAGAAAACCAATAGTAAGTCACTACAACACAGACTCACAGGAAAACCAAAAGTAAGTCACTACAACACAGACTCACAGGAAAACCAATAGTAAGTCAATACAACACAGACTCACAGGAAAACCAGTAGTAAGTCATGGTGTTATTGCACACACTACAACACAGACTCACAGAAAACCAATAGTAAGTCACTACAACACAGACTCACAGGAAAAACAATAGTAAGTCACTACAACACAGACTCACAGGAAACCAATAGTAAGTCACTACAACACAGACTCACAGGAAAACCAATAGTAAGTCACTACAACACAGACTCACAGAAAACCAATAGTAAGTCACTACAACACAGACTCACAGGGATACCAATAGTAAGTCACTACAACACAGACTCACAGGAAAACCAATAGTAAGTCACTACAACACAGACTCACAGAAAACCCATAGTAAGTCACTACAACACAGACTCACAGGAAAACCAATAGTAAGTCACTACAACACAGACTCACAGAAAACCAATAGTAAGTCACTACAACACAGACTCACAGGAAAACCAAAAGTAAGTCACTACAACACAGACTCACAGGAAAACCAATAGTAAGTCAATACAACACAGACTCACAGGAAAACCAGTAGTAAGTCATGGTGTTATTACACACACTACAACACAGACTCACAGAAAACCAATAGTAAGTCACTACAACACAGACTCACAGGAAAAACAATAGTAAGTCACTACAACACAGACTCACAGGAAACCAATAGTAAGTCACTACAACACAGACTCACAGGAAAACCAATAGTAAGTCACTACAACACAGACTCACAGGAAAACCAATAGTAAGTCACTACAACACATACTCACAGAAAACCAATAGTAAGTAAGTCACTACAACACAGACTCACAGGAAAACCAAAAGTAAGTCACTACAACACAGACTCACAGGAAAACCAATAGTAAGTCACTACAACACAGACTCACAGGAAAACCAATAGTAAGTCACTACAACACAGACTCACAGAAAACCAAAAGTAAGTCACTACAGCACAGACTCACAGGAAAACCAATAGAAAGTCACTTCAACACAGTCTCACAGGAAAACCAATAGTAAGTCACTACAACACAGACTCACAGAAAACCAATAGTAAGTCACTACAACACAGACTCGCAGAAAACCAATAGTAAGTCACTACAACACAGACTCACAGAAACCAATAGTAAGTCAGCATGTTATTACACACACTACAACACAGACTCACAGAAAACCAATAGTAAGTCACTACAACACAGACTCACAGAAAACCAATAGTAAGTCACTATAACACAGACTCACAGGGAAACCAGTGTTAAGTCACTATAACACAGACTCACAGGAAAACCAATAGTAAGTCACTACAACACAGACTCACAGAAAACCAATAGGAAGTCACTACAACACAGATTCACTTGGAAATCAATCGTAAGTCATGGTGTTATTACACACACTACAACACAGACTCACAGAAAACCAATAGTAAGTCACTACAACACAGACTCACAGAAAACCAATAATAATTCACTACAACACAGACTCACAGGGAAACCAATAGTCAGTCATCGTGTTATTACACACACTACAACACAGACTCACAGAAAACCAATAGTAAGTCACTACAACACAGACTCACAGGAAACCAATAGTAAGTCACTACAACACAGACTCACAGGAAAACCAATAGTAAGTCACTACAACACAGACTCACAGGAAACCAATAGTAAGTCACTACAACACAGACTCACAGGAAAACCAATAGTAAGTCATGGTGTTATTAAACACACTACAACACAGACTCACAGAAAACCAATAGTAAGTCACTACAACACAGACTCACAGGGATACCAATAGTAAGTCACTACAACACAGACTCACAGGAAAACCAATAGAAAGTCACTTCAACACAGACTCACAGGAAAACCAATAGTAAGTCACTACAACACAGACTCACAGAAAACCAATAGTAAGTCACTACAACACAGACTCGCAGAAAACCAATAGTAAGTCACTACAACACAGACTCACAGAAACCAATAGTAAGTCAGCATGTTATTACACACACTACAACACAGACTCACAGAAAACCAATAGTAAGTCACTACAACACAGACTCACAGAAAACCAATAGTAAGTCACTATAACACAGACTCACAGGGAAACCAGTGTTAAGTCACTATAACACAGACTCACAGGAAAACCAATAGTAAGTCACTACAACACAGACTCACAGGAAAACCAATAGTAAGTCACTACAACACAGACTCACAGGAAAACCAATAGTAAGTCACTACAACACAGACTCACAGGAAACCAATAGTAAGTCACTACAACACAGACTCACAGGAAAACCAATAGTAAGTCATGGTGTTATTACACACACTACAACACAGACTCACAGAAAACCAATAGTAAGTCACTACAACACAGACTCACAGAAAACAGATAGTAAGTCAGCATGTTATTACACACACTACAACACAGACTCACAGAAAACCAATAGTAAGTCACTACAACACAGACTTACAGGAAAACCAAAAGTAAGTCACTACAACACAGACTCACAGGAAAACCAATAGTAAGTCACTACAACACAGACTCACAGGAAAACCAATAGTAAGTCACTACAACACAGACTCACAGAAAACCAATAGTAAGTCACTACAACACAGACTCACAGGAAAACCAATAGTAAGTCACTACAACACAGACTCACAGAAAACCAATAGTAAGTCACTACAACACAGACTCACAGGGATACCAATAGTAAGTCACTACAACACAGACTCACAGGAAAACCAATAGAAAGTCACTTCAACACAGACTCACAGGAAAACCAATAGTAAGTCACTACAACACAGACTCACAGAAAACCAATAGTAAGTCACTACAACACAGACTCACAGAAAACCAATAGTAAGTCACTACAACACAGACTCGCAGAAAACCAATAGTAAGTCACTATAACACAGACTCACAGGGAAACCAATAATAAGTCACTACAACACAGACTCACAGGAAAACCAATAGTAAGTCACTACAACACAGACTCACAGGAAAACCAATAGTAAGTCACTACAACACAGACTCACAGAAAACCAATAGTAAGTCACTACAACACAGACTCACAGGGATACCAATAGTAAGTCACTACAACACAGACTCACAGGAAAACCAATAGAAAGTCACTTCAACACAGACTCACAGGAAAACCAATAGTAAGTCACTACAACACAGACTCACAGAAAACCAATAGTAAGTCACTACAACACAGACTCACAGAAAACCAATAGTAAGTCACTACAACACAGACTCGCAGAAAACCAATAGTAAGTCACTATAACACAGACTCACAGGGAAACCAATAATAAGTCACTTCAACACAGACTCACAGGAAAACCAATAGTAAGTCACTACAACACAGACTCACAGGAAAACCAATAGTAAGTCACTACAACACAGACTCACAGAAAACCAATAGTAAGTCACTACAACACAGACTCGCAGAAAACCAATAGTAAGTCAGTACAACACAGACTCACAGAAAACCAATAGTAAGTCACTTCAACACAGACTCACAGGAAAACCAATAGTAAGTCAATACAACACAGACTCACAGGAAAACCAATAGTAAGTCACTACAACACAGACTCACAGGAAAACCAAAAGTAAGTCACTACAACACAGACTCACAGAAAACCAATAGCAAGTCATCCTGTTATAACAAACACTACAACACAGACTCACTGAGAACCAAAAGTAAGTCAACATGTTATTAACACCTCAAAGAATTCCTACAGAGGTTATAGATTTGTTTATCTGGCCACTGGAATGAATGGATATATCTCTATATAGTAGGGATGTCAACAAATAGTCGACTATTCAACTGTCAGTCGAATGGACCGACGATCGAATAATGAAACGACATTCGAATATTATTTTAACTAAATAAATGCAATAAATGAGTGATAGAATGGAATTCTCATAAAAAAAAAAAAAAAATGAGAAACAGTTTTTTTTCTCAAAGACAGTCGATGATTTTCCTCAACAAAAAATGGTAGATTTTCCATGTACGTATAGAAAGTACAGCAATTAAAAGTGCTTCACTACTTCGAGAAGTAATTGTCAGTTACTGCCTGTGTTGTTTTTGTAATAAATTACCAACCAATATAATGGGCTTTGTTTGTAAAATTATTAATTGGACTTGATCTTATACCATGTACCAATTATCTTTTGTTATTTTAAGTTTGCTCAAATGCAAGGAATAAACCTGTTTTGATACATCGATAATTATTAAAAGAATGCGCTTACATTTTAAACTGTTTGAGGACATTTTGATAGCCCCCCTCCCCCCCTCCATTTTATTTCATAATAAGCTTTAAAAATATCGGCTGGCAATTTTTTAATGCTTACTAAATAAAAAACGACTGCATGCACAGGCCGATTTATGAATTCTATTTACGGGGAAAATAATAAATTTTGGAGAATTAGGTTTCTAAATTTATTTCATAGAATCATGCTATCCACACGTTACATTGCATTAATTTTGATGTTACTTTTTAAATAGATTTAAGTAAAAAGGTTTCTGAGTATGTACCAATGAAGTATGAAATAAAATTTTGTTTTCAGAAAATGTTCCGAATATTCGACTATCGTTCGAATAATGCAATCGAATGATCGACTAAGGAAAATAAATATTTTGACATCCCTACTATATAGATTTTGTTTATCCTGTCTGTTTGTCCATCTGTTAGGAAGTCCATTCATACTGATGTGCATTGAGCTCAATTTTGGCTGTATTAGTTAGAAATCAGAAGAGCATATATGATTTTAAGGTGTTTATCTGTCTTTTTGTCTGTAACCAGTCCTTTTAGAATTATCTTTCAATTTTAACTTGAGTTCAACAAAATTAGGTTCAGGTTTAGAAAAATTCTGTAAATGAAAATTTTTGAAAAAATATTTCAAATCCCATGTTGCTTTTCTAATACATATTAAGCAATTATTTCAATCAAAAGACTATGAAATTTGATAAAGGTCATGACCATCTGCCTGATTATTAGCTCTGATGGTGCCTAAGAATTGAAGAGATAATGGTATGGCCATTTATGCGGTGTACATCAACTTTTTGGTATATGGGCCATATCTCAAGAATCCTCGGCCAATTTTTGTCAAATTTGTCATGAGTGTTCTTGGTTGAAGGGCCTTCATTTATACTAAAAATAGGGATGTGACTCTTAAACAAGGGGAGATAATTTGGGAAATCGAAACAAAAGTAATAGTTACTACAAAAATTTCCCCCTCAAGAAGCACTGGACACATAAACATCAGACCAATGCATATTGTGGATCAGATCACCCTGGGTCAAAGGGCATGGTCTCAAGGTCACTTCAAAGTTGACCTAAAATTATGTTTTGTGAAAACTTTGATATTTTGCTAACTATAAGGACAAGGATCATCAAATCTTGTCAGTTGATGATTTCAAGGCTTTATCTAAATATTAGGATACTACATGTAAGAAGCGTAGAATAGAAGTGATAGGTTGTACAGTATGTCAGAAGAGGGGTTCTTTCGACTCCAGGGCATGGATGCCCTTAACAACTTCTATTTTTTTAATTTAGATTTCTCCTTATATCACAACCTATCAAATATAGTAATTTGATTTAGGGGCAGGTCTGCCTTGGAGGACTTCTAGGCCAAAATTCATGCAAAAATTGGTGCTTTGACTGGGGAAATGCTGTTTTAGCCATCTTTGAATGTTAATTATGAAATTGCAAATGATAAATTTTAGGTTCAAAATGCAAATTTGAAACATTTAGACAAATTCACATTAGAAAATAACCAACAAACATTGAATTAAAATGTAACTATTTTCCAGGAAATTTATCTCTTCTTTAGGTCAATTCTTTAGAAATTCTGAATACATCCTTTTCTTTTCTTTTTCCCATTTCCCTTAGTTTAAGTGTTGAGCCCTAGGATTGAGCTAGATTGGTTCTATATTAAATTTGTTTTAGCTGTGAACGTTTATTAGCCCTCTTCTGCTATTTTGAAATTCATGTCTTGTAAATCAAAGTTTCATGCTTAAAGGATGGCCTAACATATTATCTTTATTGATTTTCTTTACCTTTTCAGACTGACACTGTCTGGCAAACACAGTGGGTGTGCCTAAAGAGCAACAAACCCCCAACAGAAGGGGATTCTGTCAAACTGTTAGAAATCCTCTCCAACAGCAACTGGGAACCTCACAAACAGAAAATACTCTCCAGGATCTCAAGGCATATCCACCACAAAAACCAGCCAGAGGGTCAGGCTGATAGCTACCCCCAGCCCTGCCTCATACACATCGGGGAGTTTGAGATTGAATTCCTCCCTAAGTCAAGCAAGCCTGCCACCATTCCACCTGAAGTCAGGAACAACATGCCGTCTGCAATATTCTCCATCCGAGTTAGAATTTCAGCTAGGGATTTGAATTTTCCTAAACTGTTTAAGGCTCTTCCATTAGATAGTACAGTAAAGAACAAGAATACATCAAGCTCACTGCCAGACAAAGTAAACATTACAAACAAGCCCCCACAGCCTGTGAATGCTCCTGTAAGTGATGGAGAAATGAACAAATCTAGTCTCGGTGTGACAGGAATATCTGGCTTCAGTCGACTTCAGATCAACAACCGCTCCATCGTCAACAAGGATGGAAACTCGCCCACTGACAGATCTCACCTTCACCCCATCTCTACCCAACAAATGACTCAGATGAAGCCTTCACAGCTTCACAGCCCATTACAGATATTCACCTCATCAACAACCATACAGAGCAGTGGAGCCAGACTGGTAACCCCCCAGACCGTGACGGTAACCAAAGTCCTTCCAGCTGTCCCTACAGTATCACACTCCATTACAGTGTCATCCACAGCTTCTCAGTCTACCACTACTTCATCCCTGACATCCGTACCATCAACAAGAATTAGCAACATTAAAAATCAAGAATCTTCAATCTCTGTGATATCAAGCATTGGATCGCCTTCTGTCCACACATTAAAATCAATGATGAACTATGTAACATCCTCATCCACTCCTACAATAGTGATGAGTTCTGAGAAACCAATAGGCAGTACTCCCATTATCTCAACATTAGTGAAAGGAAGTGAGGTCTTCTCCAGACTTGGTGCAATAATCACCTCCTCAGTGGTTCCTAGTCAAACTCATCCAACGTCTAACCCCATTAATGTTACTGCTACCTCAGTGATTACTGCAACCACATCAGTCACCACCGATAAACCAGTAACATCCATATCAGTGATAAAACAGTCCCCTGGACAATCTAGCCAGTCAGTGGTCAGCAAGTCCACCCTAGTCTCTCTTCACTCTGTCCTCCAAAACAAAACAGTAGCTTCCTCTTCACCAGTAGTAGCCAAACCATTATATCTAGCAACACCTGTTCTTTCTTCCACTGAAACTAAAGTGCCTGTAAGTAACAACACTATGCAGGTTCATGACCTTCGACCTCCTGCCAGCCTCAGTATGACTCAGGTTCAAGAGAAAGTTTGTGTTCTGGGTCCCAAGTCTTCCCCTGTCACATTACTCGGCCCCTTCACATCTCCCTCTAGTATCCCAAAGGTTCTGCCACAGATGAAGATCATCCAGTCCTCCATTCTGGATAAGGATGGAAAACCAGTCATCCATCTTGTTCCTTTTACTGGACCAGTGTATGGGAAACCAAGTCCTATGACCTCAGTCCTAAAGAGCTCGCCTGTAGTGAATTCAGGGACCCAGGCAGAAACTGTGAGTGGGATAAAGAATCCAACGAATGTGTATACTCTGTCGGATGTGTCCACCACCACAACCAACATAGCTCATGTCTCTAATGCGTCCACTACAGTCACTCAGAGTACAGTACCGGCCATGTCAGAGAAAGTTCAGGGGCCACTGCTGCCCAAACTCGGAGATCAGATTCTGCTTGTTTCCAGTGATGAGCAGAATCTTAAGCTGCTGAACAAGCTTAAGGCATGTGATAACCCGAGAAATGACCAGAACAAAAGGGTAGAGGACACAAACAGTAAAGTCATCGAAGATTGCAGCAGTACTGAAGTCAGCAAGGAAATGGAGGAAGTACCTCAGCAATCAAATGTGGAAAGTGTTTCTGTAAAGCGAAAGCTTGATGATGAGAGAGAGGAGGAGAGAAAGAAATTAAAAACCAGTGAAAGTGAGGATAAAAAATCCACAGAAGGAGGAACTCATGTGAAAGAGAGTGAGAGTGTTCTGGCTAAGATTCTCCTCTCTGATGCCATTAAAGAGACTTATAGTAAATACAGAGACATTACAGCAGATGTTGTTAAAGAAGACACCAAAGCCAAAAAGGAGGAGACTCCATCCTCCACCACTGATAAAGAAAGTATTATAGGCAGTAAAGAAGATGAAGAATCAAAAACCACTGGATCAGATAATTCAGGTAATCCTATAAACGGAGATGAGGAGCTTAAAGATTCAAATCGGGAGGACAAGGAGAAGACACAGGAAGTGGAATCTGAGAGTGAGTGTGGGAGTCCGGACAATAGGGGCCTTCACACTGGGGCAGACCTGGACTCCAGCTGTGATAAGAGTGATGAGTCGGATGCCACAGTGGTTGGAGGAATCGAGGCTGACCAGAAAGATTCTGAGGGAGAAAGGGGAGACAAAACAGAAACTGATGAAGGAAAAGCAAAGGAGGATCAGACATCAGAGGCAGAAGAACAAGTTAACAAAAGTGATGTAGAACAGAACACAGAAAAACCTTCTGAACCAGAGGTTATCTATATTTTGGATTCACCTGTGAAAAAACCATCAGGAAACACATCTGTTGCATCAGATAACGTGACTCCAAATCATCTGGACAAATCCAAAAACGAGGCCGGTGAGGCAGGGGCTGCTGTCGATACAGACACTGGAGTGACCTCTGAAGAGAAGGAATGGGGGCTATCGGTGAAGCGCAGACTATCCCAGGAGGAAGTTGAGGGTAACAAAAAATTGAGGACCGAGGAGAAGGCTGAGGAGAGTGAGGAGGACCTGTGTATGACAGTGGAGGACACAGATGATATGGCAGTTATTATCCCTAATGAGGACTGTGTGGAAATTATCAACTCCTCAGATGTAAGCCTAGACTTAATACATGCAAATAGAAAACCTTTATTGAATTTTTTATTAATATATACAAATAGAATATCTTCATTGAATTTTTTATTGACTAAGTTCCATGGTGAAGGAAAGAATCCCCTTTCAGTGTTTCATATACTGTGTATGTTAACATTAAAGTAATAATTAAATTAATTGAGATTATTCCATAAATAAAACAAAAAAATACAGTAAAACTGTTTATAATAATTTAGCTGATAAGGAAATTTCAGCTATAAGTTTCTGTATAAGAATCCAGTAGAAGACTTGGTACTATGTTCTGATATTGGTATAAAGAATCTGGCTTATAAGGAAGCAAAATTTGACATCCCTCTGACTTCCTTATAGCCAATTTTTACTGTAATGGCTGTGTTAAATATCTAACAGGAGATTTTTACCATAATTGCTGTGTTAAATATTTCACAGGAAGAGATAGACATCGAGACAGAGACAGACGTCAACATGAACAAACTCCTGAGGAAGCAGTCGGACAATAGGTGGGAGTTCTTCAACCCGAACTGCAATGTCCACTGTATCAACAAGAAACCCCACGCTAAACGTAAAAGTAACCACAAGACCATCTCCAATGTTCTCAAAGATGATTTCCACTTCAAAGAGGTGAGAATTGTCAGCTCTCTGTAGGAGAACATTTCAAGTACTTGATAGAGTTTAAATGATATGTATATTCTCTTGAATTTGCTTTTGGATTAGAATCCAATGTGACATTTAATCCAGATCTCAGATTCTTGGTGAAGGTCAAGGTTTCTGATTGTCAACATTTTAGGTTATCAAGGTTTCACAGTATTAAATGTTTTCTGTTTGTCAGTTATTTATCCACCCATATATTTTTATCTTTCATGAATGACGAGACAAAACATTTTACTAAGAGATTTTCTATTTTACTTTTAGGGTGTGCTGTCAGACCCCAAAACCAGAAAAATTCAGATGAAGAAAACAAGGTCCGTTTTTCTCTCTTCTACTTAGATGTAACTTTAATAAAAAAATAAAAAAATGAAAAAAATAAAAAAATAAAAAGAAAAGAAAAAAAACCTCCGTCACTTCTTACCTTTGAATATATAGCAAAGCATAACAGAAATCAATTTTTTTTAAATTAAATTTTATATAATAAGCTTGAACAAATTTGAAAAAGGACACTTAAATTTCTTTGTTCAAATGAGGGATGATATACATAACACATTTAATGGTGGAGACAGTCTTAGTTTAAATTAATGTTTGGGTGTCATGTTTCACTAGCACCTCTTGTTTTGATGGTTTGAGATATGTAATGTCTGTTGAGTTGCTTGAGAAGTCATTTGTTTGCATATGCCTTATCCTATGGATATTTTGTTGACAGGGAAAAGCAGCGTCGTGAGGAAATGAGGATTTCCTTTAAAGCCTTGGCTGAGTCAATGTATGGAGAGGACAAAGATGATACCAAGTACTCACAAATCCTCAACCACACCGAGCCCAAAGTACAGCTCCTCAATAAGGTAAAGTATAGGTCCTCAACCACATCGAACCCGAAGTACAGCTCCTCAATAAGGTAAAGTATAGGTCCTCAACCACACCAAGCCCAAAGAATAGCTCCTCAATAAGGTAAAGTGTAGGTCCTCAACCATACTGAGCCCAAAGTGCAACTCCACAAGAAGATAATAAGGTAAAGTATAGGTACTCAACCACACTGAGCCCAAAGTTCAGCTCCTCAATAAGGTATAGTACAGGTCCTCAATCACACTGAGCCCAAAGTACAGCTACTCAATAAGGTAAAGTATAGGTTCTCAACCACACTGAACCCAAAGTGCAGCTCCTCAATAAGGTATAGTACAGGTCCTCAACCACACTGAACCCAAAGTGCAGCTCCTCAATAAGGTAAAGTATAGGTCCTCAGCCATACTGAGCTCAAAGTGCAACTCCTCAATAGGGTAAAGTATAGGTACTCAACCACACTGAGCCCAAAGTGCAGCTCCTCAATAAGGTAAAGTATAGGTCCTAAATCATGCTGAGTCCAAAGTACACTTACTCAATAAGGTAAAAGATAGGTCCTTAACCACACTGAGCCCAAAGTGCAGCTCCTCAGTAAGGTAAAATATATATAGGTCCTCAACCATACCAAAACCCAAAGTGCAACTCCTCAATAATTTAAATTATAGGACCTAACTACAGCGAGCCCAAGAGAAATCCTTAATAAGGTTAAGTTTCTTAATACCATACTGAACTCAATTTGCAACTCCTCAATAAGGTAAAGTATAGGTCCTCAACCATTCCTAACTTTAAGTGTTCCTCCTCAATAAGGTTTAAAATAGATCCTTAGTTATTCTTAAACCAAAGTGCAACTCCTCAATGAGGTAAAATATGGTCAACAGCGATACTTATGCCAAAATATAACTCCTCAATTAGGTAAAGTATGGGTCTTCAGTCAAGTACAACTCAGAAACCATTGTGTCAAACAGGTACAGGGGAACATAGTTTCATAAATTATTTGAAAAGTTTATCTATTTTTCCATGATTTGTACTAACCATTTCTAAATTCCCAAGCAGCACCTCAAAATATCAACCAAAAAGTGTTTATCTGGTAATTTGAGTTTTGTTCTTTGACAGGCTAAAGAAAAGATCGAACACATGGAGAAAATCAGTCGTCTGATGACGAATGATAAGCACTCAACTCAGGCACGGAATGCACAGCTTCAGTCAAAACTAAAGAGTCTGAAAGGTAAGCTATAATCTGTTAAGACACAAGTAAGGAGTTGAAAGGGCTAGCTGCAATGTGTTAAGTCATGACTAAAGAGTCTGAAAGGTTAGTTATACCTGTTAAGTCATAACTAAAGAGTCTGAAAGGTAAGCTATAATCTGTTAAGACAGGACTAAAGAGTTGGAAGGGTTCGCTACAAAGTGTTAAGTCATGACTTAAGAGTATAAAAGTCAGCTACAATTGATTAATTCATAACTAAAGAGTCTGAAAGGTTAGCTACGTCGGTTAATTCATGACTTAAGAGTCTGAGAGGTTAGATACAATCATTTAATTCATGACTTAAGAGTCTACAATCTGTTGTCAACTGTTAGGCTGTATAACAAACATTGTTATGGCATGTGTTTTCGTGTGCAGTTTTTAAAAAAAGAAAGTAGGAAATTTTTGTTGCTTATCTATTACTTGTGCATCGACGTTGAACAGTTGTACAAAACTTTGGAAAAATTGCGTGAGTTTTTAAGATTTAAACAATTATTTCAGAGTTTATCATACAAGATAGAGGAATGTCTTGGATGGTTCTACAAGCTCACCTAGATAAGATCTCCAAGGTCTGCAAGAAAATTTTCCAGAACATGCCGGCCATACTGAAAAAGCGAGCCATGGAGCGTCGAGCCGCCACTGGATCATCTGGTAATGTTCCAGGTTCAGTCCGGTTAAACTCGCCATTTACTAGGCCTGGTTTCCTCTCCAGAGCACCAGGATCTGCCCTGGCATCCAACTTGAATGGACCAGTACCAATACAAATGGTGTCCTCAGAGCAGGTCAGATCAATGGCTAAAAGTCAGGAGCTAGCCAGGTCCAAAGAGAACATATCCAGCCGTCCCGACATATACATAGACTATGCAGAGGAAGAACATGAAATCTGCGAAGATTTGATGAGACGTGAAGAAAAAAATCGTCGAAAGCAGATCCATGAGGTTAACATGAGTGATGATTTTAGTTTTGAAATTGGTGACCTTCCTAGTTTGTTCAAGAAAGGAGATTATCTTGGGAATTACTCTCCACAGGAGGGTAAAGTTGTCAATAATTCTCCAACTCTGAAAAGTGAAGCCCTGAACAACATGGACAGTGAGGATGAGAAAGTGATTATTGCTGACGAATATGATGACTCTGGGAAGATGACTGTTTACAGACTGAACTCAAACCCAGTAGTGGAGGTACCTATGTCAAACACGGGTAAAATAGTCTCCTCTGAGAGCCCCAAATCCAAACCAACGATATACAACCTGGAAGATGGAGAGGAAGAGACACCTATGTTAGTCATTACAGAGGTCAAAAGTCTGTCCTCAGATCACTGATGGTCATTATGGAGGTCAAAAGTCTGTCCTCAGATCACTGAAGGTCAAACATGTATCTTCAGAACACTAATGGTCATTACAGAGGTCAAAGGTTCTGTCTTGTGGCCATTGATAGTTAATGCAGAGGTCAAAGGTCTGGGTCAGACGACTGTAGTCATTATGGAGGTCAAAATTAAGTCCTTGTTATATATTTAGACATTTTAATAGTCGGATTTCTCCCCACCCTCTGGATAGTAGTCAGTCCATTGACAATGTCCTAATTAAGTTTAATTAAAATTTCTCACTCAGAACACACTTTCAAATTCAATCTGAGGTTTGATTTGCAAGGAGTTAACTTCTTTGAAAGGTAGAGGTATGGAACAGAAGTAGAATGTAGTGTGTTGAGTTTAAATGTTCCATTGGAACTGTATATGGTACCAGTCACAAGACTGAAGAGAGTCCTTCCACACACTCTTAATGTTATTACAAATAGATAAAACCCAACAGATCCATATCTTAAAATTGAAGGTTCAATCAATCCAGCTCTTTTAAGTTTTAGTATGATCCTCATGAAACAGATCCTAAAGGAACTTTTACAGTAACAGTTTCAAATGGTGTGTAGGACAGTCCAGACAATATTAATTATTTTTCTCTGACAACTTTTACAAATATTTGGAATTGAAAGATTTGATTTCAAGTTTCAGTAAAGAGGATATTGGCTGACCCAGATTATTACCGGTAGGTCACTTTTATTTCTGACCAATATAAAATAAACAAATACAGTCCAGTGCTCTTCATTATTAATACATGTTAAGGTGTTTAACTCTGTGATGGTCAGACTGGAATTCATTTTAGGTCCTGATTCACTACCTGTAACATTAACTTTATTTGACAAAGAAATCCACTGAGTCTTTACATTTATATAGCTACATCATTATTGAGAGCTCTGTAAAATGTTATGGTTATTTTAAATGACAAAGTTTTCTGTTAAATGTGATAAAAAAATTAAGCTGACTTGTGTGTACCCTGACAGATTGTGTGAATAGAGGCATAAATATCCTACCATTATTCTGGATCCTAGATGACTATAACCCTATTTTTTTGTGTATTGTAGATATACACAGACTTGTGATAATGTATGTATATATATGAATATATATATTCACATGTGTTCATATTGCTGTAGGATTTTCCGTCTTTGAATTTTTATGAAATCCTGTGACAATTCAGTGCTAGCCAAGCGTGATTGTGTTTATATCTGATTAATTTTGTGTATTTGTGTTTATTGATGAGAAGGAGAAGTTGTATGGATTTGTTTGTATGTCGTGAGGTGTATTACTTTATTAAGAAGTATCCTCTGTGTATGCCCTTAAAGTGTTTGGTTCATTAAATATGTTTATCTTAATTAGAGAAATGTAACGGACATTTCCATGCAAGTATCTTTACAATGCAGACATGTTTTCTGTTTTTTTGTACATAAATAGCTTGATGTGTTGCTATACACTAAAGCTAGCTTATAGCTTGATGCGGGTATCATAGCAAAAATGCAGAACAATAAATTTGTTATAAACCATGCACCTCTAAGTTTTTTGTTGTACTTAAAGTTAAGTTTGGAGGTTTAAGAAAGGGACAGATTAGTACAGGAACAGTGCTGTATGGATATGTACTGTTAGCAAACCCCTAAATAGCCTTAATGAGAGAGAGTAATAGAGTGAGTAGGTAATAACCCACCCACCCCCTCCTTTAATCCGAGGGAGTGGGGTGAAAATAGCAATACTGTTAGAGTGTTACATTCAGCTTGAGTCTATAACCAACCTCCTGTTTTTCCCTTTAATGTGTGCGTGGCAAAGGTATATTTTTTTACTTTTTGATCTCCAAAGACTTTAGGAAAGATAACTCTGCTGTACTTATGTGGCTGTTGAGGAGGTTCACTTGGTCTGAAAGAAAATATCACTGTCATTCAGGATGCTGGGTTCAATTTTTTTTTTCTGATCTGCAGCATCTTTCTCGCTTATTTGGTGTGATGAGAATTCCCAGGAATTGACAATCATTCAGCTGGAAGGCTTGTCAGTATGAATTGAGGGATTGTGGCCTCAGGCAATCCATTTCAACAATGGTCAGATAGTTTGAAAGAGCACCTTGTGTTTGGGGTGTCAGGGCTTGAATCCTGGTTTAAACAATTTCTCTCAGAGATGAGGTTGATCTCTTTGCAAGACAAGTCATTAAAGGAGGACAATTGTGTTGATTAGGAAATTTATAAGTTGCCAGATATATGTCACTTGATGGAGCACCTGCCTAGAGTTAAGGGCCCTGGATTTGAGGATTTTTCACATATTCTCTCTTTGTGGACAAAGTTTGGGAACTCTGTCATTAGATCTGTGATCAGACTTGGGTCTTGGAAGGAAAACTGAGGTAGGATTTACATATAAAAATAACTGGTTCCTGTAGCAATAATATAACTGCTTCCTTTTAGCAATACAGTAAAACTTCTTTAGTACAAACTCGGACATTACGAAGTTTTTCAGGATCCCCACTAGAATTCTTAACAAATCCTTGTAAAATTTTATGGTTATAATAAAACCTGATAAAATGAATTTACGGATATAGCTTACTTTGTGGTCCATGGGGCTTAAAAGTAACGAAATTTACATTGTTTTAATATAAGTAACAAATTGTTAAAGACTGATATAAAAATTTAAAATATTGAACTGAAAAAGTTTTTCAAATCTCAGTCTTACAATAAAAATACCAAGTGCTTATAACACCAAATTTTAGTAGAAAAAAGCGAGCTTGTATTTGTGTAGGAAGTTCAGATTTTTTTCAAATGCTTGGACATGTACAATGTTTTTGTTTTTCTTTATTGATCAATTTTCAATAACAGATTTCCACAGTGATATGTCTAATATTCACATTACTGAGAAAACATAAGAAATTTTGTGATTTTTCTGATCACATTTTGTCTGGCGTCCGTCTGTCTAGCTGTCCATCTGTCTGTAAACTTTTCACATTTTCGACTTCTTCTCAAGAATGGACACTTACAGGTGACTTAAAAAGAATGGACACTTACAGGTAACTTAATGGATTGTTTGGGGAGTTAGCTCAACATTAAGCTATAGAATGGACAACACAAACAAAAAGTTTACGTCACAATCATGTTTTAAATTCTATTCATTGATTTATTATGATCTAACACGGAAATATAATAAAAATTCTATCTGGAAATTATTAAAACTACGAATTTCGGGACGCGTTTGATTGACACATCCTTGCACTTTCACAAAGTAAACCTTATCCTGAATACTTAAGAAAAGTAGAATTAGTACTAAATGGACAATCATGGTGGTGTATTTAATACATGTACACCCAATTGACAATTTTTAGCAATCATATAAATGTATTTAATACATGTACACTCAATTGACAATTTTTAGCAATCATGGTAATGTATACCGCACACAATGGACAATCTTGAAAAATCATGGTAATGTATTTACTGCATCGGTGGACAATCTTGAGCAATCATGATAATGTATTTACCACTCTCAATGGACAATCTTGAGCAATCGTGGTAATGTATTTACCACACTCAATGGACAGTCTTGGCAATTATGGTAATGTATTTACCACTATCAATAGACAATCATGAGCAATCGTGGTAATGTATTTACCACTCGCAATATACAATCTTGAGCAATCATGGTAATGTATTTACCACACACAAAGGACAATCTTGAGCAATCATGGTAATGTATTTGCCACACACAATGGACAATCTTGAGTAATCATGGTAATATATTTACCACGCAGGGAAGACAATAACATCCTAACGGCGACATGGAATATGTCTGCATGCAGAGCTAATGTTGTTCATAACACCAAGTTCACTGAAAAACATTTACTTCTTAAGCATTTCTGGGGATGGAGTTAGTTTGGAATTACCATTTAGAAAATCCTACTTTTCTGTTGGACAGGTAACTGATAAATCGACTGCTTACAATATAAACTTTGACATACGGATCCCTAACATCAACCTCAACACTAGGTTCTTTTGTATCAATAGCTAACAACGTCATCCTCAACACAGGGATTCTTTTGTATTAATAGCTAACATCAACCTCAACACAGGGATTCTTTTGTATCAACAATTACATGTAACTACATCAACCTCGTTCTTTTTGTATCAATTGCTTTGAACAGAGAGGTTCTTTTGTATTAATAGCTAACAATATCAACCTTGACATATAGGGATTCGTTTAAGAATACAAAAGGTTTTAGATGCAGAAGGTTCGTAAAGGAGTTTTTGTATTTTAGCCATGCTGCTTACCCTAAATTTTGGAACTGTACTCTAATTTTTCGCGGATAATAGCTCTGTACAGTGACGTTTCAATAGTGTTCAAGTCATGGCCATGATGTCAAGAAACGTTTTCCCTATTTAAAATTTGCTAGATTAAGGAAGATGACTCGTGTGAGCTTTGTGGATTACAGGCCTCTTGTACAGACCACGGAAAATGAATTGTGATAAAACCTGTATTCTCACGATTCACACTAGTTTCTCTTGAAGATGCTAAATTTGATTACCGATAAATCCATACAAAACTTAACTTAGTCGGTGTTGGAAAGAAATGTAAATAAGATAGCGAAGGGAAACAAGCCAAGAAAAGACTCTTTAGTTAATGGACTCTGTCTTCAGATGCCACTGAGGTTCCACCAAAGGACACAAAATTCCATGGCTTGCGATGATGTTGCATTTCTTGTGAATTTTTTTTTAAAGAATGACACTTATGTAACAATGATCGATAGCACTCGAAAAAAATAGAGTTTGTCAAATACGTATCCTACCTATGTGCCATCTCTAGTGAATTGCAAACGTACGTTTTTTGAATTCCATTGCTTACTAAAATAACCTTTTTCCTAGAGAAATATTCCTTTTGTTGGTGATTTATGCTGGCCTTAAATACCTTACTATTACAAATATAGTTTGATATTTTAAAACAAAAGAATTTTGACCAGTTTTTAAAAATAAAACATGCATTTAAATGGACTTTCTGATCTAATCCCTTAAAAAAGAGAAATATCTTTATCAATTGTTTAATTAAAACCAATTTCACAGAACACATGTTGGTGTGTTATAAAATAAAACTCGATTATTGATTGATAATTTAATCCAGGACTGACAGATGAAGAATTTTTCCGTTACCAATACGGATTTCTCCCGCCATCAATTCCACCTCTGCAGCAAAAATATTAATTTATGCAAAGAACATGTTGTCTCGTATTGGACTTGACTGTCTAGGGCTGCGGTGAACAAAGAGAGAGCCGAACCCTCGTGTGGACACTTAGCCACTGCGATAAAAAGGTAAGGCTTTCACAGGTTATTTAAAATCTACAGCCTTCAGATTTTAATTTCAGCGATAAAAAGCCATTGACTTCATATTAAATATGAAGCAATCGGATCATTAGGGATTAAGGATAGATTTGTTTTTTGGTGTAAATTAGCATTAGGCTACTGTTAGAGTCGTTATAGAAGTTAGGGCATTATAAAGTCAGACTGGTGTGACATACACGTCAAAAAAACGAACGTCGTCAAGATATTTCAGGAATAAAACAAAAATGAGAGATAAAGGTATGTGTATTCCGTTAACTAATATTTAATTAATTACATACTTGTATACTTTATTTACCAAAACAGAAATTAACGGTCTTGGACCTTTAACAATTTTATCTACATTGATAAATAAACGGACAAATAATATTCGTATTGTATGTTCGATTTAAAGTTCACGCCGATATCATCAATTCAATATCGAAGTTTGAAATAAGAATATGAACCTGATGTATGCCATCTCTTTATTTGGGAATAAATACCGCTGATTCTATCTACGAGAAGAATGCTCAAAACAATACTAGATTCCATCGATAGGACCTTTTGTTAAACGAGCTTCATTTGTCTTGAGAGTTTTAGAGTATCTGTATTTTGCTGTGAGATTGGAATATTCTTCATTCTATTGTATACCTTGATTAACGGATTTCAAGTGACCCGAGACGTGTAGATGTGTCTGTGACGTAGTATGACCCCCCTTGTTTGGACCCTCCCGACCCCCAAAACAAAACCCAGCACGTGCAACCAGGAAGATACGGATCATTTCTTCAGAAATTTAACAATTCTATCTCCTTCAGCCATTATTCCAGACCAAGCACGGCGGAAAATTAGCTACAGTTTGTTTATGTCAATAATCTTCTGGAGTTTGGAGTTTTAAAGTTTTGGCACTTTGGCCAGTCCAATGCCTTATCATTTTATAATTATTTACGAGTGCTGGGTTTTTCTTCATAATTTGTCCAAAGACGGCGAAATTCAACATTCGATTTTCATTTATAGTGTTTAAGAGGCTTTAGTGAATACTCAAGAGATGGTAATGAAGTGTAGGTACGTATATTTTTAAGCCAAGGAGAAGATAGCGTAGGTTAAAAGACAAACACGGAACAGTTGAAATAACACGAATATCCAATCATTTGAACTATTTGTTCAATATTAAACCTGCAATATGGGAGTTTAAATTCTTTCTCTAGTGGAGGGAAATGGCAGTTTGATTGTATTACCTACCTTTATACTTATGTAATGTAACGTTTGATCGTAGTGAAATGGAATGGTTTTTCTTTTGAAGATCTGACCGTAGAGACGGCGGTCATGGAGAATGGTTTATATGAGGAGCACTTCGCGTCTGACGAGCGATTCGGAGGCGTCAAATACTCCAAACGGAGCGGGGGGCGGACAAGCCCCAGTCACAGCGCCCACGGGAACCTGTTCCGTCACAGCCTGATGAAACATACGGATGATAAACGCGCCAGAAAGGTGCGCTTCTACAGAAATGGGGATCGTTTCTTCAAGGGAATCGTTTACGCTGTCTCTGCCGAGCGATTTCGAACATTCGAATCTTTGATGGCGGAACTGACGTCAAGCCCAGTGTGTGACAAGAATATTCTACCAAATGGCGTCAGGTACATCTTTTCCGCGGAGAACGGCCACAAGATTCACTCTCTGGACGAACTAGAGGAGGGAGAGAGTTATGTCTGTGCCTCAACGGATGTGTTCAAAAATCTGGATTACACGTGCATGCAAGGTCCGCACTGGAACGTTAACAACAAGGCCCGAGAGAGCGGGCCGTTATTAGGGCGCCTTCAGGGGGCAGAGAGCGATTTCAAAGACTACGTAAAACCCAAGCTAGTGACGGTTATACGGAATGGACCGAAGCCTAGAAAAGCGGTCAGGGTGTTATTAAACAAGAAGACGGCTCATTCTTTTGACCAGGTACTTGCCGATATTACAGAGGCCATTAAACTGGACTCCGGGGCAGTGCGGAAAATCTTCACTCTGGACGGCAGACAGGTAAGATTGTATACAGAACAGTGATGCGGAAAATCTTCACTCTGGACGGCAGACAGGTAAGATTGAATACAGAACAGTGATGCTGTTTTGTCTGGGTGTACTCACTCGTACCCACTGAAGATGATTTTTAAACCATACATCCTTCATTGATAAAAATTATATTTATGGATAATCTGTCATCATCTGTCAGTATTCCTAAAATACAAAGCAAACAAACAAACAAAACCCCCCTGAAATAAGCCGAGTTCACCCCATATTCACAGTTAAGTGCTATCATGCACTTGGTCTTCATTTTTGTACAAAACGATGTCATGGCGTTATCTTAACCAGATACAATACTATATTATTTGAAGACTTCTGAGTCCCAAGGCATACAATTTTACAAAATTATTAAAAACAGGCGTGTCTGTGATAGCTATAGAGACCGAAATTACCATCGATTGTATGATGAAAAAATAACAACTCATATAATCCAAGAAATAGGAGATTAGCATCTCGTGCAATTATACGAATTGATTTAGAATCTTGAATTGAAAATGTTTCATTATGACATGTCAATGATTAAATTACTAGCTATGGGCATGTCATCGATTGGTGAATAATGCTCAGTAGGTGTGTGTATGCAATTATAATCCATCTGTTTGCTTGTCAAAATTAATAATCAGTGGTTAAATGTATTGGACACACCGTGTAGTATTTGGATAATCCGATCAAGGAGCATTTCTGCATTCATAAGCCTCGTGTCAATATAAAGTATACATATATTGGTGTGTAAACGTTAAACAAAATATACGCAGGGTTTAAAGTGATCAATAAATTTCCTGATGTAAATATTGAACAATCGTGTTTCACTTAGAGGGTTCTATCACTGTCAAAAGGGGACAAATTGGAAACTAACCACTGTTGGCAGATATAGGGGGGTAAAAACACAGTCTCGGTACTTTTCACTCAAGTAGCTCCACGAGGAAATCCCCCGAGTAGAGTCCCGCATCAAATATTCAGAAAGGTCAACTTCATTCTGTCTCATGGTTTACATCAAAAAGTTTTAATCGATTTAGTCACACAAAAATGGGGAGCTCTCCTCTCTCTCTCTCTCTGTATGAGTTTGAGAGAGAGAGAGAGAGAGAGAGAGAGAGAGAGAGAGAGAGAGAGAGAGAATTTTAAAGATAAGAATATGTACTTTTGTGTAAGTAAATTAGATAAATAATATTTGAGAAAATATCGTTTTTGAAAGTCTCCAAGGCCCTAATTTAACAAAATTAGTAAAAACAATTTGTGTATTTTGAAAAACTGAAATAAAAAAAAATATGGAAAGATGTGTTTTTGTTATTTGTTTGTTTGTTTATTACTTGTATTGTTCTGATGTCAATTTCAGGTCTCCTCGTTGAAGGACTTTTTCGGGGATGATTCTGTGTTTATTGCTTACGGTCAGGAGAAACTCAGTCAGGATGATTTCGATCTGGATGACAATGGTAAGACACTTAAACTGTGTTAGGGTATATGATTTCGATCTAGACGACAATGTCTGCTGTCTGTGTTGAGATGTATATATGTATATGTCAAGAGAAAGTCAGGATGATTTCGATCTAGATGACAATGGTAAGACACTTTATCTGCGTGTCAGTGTTAAGGTATATATGTCCAGAGAAACTCAGGATGATTTCGATCTAGATGACAATGGTAAGACACTTTATCTGTGTGTCTGTGTTAAGGTATATATGTCCAGAGAAACTCAGGATGATTTCGATCTAGTCGACAATGGTAAGACACTTTGTCTGTGTGTCTGTGTTAAGGTATATATGTCCAGAGAAACTCAGTCAGGATGATTTCGATCTAGACTACAATGCATGGTAAGACACTTAGTCTGTGTGTCTGTGTTAAGGTATATATGTCCAGAGAGACTCAGTCAGGATGATTTCGATCTAGACTACAATGCATGGTAAGACACTTTGTCTGTGTGTCTGTGTTAAGGTATATATGTCCAGAGAAAGTCAGGATGATTTCTATCTAGACGACAATGGTTAGATTCTTTGTCTTTGATAGGGTATATATGTTTGATACTTGGATATGTAACGTGAGTAAGACCTCGGTGACAGAAACCTCTGTATAAGTCTGTCGATGAAGCTGCACCGGGGACCCCACTGTAACCTTTTTGTATCATCAGTGAGTCATTTCATGCCATTTTGTCTGGGCACTGGGGAGAAAGTATCGGCCAGGAATATTTTTGAAGAGCAGGATGACAGGCGATCAATAGCTTTAGTCATTCGGAGCATACAAACCATTTCTTCATAGTGAGACACGCCGGCAATATTTCTCAATGAATTCTTGATTATTGCTCCTCCTGAAATTCTTTTATTACGGCAATAGAGATTTCTCGTGCTTTTAATGATGTTTTTAACAAATGTACTATCTGTAGAGAAAACAAGATAAAAAATAACTTGGTGTAAAGAGGTGAACTGTAATTTGAAACACATTCATCAAAGAGAATCCTCCTATTTCATGACTTTTTGGACAGATAGAGATTGGTACATCCGGGCATCAAATCAGCAATAGCCCTAAACAGGAAATTCATTTATTCTTCTATATATATAATTGTAATTCTTTATTGTTACTGGTGACTGAAGCAGTTCTCTGGTCTACCTATAAGGCTCACCCTTTACATTTACCTGAATAAACACGTATACAAGTCTTTATTCATGTCAGTGACCACCCTAACCTTGAGTAATCACAACTAACGATATATAAGAAACTTTTTTCCCCCAAAAGATTGCAAATGTTTTAATTTGTTTTCCTGCTTTTGTATGGAGTCGTGTCTTACAAAACCTCTTATATCAACTCTTAACGAGTATCAAATTGGCCTCATGTTGAATTTAGGTTTAATATTTAATGCTTGGTCTGGTTTTCTGCAAATATAATTACCCCATATAAAACCGAAGCAAGGCCTTAAATACGATTGATCGTCGCACCGGTTCTAGAAATCAAGCAATTTCTGTGTTTCCTAATGCCTCCTGGTCTTTGATTCCGTGATTCATGTACGGAAAGTTACGTAATGTGGAAATTATCGAGCTGTAGTTTGTTTTCCCGGAGAATTGAGCTCCTAATCACCTTAATTCATATGCCATCTGAGGACAAACCCGTCCTGTTTGAGGTAGGCATCACACGATTGATTTTATGCCTGTTCTTTACAGAGGTTAAACTGGTGTCGCCGTACAAACCAATTCCTTTCACAGAAAGGGTAACCTTGAGGTCAGCGAAAACGTCACGTCCGGCGAGCAAGCTGTCTCTTTCAAACCGCAGTCTGAACGAAGGTAATTACTTCCTGTAATGTATTCACGTTTTCTAGTCCCAAGATAAAAGCAGTTGTATCAAATATTTCTTTATCTATCAGAATATAAATGTAAAATGATATTAAATTAAAGAACACACATATTTTTGATAATAATCCTGGTCTTGGCACCAAAAACATTTCTCTTTTTTTTTTTTTTTTTTGAAGAAGAAGAATGAAGTTATGCACTTCAATCATCTTTTTTTCTTCAATAATTCATAAAAAACATTTTTAATAAAAATCAAAAGAGTTTAAAAGGTATGCAACATCAATAAATAGAAACATTTACACCGCTTCCTGGCCCATAGTATAAATCGAGTCGAATCCTGTGGGAAGATTCAGACTTGATGGTCATATTCCGGATTATGTGACAATGTCCGTTCAATGGTAACTTCCAAGTGCGATATGTACTGAGTAATAAGCATTCTTTCTGGAAAAGATCCCCATCTCTGCTTATAATGCAGAACAGTTAGATTAGACGATAATTAATTATTTCTATGGTAAAAAGTTTTGTTTTCGAACATACTGGCTATGTCAAAAAATTCATTTTAGTAAGTAAAACCAGTTTTCTCACACTAGAGTTCATGACAAATAAGACATTTTCATGCAGCTATTTAGATGTAGAGCAAAATGCTTCTTTATTGTTTACAATAAATAGCTTCAGTGGTTTTTAAAAGCCCTATCAATTACGCGTTAATAGTCATTCGATTTTTATTAAATATTCCATTTCCCTGAGATGTTTACTAAGTTACGACAGAGTCGATCCCACCTGTTGGTTCTCAAGTGACTGTTAAAAAGGACGTAGTCTGTGTACAAACTTCTCATCAAATTCTCAGATCTAGGCGTTATTTTGATACCTTAGCTAACAGACTGAGTGAGAGGAGAAGGTCTAATATACCTATCACAATAGCCTTGAAATATTACATCATGAATTATATCCAAGTCACCGACGAAAGCTGTTCTTTATTACTAACTTTAACAATATGTTCTTAGGTATAAATATTTCATTTCGTTTCATGATTTATTTACCTTTGTCAAATTCTATTAAAGCATTACGATTGTAAAGTCTACTGATGTAAATTTACGAAGAACACAAGTTACCTATACCATTTTTTAACCAATACTTTGATGTTCGCTCATAAAATGTTTGAAGATTATACTGCACAATACTCAGTATTGAGTTTTTCCAATTAACACGAACATTTCTTATCATTAGATGTCATGTCTAAACGCTCACCCACGGGATCAAAATCCCCCATGTCATCCCCACGAAGTGGCAGAAAACTCCGCGCCGTGTCCGCGGTAAGTTCTATACATAGAAATAATTCAGTCATTATGTCCAGCTATGAATGCTACTCTGTAAAAGTCTAACCAAATGAACTGAAACGTTATATTTTAGACTAGTATGCATCAAGTTATACTTGTCGCGCATCTTTTAAGTCTGAAGCATAAACATGTAAGAAGGGACGTATATATATATACGTCCCTGATAAACATTTTAAATTTTGTAAATCCAATTTAGCTGCTGCTATCCCGATTTTTATAGCCTGATATAATGAAAGCTTGTAATTCTTAGATTTTAAGGATAAAAGACTATAAATATATAGTATGCATTGTTTTTCATTCTCCAATTCCGAGTTATACAGTGCTTACGGTAGTTCCGGATCATCGGTAGTTCCGGATCACTTTTTTGTGTAACAATTCTTTTAAAAATAATTGTTGAAGAAAAGTTATTATCGATATATCACATGCGAAGAATAGGGGGTATTACTACTTCCAATAAAAAATCGAACTTTACCATGCACGATTTCGATACTTAGTTGCGTCAGAAATAAAGCGCCCCAAAGACGAAGATCGGTGTTTTGACAGTTTTACACGTGCTTTTTAAGAAGAGTTGTTCTTTTTGTTATACATAAGACGAGTAAGGAATTGATTGAACCTCATAAAATGTTTACTTGTTATATATTCTACTTCACCATATATAAGAAACTTATATCAATTAAACCTGTATATTTAAAACAAATAAACACTGTGAACCCACCGTTACTGCAGTTCCGAATCACTTCACTCCACAAGAAGGATTGTTTCAAACATCGTTTAATCACGTTAACTGTATTATTTTGTATGATCACTTTTATGTGGTGAACACATTATCAAAATAAAATTAAAATAAAATATTTAATTTCTTTTGTTATTCAATCTCATTCCAGCACAGAATACTGACAACAAACACAGTCACGTACATGTCAGAGCTGCGTATTTTAAAGGATTTACAATGTAGAAAAAATTATTATACGTATATTTTTTTTATGTCTTAAAGAAAAAGTAAACTCCGTAATTATCATTTTGTATATTGTTTTTTAAACCTCTATAATCCACTGTAAATTGTTGGTGATATTCAACTAATAAATGAATTTTTTTTTAAATTCTTAATTCATTAGAACTGCATGGATGCTTCGATCTCTACTTCAATCTATTTTTTGAAAAACATGCATGTCTGATATTTATTTTAATTTAAATCACATTTACTCCTGTTATAATAAATTCACCAATATATATCACTTTTTATATCACCAGCTTCAAAACTTAAAATATGGCCTGGTTTGTCATGTTCGTTGGAATCTGATCAGGTGTTCGATATTAAATTAATTTTAACTTTTTTTTCGTAAAAGATGAATGATTAACATACTTTAACTGCATAATTCATATTCATAATTATACATAATGACAAATTATTGAAATATTTCCCATAAAAAAAAACAAACAAATTGATATAACAGTGGAAATTTACTTTCTATTTCTTCATTTTTCTAAATAAGGCCTAGATAAAGAGTTTAATTTCTATTCCATTCTGTGAAAAAAATGTATGTTAAAAAAATTATATTTATTTACATATATTATAATAAACTTCAACATAAAAAGCATATCAACGAAACATATTCGGAATGAAACATTGCGGCGCAACCTATCAGCGCAAAAGAGAATCGGCGCAAACCATGCACGGGTGCGAAACATCCCGTTACTGGTAATAAGAATAGGCACTCCCCAGCTTAATTGTTTAAAATATATATCTACTACACTATATAGTATAGTAATATATATATTTTAAACAATCAAGCTGGAGAGAATCTAATGGTAATTAGCGTGATCCGCAACTGTCGTAAGTGATCCGAAACTGTCGTAATTTTAGGTGTTGAATACACTTCGGTTACTTACGAAAGCAGAGTAATAAATTAATAAATCTCATTTTATATGAAAGGTACGAGAATGGGGCTCTTAACAGTACGTAAATATTTGTATTAATCTCGTTATTAATTTTCACTACCAATGTATAAATGAAAACTGATCCGGAACTACCGTAAACACTGTATTAGTAGTATCCGACTTGTCAAATACAATTCGACAAGCGTACTTAGTATGCCATATGCTATGTGAACATATTATATGCTATGTGAACATATTATATGCTATGTGAACATATTATATGCTATGTGAACATATTATATGCTATGTGAACGTATTATATGCTATGTGAACATATTATATGCTATGTGAACGTATTATATGCTATGTGAACGTATTATATGCTATGTGAACATATTATATGCTATGTGAACATATTATATGTTATATGAACGTTCATGTGTTATGTAAACGCATTAGACCAATGTTTTATTTTTCACTTTCATCACTGAATGCAGCCAAAGTACAGAAATAGCAATGGAGAGATGTCGGGTAAGGGAGCATCTTAAAGGAGTTCTGTGTGAATTTACATTTCAATGAGACTACAAAAACGAACTGAATTAGCAAATAGATGATTCATTTAATTTTATGCAAAGATATAGTAACTCTACAATAGTGAATGGATCAATATTTAATATAAATATCGACAAAAAAAAAAATTCAAAAGTTGTGAGTCAAAAAATATTATGTTAATTCCATATTTAGTCTGCTTCTAATGGAACAAAAATGTTTAAATTCTTTGTTGTTGAAGGTTGAATGTATTGTAACTTGAGCAAAGTCTATAAAAATATATAGGTAAAAGATTCAAAAAATTAACTTTATGGCCGTGGCATTTTTAATATATCGCTACCTCAATTCAAGAATTAAAGAGAAATCATCTCGTTAAATGTAGAGCATCATTATAAAAACAAAATTATTGATTTTTTTTTTATTTAGTAAGGAATATCATTTAATTTTAAATTATTCACTTACTTTCAATGACTTTTTAAATCTTTGTATTAGGGATATTTTTTTAACCAACCAAACAATGAATAAATTGAAAATGCTTCACAAAATATTAATAATCTTGCCTTAGATGAGTCAGAAAATGGCCCAGCAGCTCTAAGAGCCAAGTATGACATAGGACGGGTGATCGGGGAGGGAAACTTTGCCGTGGTCAAAGAATGCCAGGACAGGTAAGTACAATAGAATTGTAAAACAATAGGACTTTATACAGGTACAAATAATCAAACAGAAGTGACCACCTGTACATTTCCCAGAACACATACCTGTAATTAGTTTTTACATCCACCCCACCCACCCCCCTCCCCAGCTTCACCTTTTAAATCTGATAAGACTTCATATGCAGTCTGTCAACATCATCCAGCGTCGAACACCGTTATTTTTTTATTATATATTTTTAACAAAGAAATCACATTAACTTCTTTTGAAAGTTTCAAACACAGCCTTAATTTTTGTACAGGAATGGCAATAATTTTACTGTTTATTGTGTAACAGCATATTGACATTTACAGATGGGTACTAGTAATTACATTTATAGCACAGGCTACATATTTCTTCCTCAACAATTCATGCTCGGCGTGACTTCTATTATTCATTATTGATTTTAATTCCAGAAACACGAGAAAGAAGTATGCACTGAAGAAAATTGACAAGCAAAGATGTAAAGGCAAGGTACGTACTAAACCCTTGTGTAATTTAAAAATATATTTGAAACTTTATTGATATTGACAGAGTTTTCATTCGAAACCAAATGAAAGATTTCGAATTCGTATTAAAATTAGCCACTTCATGTGAATTAAAGCGAAGTTATTAAGCTACATGTATTATATAGTAGTGAATTAAACCAAACAATGCTTACACTGTTAAAAAAGGTCTTTTTATACCGACCAAAAAGTGATTAGGCATATAATTTTGTTCTCATATCCACTTATAACAAAATTGTGGCTACTAGATTTTGAATATCTTAAGGAAAATATAGGGACCCATGCCGACTCTGTCCGCAGATTGTGAGCTGAATTTTGGGGCGTGGATGCGTATAATGATGAGTAACATTCTACAATCAAGTTTTTATACTGTAATCGACACACATTTAGACTTACAAAACGTCCTAGCTGTGTGTCTGTATATATTTTGCAGAATTTTGATTTCCGTTTCTTTGATGATGAAATACAAACTGATCACGTATTGACCATTATTGTTCAACTGTAATGGATTTACGTCCATAGAATTTATAATTACATGGAATATTTGTTTATGTATACAGACATCACCTAGCTTTAAAATACGTTTTTGCACATTTTATAAGTCATTAGAATATAATTTGAGCTACATAAAATAACACAAAATTTAATTAAATACCTTGAAAATAAGTTTGTACAATAATTCTGAATGCAAATATGAATTAAGACACGTATTTCTCTAATTGCAGGAGCACATTATAGAAAACGAGGTATCAATACTGAGACAAGTAGATCATCCTAACATAATTCTACTGATCGAGGAGTTCGATACCAGAGACAGTCTGTATCTAGTCATGGAGTTCGTTAAGGTACGTACACCTCTGTACCAGGGTCTGTATCTAGTCATGGAGTTCGTTAAGGTACGTATACCTCTGTACCAGGGTCTGCTACTCTGTTTTGAGAGGTGATGGTTCTTTCTAAAAGAACAATAATTTTGAATTTTGTGCGCGTCAAGGGACATAACTCAGATTTAAACAAATGATTTTTATACAATACTGCCAAAATACTGGTTTGTTTATATTTACAATATTTATGTTCATGGTTCATTTTTTCAGAGCTCCATATTAGTAAATTGAAGATCATTTATTGTTATACCCATATAAATATCTTTCTATATATTTATTACTAATAAAAAGTCCAACAAAAGAAATGTATATTGCATCAGTCTAACAATTTCATTAACCGGCCTGCCAGTCCAACATAAGAATTGTTAGACCGCAACGTTACTGCTACGTCACAAGTAATTAATCGTCGTTCAATATCAGCGACACAGAAATAGCCGAAGTTTAGAGGTGCAAAAGTTGTATTCTATTCGAAAGAGTGTGTTTTGTGATGAATAATTTTTGTGATACATGTGTTATAATTTTATTAATTTTTTTCATTCTTTGCTATTGTTTTATTTTTTATTGATCAAGCCAAAATTTTCCAAAGAAAGTAATTGATTATATATTGATTAAATCTCTTAAAATGCTTTCATTTTAATTGTTCTATCTGAAATGAAGGGTATAACAAAACAGTTATAGACTGGGTTTTGGGCAACATATGATTTGTTGGACCTGAAGGTGAAAATGTTGCCCTTGGCCTGCGGCCTCGGGTAACAATTTTACCCTCAGCTCCAACTAATCGTATGTTGCCCTCATACCGAGTCAATAACTGTATAATATACTCACTACTCAATTCAACTCACCTTTGAATAGTCCCTGTCAAAATACAGAGAGGGAATCTATCTAGTACAATCACCTTACTAGTAATATAAAAAATGGTTATAAAATTTGAGTAGGAATAAGAAAAAAATGTATTATATTAGGGAGGGACCTTATTTGATGAAATAGCCTTTCTGACGTATTGTAGGGAGGTGACTTATTTGATGACATAGCCTTATCCACAAAGTACACAGAGAGAACCGCTAGTAATATGATCAACAATCTGGCACAGGCCCTCAAATACCTCCACAATCTACGCATCGTACACAGGGACGTCAAACCAGAGAATCTACTGGTAAGGCTGGCAGTTACTGTAAGCTGTAATGTCTCCATTTTAATCCGATTTTATCCTTTCTTGAGAAGCAGATTTTTTTTCGCTGTTATTCAGATAATTGATCATGCGGATGGATCTAAGTCACTGAAGCTGGGGGACTTTGGTCTGGCCACTTACTGCGAGGACCAGCTGTTTACAGTGTGTGGTACTCCTACTTATGTAGCACCGGAAATCCTATCAGAAATCGGGTACGGCAAAGGTTTTTAAAATATTGACCTGGACGAGAATTACCCACGTAAAGAATTATGACGTCATAAAATATTCTATTAATATTCTTAACCTTTCAAAGCTGAGCTAAGCTATATGCTCATAAAAGATTTTTTAATGAAATTTGTTTAATTGAATCCGTTTGTCTGTCTATAGTAATCTTTTTCCTAGTTTGTTTATTCATGTCGCCCGCGTGGCGCAGTGGCTAAATCGTTTGCTCTAGAGTCGCGGAATAAAGAGTTGATCCTTACGTTGAGGGCTCGAATCCCACTGCGGTACGTGGAGACCGGTCCTTCGGATGAGACCGTTTATAAACCGAAGTCCCGTGTTGCAGTAGGTGCTGGCACGAAAAAGATGCCTCGTAAGTGCCGAGTACAGGTCTAAATATGCATCCCTCCATCGGCGAGTGGTGGTGTCTCAATATGAGTGAAAATTCTCAAAGGGACGTTAAACAAACAGTTTATTCACCGAACTTGCTCCTGTGGTTTCTTTGTGTTCTCGAGGAAGCATTGTTTCTTTCTGAATCAGAACTCCAACAAAACTGCCATACTTTGATTATTGCGACAAATTTTTTTCCATAAAAGACGACTGCATCCTTGCATTTTGAGGCAGTTAAAGAAATACAGATATCGGTTATCAGAATTCACGTCACTTAACTTAGTCAATTTCCAAATTTATGACTTTCCTCACCATTTTCCTAGGGGTCCGTGTTTCCGGGGTTGGTAGTTACAAGGACAGTTTTAGGGTACTTTACTACAAAAATTTAATAACTTTGAAATCCTGGGGGACCTTCTGACCCCCCCCCCCCCCCAAGATCCGCGCATAATTTTTGTAGCAGTTCCAAACAGTTTTGATATTGATTTAGTGCAACAAATATTTTAATTGAATTCCGATTGGCTGAACAATTTTGAATAATCTTTTACAATCAAATGACATATTTTGTATAATTTCATTTTTCCTCTATATTTTTTAAGATACGACTTTAAGGTCGATGTTTGGGCAGCAGGTGTGATACTATACATCCTCTTGTGTGGATTTCCGCCATTTGCAAGGTATATGTAAATTAAAATACCAAACTGTCTTAAAATCCTAAATATGAGTTTTCTTCAGACATACTCTTTTCCTGTACAAACAAATCAAATAGCCCTTCTGTTGTTGGCAAGTAGACAGGGAGACGGATAAAGATGAAGAGGGTAGGTATAACCCCCCTCCCCTCCCAGACTTCATCTCTCTTTCGTATTGGCTGTACACTTTACCCTTTATTTTTTAGCCCCCAGAATGACCAAGAAGAGCTGTTTGACCAGATATCGGAGGGGAGGTATGAGTTCACCAGTCCGTACTGGGACGAGGTGTCGGAATCCGCCATGGTAATATTTCTTTTTTATCCCAACCAGTGGAAAGTAACCCGCCATGTTCTGATGTGGTTTCTTAATGTTACTTTGAGTTCATCAGTGTATGAATTTATGTGATGTATTTATGTGTATTACAGGATCTGATCAGCAATATGTTAGTGGTGGATCCAGCAGACAGAATGTCGGCGGTGGACGTATTGGGACACCCCTGGGTCACCGTAAGTATATCCGTCATATACAAAGATGATGTCTTTAAATAGAAATATATGATACTGTAAAAGGTAACAATAGTGACGTCTTTATCTTGGTCTTTAACCTTAAAATCGCCTGGTCCGATTGAAACGCATATCTGATTCAATGAAAAAAAAAGTACGAAAAATTATTATAGACCCAAGTTACATTTATGTATAAAAACATAAACTTGATCAATTTGGAATTCGGAGAAAGGATATTAATTTAGAACAGCTTTAAAAATATTTCTGTATCTTTATTTTAAGGCGGAGACTGTCAAGGACGAGGAGTTATCCGTAGGAGAGAATATCCGTAACTTTTCCCGCCGTGACAAACCCTCCCGGAGCCGAGCGGGGATCAGACTTGTGGCCGTAATTATCATTTAATCTCCTTGTATAATAGTTTAAAAGGCTACAGTTATTTCTCTATACCATTGTTTAAAAGTTGGAATATTATACAAAAACAATATTCGATATTTCAATTTATTTTTATTTCCACATTATTGCAGAGTACGCCTTTGGACCACCCATCGCGGTATTTCCAGGGCCGGAGGGCGGGACTTACTGTAACTAAACACCAATCAAATACAGAGGATGATGACGAAATCTTCTGATGTAATCAATACTACGCAAGCTGGCATTCATTAGAACACATGTGGCTTATTTCTAATTTGCATTTTTAACATAATCAACATGAATGTAAGAATTATCATAGACAAGTTATTTATTGAGTTTGCCTCGCTTTGATGAGTTGATGTCACGTGTCTTATTTAAGATGGTGCTTTAAGTGGAGGTCCTGCCACCTGTTTACGTGAACAGTATTTGGTATTGATATAAAAATAAATGGTTGAAAAACTTCAAAATATTCTTTATTTATATTACAACATGTAAAAAAAAATCAGTCTGTTGACACAACAAAGAATAGAAGTGGTGACATCAGAACTCTCCAGCCACCGAACAAATACGTTTCATATTCAAGTAGGTTCTTGTAAATTGATGAAAAAATATACATTTTCCCTGAGCATAAACAATTTAAATCCGTCGCAAAGAAAAGAAACGAAGGGGAAAGACTCCTTTTAGAATTTCAGCAAGTTATAAATAGAACAACCAGTAATGTACCATCTTAGGTAAAAAGACTAACTTGGTGAAACAGCAAGTCCTAGAGGGAATTTTAGATCATAATCCACATTTAAGTAGTCAGTAAGATCTTACAGTTTCTTAAATGTTAATTCATGTTGCACTTGATTAACAAGAGTTGCTAGCTTGTGAATTATATAAACCCATCTAAGATTTTTTTTAACTCCTGAAATGTCATAGATACTACAGAGACTAGTTTATCGTATCGCTATACCACAGACTAACTACACCTCAAATGAATATTTAGACTAAAGGGTTTAGAACTGCATTCTTATAAATATACTACCAGCGGTGTCCTACATAAACCCTAAAAAGCTTTTCAACACTAGGGAGAAGGAGTGCATGTAACATGTCAGATAACTTACTCTGATAGAAACATGTGATTGTTGTTTACATTGTGTCTGCAGACAGAACTAAATCGCGATGGTTTGGTGGACTTAGTTGAAATGGAAGTTTTTCCTGCTCCGGTATAGGATAGGTGACATAGTCTATCTGTGTTAAAATCTGCGATACCGAGAGTCGTCTGATTGATTACTCGGATATTCTGAATGTAACACATCTGATTGGTTTATCGGATATTCTGACTGGGAAGCATCTGATTGGTTGATTGGATACTCTGGCTGTGAGGTATTTGATTGGTTGATCCTTGACTCTGAGTCTTGTGATTGGCTGATTGGTATGTCTATATCTAGTCTTCTGTATTCCTCCCTGAACATGGCTAATACCAACACAGATAAAAGTGACGTCACAAATATCGCCCAATTTGGCCACATTTTCCCTAGGAAGAAATTAAACGCTAGCTTAAACACTATTGTTCAATCAAAGCATATCAGAACCGTTGAGTTATATTACAAGAAAAGATATTTTTTACACATTTTCCTTCTGTCTCAATTAAATATTCAGTGAATAAAGAGAGAAGAAATTACAAAAAATTCATAAACATCTTATGAATACAATTTTATTAATGCAAAAACAGCTGGTACATTACAGTTTTAAAAACACATGTATTTCTTACCAATGTGAGGTATAAGTGTTATAAACAGGAAGGCAGAGCTGCCTACGTTGAGAAAGAAAGATATGAAGCCAGAAATAATGGCCTCTGACACGGGGAAAAGATTCTCGCATGTCATCTCATAGTAGAGCGGCTGGGCGCCACTGGTCAGAACGCAGGCCGCGACAAAAGTAAAGTAAAAGAGCCCTGAAAATATCAAAGACGTAGTGATAAAGGTGAAATTAACCTGATAATATCGAAGATGGAGTGATTGAGGTCAAATAAAACAACCTAAAATCTCACAGATACCGTGATGTAGTTGATTAGAGCAACTCAGATTAGGTCAAAATATGGATGGTGCAATCGATGCATTATTAAAAGAAATCACTATATATGTATATATATATTTTTTTTAATAAATATTGAACAATTATTAGTGGGAGTACAACTGGACCCAGCGAAAGGCTGTATTTGCAAACAAGGCCATTATAATGCCTATGGAAATTGTGAAATGCTGATTTTAAACGAGGTAGTTGAAAACTGTCTAACATCAACTTATTTATCAAAAGTCTGCCTCTGTTTAAGAACTGATTGTTCTAAGGACATACTTTTTAATGTCGAATCAGTTAGGAGACATAAACACCTCTCGAGGTGTTAATGGAATATATAGAGGATATTCAATGTTTTGTAGATGAATATGGAATTTATTTCACGAGTGGGACAGGATTTTTTTTATATTTTCACGAGTGCGAAGCACGAGTGAAAATATCAAAAAATCCTGTCTCACGAGTGAAATAAATTCCATATTCATCTACAAAACATTGAATTTTCTGTTTATTACATTTTCTTTGATTTTTACTTTGCCTCTGTCTTTTCATAACACAGTGTCAAAGGCTTGACGTCATAGTTGAGCGGATGAGACGTCATAGCTTAGCAGATGTGTGATTGAAAACATTACATAGTATGGGTTTTAGCAACATATTTGGGAAGAAATTTGCAGTTTTAGCTCTATCAAGATGCATAGTTACTATCTCTATCTTATGAGAGGCCAGAAATTAATTTTTACTTACTTTGATATCCTTTCACATTGTGAGAGAATATCATTTTGGTATCCTTTCACACTGTGAGAGAATATCACTTTTATTCAATAAATAAATAGAGGATATTCAATGTTTTGAAGATGAATATGGAATTTATTTCACGAGTAGGACAGGATTTTTTGATATTTTCACGAGTGCGAAGCACGAGTGAAAATATCAATAAATCCTGTCTCACGAGTGAAATAAATTCCATATTCATCTACAAAATATTGAATTTTCTGTTTATTACATTTTCTTTGATTTTCCCTTTGCCTCTGTCTTTTCTTAACACAGTGTCATAGGCTTGACGTCATAGTTGAGCGGTTGAGACGTCATAGCTTAGAAGTTGTGTGTCAGATTGAAAACATTACATAACATGGATTTTAGCAACACATTTAGGAAGAAATTTGCAGTTTTAGCTCTATCAAGATGCTTAGTTACTATCTTTATCTTATTACAGGCCAGAAATTATTTTTTACTTACTTTGATATCCTTTCACACTGTGAGAGAATATCATTTTTGGTATCCTTTCACACTGTGAGAGAATATCACTTTTATTCAATAAATAAATCACAGTATTTCACTGTTGAAAATGTAATAATACTGCATATACAGAGAAAGTTGGAGATGGAAAAGCTGAAGTCATTCCGCTCGTCATATTATTTAGTTATTAGTTGGCCATTATCGTCTATAGACTGTAAAATATAGATTAGACACCTCAAAAAGAGAGAAAACATTGTTTGTTACAAAGTTTTATTTTTTGCTTCTTTAGCATGAGCTAAAATAATACTGTTTTGAATATAAAATAAGCTGGTTTAGATAAATTAATACACAGTGTAGGAATTTCAAACGAAAGACAAATTTGACCCAGAGAGCATAAATACGAACGAAATGAAAAATACAGTAATTCATAAATTTAACTATAAAAAGAAGAGAATTTACGTACAAGGTTCGCTGGGTAGGACTTTTTTCAGTAACAGTACAAAGAGAAGGAAAAACAATGTAGCAACACCGAAAATGACCACCATTATAGCCTTCATCTTCCTCTGTAGTAGGTCAGATACTCTAAAAATAAATCTGACCTGATTACCTTATTCTTAACTTCATCACTGGTCATTTATAATCATCAAAATTATCATTATCAAACCATGTTTTATGGGGGGGGGGGGTTCCCTTTGAGCTCGTGTTTAATTTTGTTCCTCAACATCAGTACAGATTGAAATGAAAAGATGCGCAACAAACTGTCCAATCAATTTCAATTATAAAAAAATAGACCTAAAATGTACTTCACGTCTTGAAAATGGCTTGTATATAATAAAGTTCTTTGTGATAATGAGCTACTTAGATTATACAGGATTTTCTGATGCATTCTACTCCAATTTTAACATTTCAATTTCGATCATTGCACTTTCAGAAATCTCAAAAGATTTCTTGAAAAATGCAGGACAGTTAAAAAAACTTCTACCTTGATAAAATAATGCCTAGTAGGATTCCACCAATGGAACCAGAAAACGACATCCGGCCTGCCTCTTTCTAGATAAAATAAAGTATTTAACTTCGTCATCCCCCCTCCATTTCTTTGAGATAAAACTTGAAAATGATAGTTAATCCCAAATATTTGTATCCAGCAGAATACACCTCTAACTTATGATCACTTTTGCAAGACGACAATAGTGTAAATTAGCTTTAATTAGAGCTTCTCAATATTTTGTCTAACGCCAAAATGAATACCTGAAATATATAAACCTTAACTTCTGTCATTGAAATAGTCGATAAGAATGTTGCAACAAAAATTGTACGAAAATTGCAGCTCGTATTTTGCTTTAAAGAGATCAGTACATTTATAGTGACCCTCGCCCTATATATGACGTATTTAAAGAAAACTTATGTATATCAGTATGAGTACCTGAGATATTCCAAAAGGATTCAGGACAACATCCGACGTAGTGATCCAGGCCCCGTAAACCGCCGTGGGGATAGCACAACATAACACCAAGTGCCAAAATCTCCGTTGTCTGAAAAGTATTCATAGCAAAAGAAAAACGAATGAGAATGGACTGATTTGATTTACTAGTCGTGTGGACAAAATTCCACCCTCGGTCAAAATCGTCTGTGTCAAAACTTGTATTATAGTATTGCCAAGTGACCTTGACCTCCGAAGTATGACCTTAGGTCAAATAATGACATCATTAGGTCATATGCAACGGTATACTCTAGTTCGAATTCAATCCAAGGAAGGGTTTCAGAGTTACAGATCTAACGTCTTTTCACAATCTTTATGCCCATTAACTTTAACCTTGAGTCAAGATTATGACATCTTCTGTCCTTTAGTTCATGAGCAAAAACATACTAAAGTCTAAACCCATTTCTATCATGGAACACGATTTTATAACAGACACATAATCAAGAATACCAAAATTCCGCTTGAGGACATAGTTCAGTACATCCAATAAGAATAATCATCTTCTAAGGTACCATGTTCACGATCCTAGGGTTTTATGGGGATCGTTCTAGCGATTCGAAAACCCTTGGCTTATGAATTCACATATCTGAAATCATCCACAGGACCAGTCAGTCAAGACAGAAGTTGCGCATCAAATATCATTGCACCATAGGGCGACATAATTTACTCACGTGACCGCTGTTTTAATTCCCTCAAACATCCCTAGCCTCTCTTTGGTAGCAGTGATACTGGGTGGGTGTTCTGGTTTATTGGGAAAATATAACAAAACAGACACAAAGAGCAGCACGGCGACAGCAGACTCTAGGGAAAGAAAATGGTAAGAAACTAGCAGAGCATTCTGGTGAAATATCGTCAGTATCAAACCTTATAAAGACATCTAGAAATACAGCAAATTACTAGTAGTCAGTTTTAGGAAGGAACGCCATGGACATAACGTGTCGCTCGTTGGGAATACTTCATTCATGATTTTCATTTAGTTAAATTTGCGTTCGAGAGTTTAAACCATCTTCTAATGAAAACATACCGGTGGGTAAAATTTACAAAGCTCTCGTACGTGTCATCGATTAAAGTATTGGCTGTAAGTAAAGAAAAGTTGTTCCATCTAATGAATGGCTTGGTACTGTGCACTTCTAGGTACAACATCCATGTACATTAGGTTCAGGAAAGATCTACTCAATGGGAAGATCTGCTCGATCCAAAAATGTTATCTTTTTATTCACTCAGAAAATATATAGGTCAGATCCGAAGCAAGCCTGGTAGTGTGCATCGCGAGCTGCATCACCCATGTAAATTCGGTGCGGTACTTTAAAATGGATCCGCTGCAAAAAACTTGAATCTATTCAATCATTCATAAAATGTAAGTCAGAGCACCCAAAGAATATTTGTAGTATGTCATTGTCTTGAAAATAATCTTTCCAACAATTTTTTTCATGCATGGATACTTGGGAAGGATCTGTTGATCAATAAAACTTAAACCTGGGAGGTGAAGACTGGGGTTTAGGAGAAGCCTACTCCAGTAGGCTAGAGCCAGTAGATGTTCACGGCAAGAGATTTTAACAGTCTCTTGTAGGAAGTAGAAGATGGTCATCTCTACTTCTTCGAGTTCTTTACAATATTGAATATTTTGATACTGAGAATTGAGAAATCACAATTTTTTTTAAACTTCAATCAAAAACTTATACAAAATAATGATTTTTAAGGCGTTTACTTAAACATGACAAATTAAATAAAAATACATTTATTAATCACCTGCATAATTTAAGGAGTACAGTTTGTCTTTCACCTCTTGAAAATCTGTAAAAGTGCATGTAAATTGCTAAAAAAAATTACTTAAGATTACTTAGAGATTACTTAAAATCAGATAACACATTTTTCTTTCTTTTAGAATTTACCTGTCATCTCATTTCAATAATAATCAGAAAATTCAAGACTTTGCTACACTGTTAGGTAGGTTTACTTAATATACAATATTGTTTTACTTACTTGGGTAAGTTTTATTTTGTTCACTGCAGTTTGAATTTTTTGACCACGTGACATTATCACATATAACGATTGGTTCTGGTACAACAGCAGGACCTTTAAAAAAAGGGCATTTCTAGTTTAGTTAAGTTTGGTTTTAATTTTATCCTCTTTCAAATACTTCACTGGAATATTACATGTGTATAGAAAACGATAATAATATTTTTTTTTTGGACACAACTGCATTTCATATATAGTTAAGCAATTTACAAGGCTACAGTTGATCAGTGACGTTCCATGTTCTTGTCTTTTAATATTACACATTTATTGACTGGGTTCGAGGGCAACATGCGTTTTGTCGGACCCAAGAACCAAACTGTTTACCTGATACCGAAGTTCAACTGTATATCTTAATTATAACTTGCATATGTGTGTAATATGAAATCCGTATCGCATGTAATTATTGATATAAGACAGAGAAGTGTCTGGTCAGTACAAAAAGCAGAGATAAAACAAATCCATGTTTTTAAAAGAAAAAAAAACTAGACACCCATTATATGCCTGAAAATACAATAATAGTGCAACTTAAAAGAAATCACAATTTGTGTAAGACAGAAGAACATAAAAAATGATAACATTACTCATGTAATCTATATCTTAACTGAAATTTGACCAATGCTTCTGAGAAGGCGGACGGCCTTGCTAATCGAACATCGCTCAACTGACTCAACTATGAAATCTCATTCAACCATTATTTCCCAAAACAATATAACAATCAATGCTTTGCACCTCGGAAATAATGAACATTATCCAAATATGATTCCTGAAATTAACAATGTCAATGACCATAACTCAGATTTGCTTATTGGTTCAATATTTACTTCAACTAGATTTTTAATTACCTACGACAAAAACGAATGCCCCGCCCATTCCGGCACTGACAATGTAAAACACGGTAGCAGTAGCTCTTTGAGTGGGCGGGAACCAAGTCTCTGATAGGACAGTCGGTCCACATGACGTCACGGCTCCACCACATCCGTTTAAAAACAATCCAATAGGGATCAGCCTAACAAAAGCAACCAGAAACAAACCAAAAAAAAAAAAATTAAAAATGACCAAGTTTCTTTTTTTTAATTATTCAAGAAAAATGTTTTGCATAAAGTTATTTTGACAGAAATTTAGTTACCATGAGCTGAGGTTGTTGCTGAGCGGAAGACTTTTAAGCGTGATTCCCACGGCAGTAAGCAGGGTGCAGAAAATCATCCCATACCTCATTCCTTAAATATTTATTTTTATCTTTACAACAAATTTTATTTTAATTCTAGAGAAGTACATTTCGCTTTATATTATATCTAGTATGATCATGTAGGATACCTTTAGCAAACACAATCCAGGTCACAGGAAAAATCATCAGAATTGTCCCAATATTCCCATAATTCAATGACATGTTTATGTTGGAATCTGACCAATCATAGACCAGCTTCACTGACTGCGCTATGGGTGGGAACTCCGCCCACGCCGCATTATAAAGACAGCAGTGGAGGGAGACAACGGTCAGCAGGTACCACCGGACGACGTAAGTCCGCACCACAACGTCAGCAGGACTTCCGGTTGACATCGACTAGCTGACGTCCGTTACCGTCCAACAGAAAAACGTTCATCCAGCAGCATTTTAAAAATTTGAACTGTAGTATTGTGTTAAAATATGTTAGATTTATCACACTGATATGTACCATTGATAATTCCCCGCGATAACAACGGGGTGCACGTGACCTCTTTACAATACGAGACCTGCTTACATGATAAATATGCTGGACATTACTGTCCCTTCCGCAACATTCCTTCTTGATATAATATCGCCGAGATTACAATGATTCTATAGGGCGTCTGATATGCAACCTTTCCAAGCATTGTCTCTCAGGCACCACAGATACGAACACCAATTGACGATTTTTTTAAATTTTAGATAACTGAAGATTTTAGTTGCATGACCCCCCCCCCCCCCCCCCCCCAGTTAGTATACTATAAAATAAAATATTTTCGTAGGGTCAAAATTTTGTGGCTTAAGGAAAACATATTGGTTCGAGGACAATTAAGCTGATTAAAATAAGATCCTTTGATCCGCTCGTGTAAATCACTACACTTGTGCAGCGTGCATGAAAATAAATAATCAGCCGTCATATACACAACAAAATTCATTTTCCGACATTTGTTGAAATAAAACTATTCCTGTACTGAATTTCCTCTCCTGTATTGTTTTATCAAAGTAATTTAAAATATTGAATTTCAGTGATCGGTGATTTGCTTTAAGGTAGCTGCGTTACTGGAAGTCCTCTAGCACTTTCCGATGATGAGGAGAGGAAAACAGTACGTCGCCAACAAAAGAGGTATTTACAGTGATTCAGAGTTTACCTAATATTTTTGATTTAGCTCCAGTTGTGCAGCGTCCGTTCGTCTGTCTAGCTGTCCGTCCGTCTGTAAATTTATTACATTTTCAACTTCTTCTCAAGAACCATTGAGCCAATTTCATCCGAAGTTGGCACAAGGCATTCTTAGGTAAAGGGGATTCAAAAATTGTATAAATGAAGGGCCAAGCCCGTTTCCAAAGGGAGATAATCAAGTAAAAGCAAGAGTAGGGTAGGGTCATTAAAAATCTTCTCAATAACCACTGGACCAGAAAAGATGAAATTTGTACGCTTTCTGAGGTAGTGTAGATTCTAAACTGTTCAAGTCATGGCCCCTGGGGATAGGATGGGGCCATAACAGGGGATCAAAGTTTACTTTACCATAAAGGAAAAAAAATCTTTCAAAAACTTCTCATGAACCATTGGGCCAGAAAAACTGAAATTTATGTGAAAGCTTTCTGAGGTAGTGTAGATTCTAAATTGTCCCACTGGACCAAGAAAAATGAAACTTCAATGAAACTTTCTGAATAGTGTAGATTCTTCGGAAGAACAGCAGAACTAGTTACTCAGGTGAGCGTAGTGGCCCATGGGCCTCTTGTTCGGTATCGATATATAAATATTTTTTGTAATGATATGAAAAAAATAGGTTATGCAATATTGGTTTTTGGTAATGCAAAACTGCAGGTCTGATGAAACCCTCAATAAAATAAAAATGCCATTCAGCAGAAGGTACTTGTATTACTTTAAACTGTTTTGTTAATGCATTAAAAATTTTAATTATTTGGAAAAAAATTATTGCATGAAAAGCAAATGGCATCAAAGAATAAAAAAAAAATTCCAATTTTAAGTGAAAACTTGTGCAGTGGCTTGCTGAATTATCTGCTTTTATTAATTTTTTCTTCCTGTGAATTATCTGTTCCTGTGAACTATCTGTAATTATCTATTCTTGTGAATTATCTTTTCCTGTGAATAATCTGTCCTGTGTGGTATCTGTTCCTGAAAATATGTCACAATCTGTTCCCATGAATTTTCTTTCCTGTGAATACATGTATTCTGGAATTATCTGTTCCAGTGAATTATCTCTGAACTATCTATTCTGTGAATTATCTGTTTCTATGAACTATCTGTTCCAGGGAATTATCTATTCCTATGAATTACTTGTCACTCTGAATTGTCTATGATTATATGTTCATGAAAAGTATCTGTAATTATCCCTTCTTCTTAATTATTTTATCTGCTCCTATCTGTTTCAAATTCCTTTAATGGTACTGTTAGAAATTATTTGTAGTAAACACTGTGTTGCTATGACATTTATTTATTCTACTGTATCAATCTCCATACATATAAAACTCTGCTCAGCCTCTAATGAACAAAAACACAAAAAATAATGTTGATGAAATGATGAATTTGACAAAGCATTTGCCATACATGACCCTGATAATGTAAGTCAAACTGGAATGGAACAAATGTTCAATCACTTTGATTAGCATACTTGTACAATAAACAAATTAAAGAGACTGCACATACAAAGCTACTTGTGTTTTCTCCAGTAATAACCTGGCAGTAATTTTCCTTACTGTCACATTACACAGGCTTCATACAGTAGTTAGAATGCGTTAAGATCACAATATTGTTATGGTTATAAATCCCAGTTTATCGGGAGATCACGCAGTCCCAGTCTAACGGATCACTCAGCTGTTCATGGCCGACAGGCTTGGTAAATTAATGCCCAGTTTCTTTGCGACATTTAACTGTGCTTTAGCGGCATCAGACAGGGAGAAGAGATGTGCCATCTCAGATTCAGTCTTGGACAAAGATATCGCTTTCTGAAACAACTCGATAGCTTTCTCCATACTACCAGGACCTCTGGAAAAACAGATCAGGATCCAAAATCAGAGGAACAAGCAACACAGTAGCCAACAACTTGCTTATAAACTCAAAGAACACAATTAATGAAATAGTAATTCCCCTTAAAATATTAATTTTACAAACTTTACCGATGTTTTTGGTTAAAGTTTGTAATTTACTATTTATTTACTGTTGTACTTAATTACAAAGTAAGAGTTGTCTCTCTTTGATCAGTTCAGCCTCACTTACTTTTGAACCTCCAGAGTTCCTAACACTTCATATGCATATTCACATTTGGGATCCAGCTCAATTGCTTTATTAATTATAGTTGTGGCTTCCTGAATGTTCTGTTTCCATTGTAACTGTAATAATCTGAAATTGACAAAAATCTCCTCAGTTTCCGTTTACATTGTGAACAGGTTATCTCAAAAAATAGATAACAGCAGAAATGACATTTTATTTGGTTTATTATGATACCTGCATGTCAACGAAATATTGTCTTAACACACTCGAGGAAGTAAAAAACATTAATTCTATGTAAAACTGCACCCCCCCCTTCTTTGGGCTATAATATAAAACCTTGAAGTTTACTCTAAATAACAATGTTTGCATGCTATACTACATATGAAAATATGATTTATTAAATATTTCTCTTTAAGAATTTTGACCCTTCCTTTCCCCTCACCCCTTGAACAGCAATGCTTCATGCCTGTACTTTATGACAATTAGTCATGTGAATCTGAAGAAAATGTAAGGACTTTACATAAGAGTAAAATACAGACTGATGGATTCTAAAAAACTCTCAACAGAATAAAAAACCTCTGCTCTATGTTCCACCCATCCAGCATTAACAGTGTAGACAATATTTACCCTCTGTGTACCACCACTGTAGCATTAACAGTGTTGACAATATTTACCCTCTGTGTACCACTGCTGTAGCATTAACAATGTATACAATATTTACCCTCTGTGTACCAACCATCCAGCATTAACAGTGTAGACAATATTTACCCTCTGTATACCACCGCTGTAGCATTAACAGTGTAGACGATATTTACCCTCTGTGTACCACCGCTGTAGCATTAACAGTGTAGACGATATTTACCCTCTATGTACCACCGCTGTAGCATTAACAGTGTAGACGATATTTACCCTCTGTGTACCACCGCTGTAGCATTAACAGTGTAGACGATATTTACCCTCTGTGTACCACCGCTGTAGCATTAACAGTGTAGACGATATTTACCCTCTGTGTACCACCGCTGTAGCATTAACAGTGTAGACGATATTTACCCTCTGTGTACCACCGCTGTAGCATTAACAGTGTAGACAATATTTACCCTCTGTGTACCACCACTGTAGCATTAACAGTGTAGACAATATTTACCCTCTGTGTACCACCACTGTAGCATTAACAGTGTAGACAATATTTACCCTCTGTGTACCACCGCTGTAGCATTAACAATGTAGACAATATTTACCCTCTGTGTACCACCACTGTAGCATTAACAGTGTAGACAATATTTACCCTCTGTGTACCACCACTGTAGCATTAACAGTGTAGACAATACTTACCCTCTGTGTACCACCGCTGTAGCATTCACAGTGTAGACAATACTTACCCTCTGTGTACCACCGCTGTGGCGTTATCTGGCTCCAGTTCCAGAGATTTCGCAAACTCGCGATCAGCCTCCTCAAACTTCCCAGCATCAGCAAGGGCCTGCAAAAAACATCATAGGATTAAAATTTAGAAGTTAGACAATATAGAATCTAACATTTAAAGTAGTAAAAATATACCTGAGCATATAAAGCCCTAGCTTCTCCGTAGTCTGGGAACATGTCCACACATTGTTTGTAGGACTGTAAGACTGCCTGAGGGAGGGGAAGGTTCATCCCCGCCATCTGGGAGGTTGCTTTCTTGTGTTCTGTTCAACAGAATGTTAATGTCAAAGACATGGTAGAAATAGAGAAAGCTTTCAGGTGTCAATTACTAAAGGACAGTAAGGAAAGTTTTATTTAGCTAGATTTATTACAAAACACAACATTTTCTGTAAATGGTCGATAATCCCTAGTTTGTGATAAGAAACAAATTTTCTTACTGACTAATTATGGAAGGATGTTTTATTGACATTCTTAATGGCAATTGATTTCTGGATGTGAGAAGGGAGCAAAATGGGGACTTTTATTGACATTTTTACCAGAAAATGATTTCTGGATGTGGGAGGGGGTCAAAAGGGGGGATTGACATTCTTACCAGCGAATGACTTCTGGACGTGGGAGGGGGTATTGCATTCTTACCAGCAAATGACTTCTGGACGTGGGAGGGGGTATTGAATTCTTACCAGCGAATGACTTCTGGATGTTGTAGGGGTATTGAATTCTTACCAGCGAATGACTTCTGGACGTGGGAGGGGTATTGAATTCTTACCAGCGAATGACTTCTGGACGTGGGAGGGGGCAAAAGTTGTACTTTTACTGATAGCATTCTCCAGATCTCGGATGGCGTCCTCCATTCTGTCCAACTGAATGTTGTGCTGTAAATATAATGTAAATGTCTGTTACTCTGACCATAATTCATTTTAATATTTTCACGTATTTATATAACACAACTCCTATATTAAATAGCTCAAGTAATTCTTGGTCAGTTGACATTTTCATCCCAGGAATCCCTTTAAGGCCATAAAAAATTAAATAATAGTTTCTCAGGCCAAAAATTTCAAAATTCAATGTGGCAGGCAGGTTTTTTTTTTTTTCTTAAAGCAGGTATCTTTTTTTCATGTCAGTCGTTCAACAAAATGATGATATTAACTGATTCTCACATTTTTGTTCTCTTAATATACTAATTACAATGTACTCAACTCTAAATTATGTTATTCTAAATATTTCTTTAAAAGTTAATTAATAAAGGACTGTATAGACTTGAAGAATATTGTTTATCTAATAAAAACGTCGATCTTTTATTGTTATGAAAAGAGAAATAACTCAATTTTCTTTTTCAACTTGGAAAAATAGAAAATTGAGTTATTTCCCTTTTCAAAATGTCAATAAAATTGATCAATGCGGCTGTTTTTGACCTGATGTGGCAGTGCCTGAGAAACTATTGATTAATTTTTTTTTGGCCTAAACCAGGAAGTATTACCAGTAATTTATTTTGTTTCAGATTTTTCTCTGCCCTCCTTCCTTTTCATAAGATAATGACACTTACATGGCCGCGGTGATGGTAGACATCTACGTTATCCGGGTCAATTCTAACCGCGGTAGCAAAATCATCCAATCCCTCTGTGTGTTTCTCTTGCTGTATATACAGTGTTCCCCTCTTGATCAATGCGTTCACCTTAACCTGAAAATCGACAAAATATTGATACACTCCTTGCATTATTGTTCAACTTCTAAGATTCTTGTCAACTAAAAAATATTCATCTAAATTCTTTTTTTCTAAGCACATTTGTTTATAAATTCTTCTAGTTACAGGTGTGAAATGTTAAATGATGTCTCCTTTTTCATAACATTGCTTCAAACTTACATGTGACTGCTATTTTTTTTCTATTTGACTCTAAACAGTTAAAAAATCCTTAATAAATGGTTCACAAGTAATCGGGTATTACTTTGCTGAGTGTTTTATCCAAACAATTACCAATATACAGCTCTTTGTTGAAAACGTACCCTTTTGTCTAGTGTTTCAGCAGCTAACACTTGGTTAAAATCTTCTAGGGCCTCTTTTTGTTGATTACACAGAAAATACATAGTTCCCCTTAGGAGCCTCGCCTCCACCAAATTGTTTGTGTTTGCTGCGATTTCCTTGGAGCAGCAATCGATGATCCCCTCAAACTCCTCTGTGGCCAGCTTCTGCAGTGCCTCTTGGTAAGGACTGCCATCCTCAGTGTGCCCATTCTGTTGGGTCTGTAGTTCTTTGGCTGCGTTTATGACTGGGTCATTTTGGAAGGACCTCAAGTAAGTACGGATAAACTGTCTCGAGGGAATCATAGGCTTCCTCTTCTACAAAATAAACGAAAAACTTTGTCGTCCCTTCTATAATTTGACTCTATTTCACATTTACATTTCAAACAGCACAATTCAAACCATACAATTTTTCAGACTTTAGAATTAATTTAGCTGTAAATTAAAGTATTTCCAAATGAAACTGCAAAACAGGTGTTTCTCAGCAGAAGGTAAATTTTTTTTCTCAAAATTACTGAATATGAGTAAAAATAAACACAACCCTAAGGTCAGCTGTTTTTAGGTTTTATTTTTCACCTTGAATGCCTCCTTGGCCTTCGTTTGTCCAAGAGTTTTCAGGACTCTGTCAGCGGTCATCAGAGATTGGGGGTTCTGAAATCCTTCCAAAATACACACCGCTGTCACGTCTAGAGAATTCAATACACATCACAATAAATATAAGTGTACAGTTTATCATATGAAGACAACAACCTGTCAGGGATTTCAGAGTCACAGGCATAAAACAAGAGGCTCCAAGTCACACAAGTTGCATGAGTGTTCTCAGGCAATAACCAACTACCAGACTGGAACTTCAGACTCATGTGAAATGGATCATACAATTTGGTGAGGAATCTATGTTCTTTATCATATTGAATAAAGCTTATCTTCTATTTGCCCAGGACTAAAGAAGATTTTGAATTTAAAGATATAATGCATTTTAAATATATGATCAACTATACCTGAACTAAGCCTAATCATTGATTCTGGGGTAATAAATTTCTATTGGTTAGTAGAAAGCTAATTGCTCATTATGACCAAGCAAGAAATTTGCTGTTTGTCCAGGAGAGAAAAATGTCACTGTCAAAATAAGTAGACAGGTGCTTACCCTCCAAGGCTTGGGTTAAGTCTCCACTTTGTTCACTTGCTATTGCCCTGCGAGTAAGAGCCTTCTGATATTTAGGATTCAAACGTAAGGCTTCATTACAGTCATCTATCACCATCTTTGTATTTTTCTGCAAAACAAAACAATTCATCTAACTTTCATAAGATACAATAATGTGTCATATTTTAGCACAGTTACAAGAATTATTTTTATTTGTAAATTGTTTACAATTTTAACATTTTTCAAATAATCCAAGGAGGAGAAATGAGACAGAATTTTGAGAAATAATTTACCAGTTTTTCATAAGCTGCTGCTCTGTTGTGATAAAACGTGGACAAAGCTTCTTTATCCCCTGGGGGACAGATTTTGATGGCATTGGTGTAACAGTTAATGGCTTGGTCATACTTTCCTCCTTTGAAGTATTTATTTCCCTTGTTTTTTTCAGCCTGTGCCTGTTCACTAGGTGTCAGCTCCTGAAAAAAGGATTAAAACAAAAGTCAAGTTCTTAGTTATTATTGACCTTCAGTTAATGAACTACAATGTCCTCAATGCACTACAGTGCCTTCTTTTTTTTTTACATGACCTCTGTTCAATACTTAATCAAGTGTAAAATGGTTTGTTATGTGTTTTTTGGTAAATCACTGCTGTGCAATCTAATTAAAATTGGATGTTCTGAATCTGCTACCACTTCTCAAACATCTAACAACATCCCATTCGGCGTCACGTCAGAGCGACCTTTCGATTAGCCAATGAAATCGATGCCTCCAAAATCTTGGCTTATAGATCGGATGCGTTTATTTTTTCACTGCTAAATCTAAACGCCCAAGGAGTTTCATAGTAAACAAAATATGCATGGCAAAGGCCGTGCTATGCATGAATGTGACATGCGGGATATCTTGTATAGTTTGTGCATTCTCGTTTGCATTATTCAGTTAAGAATGCCAGATTGGCGGACTAAACATTCAATTTATACCAAAATTACTTTAATTCAACGTAAGACAGACTTTTCAGCATCAATAATGTTAAGATGTAGCTGTGGAACTAATTTTAGAATCGTATACAGAAGCTCAAATCTGACTGGCCAAGATTTCCTGTTTACTCATAATTGAAAGGTCGCTCTGAATGGGATGTTGTTAGATGTTTGAAAAGCGGTAGTGGATTCAGAACATCTAATTTTAATTAGATTGACTGCTGTGTTCACTGTAACTGTCACACTGTCAAACAAAGTGTTATGGTCCTTCAATACTTCTAACAAAGTGATGTACAATGTGCATTAAAAAAAAAATGGTTCATTAAAAAAAAAAAAATTAAAAAGAATTATTCCCAATTGTCAAAATCTTGTAAAACATGAGTATATTGGTAAACAATTAAAGATTTCAAAAGAAAGAAAAACTGGAAACCAATGCCTTAAGGTTTTAATTAAGGAAGATTCCTATGTGTGGATACCGAATGGTATTCCATAGGGTCTGTATCTAAAGTTGTAAACATAAAACATAAGAGATAAAACAGATCACCAAGGGTTCCCATACTCATGCATGAGGAATTGCCTAGAGCTTACACCTACTGTATATACTCGCCTAAAGGTCAGATTTTTGGGAAGTAAATTTTGGTCCAAAACTTAGGATTCGACTTATAAGTGAGTCTTATACCCCATTCATACGACGAAAATTTGCTTATGTGTGCAAATTTACATATGAGTAAATTTACACACATAAGTAAAAGTTAATTTGCTATGCGTTCAGACGAGATTTATGTACCATAAGTAAATCCTCAAATTGTCATTTAAAATAAGGAGATGGACCGCTTCAGACTTGTAAATTTTCACAGAAAAAACTACTATTTGGGTATAGGATTAACTTACTATTTAGGTATAGGATTAACTTTTGGATGTTCATCAAAGAAAGTAGAAGAAAAATCCGATCCAAAAATTGGTACGACAGAACCGTTCTATATGACTTAAAGGACGAAGATTGGTATAAGAATTTTCAATTGTTTAAGGAAAATTTCATAAAATTTCATAAATTTCATAAAATTTTGTGAGAAGTTGGGAAATGCTTTTGTCCCGACCCAAAGACTGTGGAAGAGCCGTTGGATGTAAAGAAGAAGGTGGCTGTTACCATCTACTGGTTAGCGTCTTTAGAGGAATAAGGGACGTACGATTAGAAATCATTTTGGTGTTGGAAAATCTACCATGTATGATTGCAAACATCGAGTTTACGAGGCCACTTTGGAATATCTGCTTGAAGAATATGTGTATTTTCCAGAAGGAGAATGAAAAGGGTGAAGATAACAAACTGTGATCGATCTCAAAAATCTTTGAACAATACAAATATGTGAAGAGGGAATAAACACGGACCCCTGGAAATTCTGGTGGTGGGATCAGGTGCCTAGGAGGAGTAAGCATTCCCTGTCGACCGGTCACACCCGCCATAAGCCTTATGTATTGATCATTCTGTAGTCAAATTAAGTATAAACAAAGTCCTAACAATTGGTATGAAAGAAGTCAGCCAAAATATGATCCAATGATAGGTTATATTTGCTAATAAGATCATTATAATGACCAAAGAGTAATTTTCCGTCTGTCGCCATATTTGGCGCTAACAAGGCCAGATTCCTTCATAATTCAACCAATTTAAACTTCTCATACTGGACAATGAGGCGAAGATAACACAGTTTTTCTTACGAAAATATGTTAACAAAGTTCATAGGTTTAGTAATTCAAAGATTTTTGCCCTTATATTTCTGCTTAAATACCAGTTTGATCTCCAAGATGGCGACCAAGGGAAATAACTCGAATTGAAAATGTGTCATATGAAATCTATCTATTTACCAAATGCTGACTTGAAACGAGGTTGTTGAAATCCTTGTAACATAAACTTATCTGTCAGTAGCCTGCCTCAGTTTAAAACTGAGAAAGAATGAAGAAAGTCATCAAGGGCTAAACTATGGTAGAGCGATTGATGGCACGCATATTCCTATCATAGCTCCTAAGCATTCACACGGAGTCTACTTGAAAGGAAGGGATTCTACTCATTGAATCTGCAGGGTGTTTGCAACCACAGCTACATCTTTAGAGACATAAACAGGTTTGCCACGAAGGGTCACGATGCCCGCGTTTTTACATATTCGAAAATTTATTTCAGAGGAGATAATGGTTCCTTGTTTCCAGAGTGGAGAAAGCAGTTTGGAGAAATTACTATGCTAGTAGTACTTCTCGGCGACAGAGGGTATACCCTTTGAAGACTTGGCTTTTGAAGCCATACACCAACAGATCTACCCTTACAGTAACTCAGTTCACTTTCAATTTTTGTTTACTTAGCGCAAGATTGACCCTTGAAAATCCGCGTATTTTTAGAGCTTTACTTTCTAGCAGCCATGTTTACCGACTGATATTTTACATGCCAATGCATATACTTAAGGAATAACTGTCTAATTTTTTGGATTCATGATGTGATCAATCGAGTGGCTTGCGTGATAATTTGCATAAACGCCGAAGGCGTTTATGCATAAAATTATCATGCAAGCCAATCGATTGATCATCATCATGAATCCAAAAAATCTGACAGTTATTCCTTATATTTACATGCTCCTGATTCTGCAAATTCCTGTGCGAATAGCCCCGCTTCTGTCTCTATTTGTCCCGCGCCTAACCGCGCCTAAAACCAGTAGATTTATGTAGAAATAAAGTATTTTTATAATTTATATATATAATTTTATCTCGGACAAAGACATTGGAAATGTTAATATAACCATAACAAAACTTAAAACGGAGATTGATGCAGTACACATGACAAAAAACTTACATAAGTAAATTTGCTGCGTGTTCATACGACAAATTTTACACACGGGAGCAAATATTTTGCGACAACGTGTATGCAAAAGTTAATTTACACCTTGTCCTGACCAGGTGCAAATTTACTCAACTGTGCATAATTTGCATATGAGCAAATCAGTTCATACGACAAAAATTGCACATGTAAGTAAATTTACATATGTGTAAAATATACTGAGGTATGCAAATCGTGTCGTATGAATGGGGTATTAGAAACATCAGTATTTTTCTGGACAATGAAATGTAGCAACTCCGACAAATCATTGACAAAATCCCAGACATATTCTTATGACTTTTTCATGCAAAAAAGGAACATCAAAGGCTAAATACGCAAAGAGTACAAGTGCTTTTTATGTACATTGTTTTCATCACAAAATGGTTAAGCAGTAATATCATATGTAATTAAAATATTCTCTGAAAGAGAGGTAAATGCAATAGAAAATTCATCTAAAATTGCAAAAAATCGTACCAACATAGAAGTGGGTCTATCACAAATTCCTCCAAAATTATCTCAAAAAATACAACCGACTTATATGTGAACCAACTTATAGGCCAGTATATACTGTAACTGCATTTTAATTAAGCTAATCTCTCTTTTTCTTATGAAGCTCAGTGTTTCAACTTTTCAGATTCACCACAGTAAGTCTAAGAAAGTTCTATCGCTAAAATAATACAAGAGGCCCAGGGGCCACATCGCTCACCTGAGCACTGTGGCTAGGAAAAGAGGAAAAATCTGTTTAGTATTGAAAAGCTTAAATGCATAAGTGGTCCCAACCTACCCCTAAAAGGGAGTGGGGGGGGGGGGGTATGATTTGAACAAAATTAAATCTACACTAACTAAGGATGCTTACATGATTTTCTGACTAACTGTGACTTTTTTTCTCTACAAGTTTGAACTTTCATTGTGCCCTACCCCTGGAGGTCATGATTTGAATAAACTTGAATCTACACCACCTAAGGACGCTTCCATATAAATATGACCAATCATAGCTTTGCTGTTCTTGAGAAGAAGATTTTTCCTATATATTGCTACTGTACATAAAACTTTGATTGTCCATTGTGGCCCGACCCTACCCCCGGGGGTCATGATTTGAACAAATTTGAATCTACACTACCTGAGGATGCTTCCAAATAAATATGACCAATCATTGCTTTGCTGTTCTTGAGAAGAAGATTTTTGAAGATTTTTCCTATATATTGCTACGTAAAACTTTGATCGTCCATTGTGGCCCCACCCTACCCCCAGGGGTCATGATTTGAACAAAATTGAATCTACTCCACCTGAGGATGCTTCCATATAAATATGACCAATCATAGCTTTGCTGTTACTGAGAAGAAGATTTTTGAAGATTTTTCCTATATATTGCTACGTAAAACTTTGATCGTCCATTGTGGCCCCACCCTACCCCCGGGGGTCATGATTTGAACAAATTTGAGTCTACACTACCTGACAATAATTCCACATGAGTTTCATCTTTCCTGGCCCATTGGTTCTTGAGAAGAAGATTTTTCAATAATGCCATTAATTTTTTGATATTTCGTAATTATCTCCCCTTGGAGGGGGGCGTGGCCCTTCATTTGAACAAACTTGAATCCCCTTTACCCAAGGATACTTTGTGCCAAGTTTGATTGAAATTGGCCCAGTAGTTCTGGAGAAGAAGATGAAAATGTGAAAAGTTTACGACAACGCCACGACATTACAGTGATTTTTCTACATTTTTAAAAAGGGGCCTGGGCCTTTACAATTGGGAAAAATCATTGACATTTGTGTAAAATTGGGAAAAATCAATAAGATTGAAATAAACCTTAATTGACAGGTAAAATAAAATATATAAGTAAATGTAACATCATTTATTCAAAATATTTACTACAAAATAACAAATTAGACACAGTTCTACATTTTCAACTTTTTTTTAATCTTTGAAAGTTGTCATTAGTTGTGACCGTCCTATATTCCAATTCTTTTTTTTTTTTTTTTTTTTTTTTTGCTATAATGGTAGACATAAGAAAAAATCCTACTCATAATAGCCATTGAAGATGATATAATCTGACATGATTTAAAACAAATCATTTTTTCTTCTAGCTTTCTAAATCACCCTAATCATTGTGCTGCAATTACCCTGCAATATTAGTTGCATCTGCCGGGTGTAGAAACAGTTTGATTTTCATGGAATCAGGGATGCTTGTTGTAGAACTACTAGTACTTGGATTTACAAATAAAGCTATGTTTCGCCTGTTCACATGCATCTTACACTTTCTTACGATGTATTTAGTTTGACGTTTGACATGATCCATGTGTTTTTCTATGTCTTGTAAACGCACAAAATGATCTGCTGTATTTCACTATTATTTTAAGAGTATGAATGACGGAGAGCAATAGCGTTCCAATTTAGATAAGTCATACATAAAAAATTCAATGTAACAAAATCAATAACGGTTTTTCTGGGGGGAAAAAGCTACTGAAATTGGGAAAAAATCGGTAATTTTTGAAAGGGGAAAGGGTCGATATTTGGACCTAAATTGGGTGTAGAAAAATCACTGGACAACGACGACAGACAACGGACAAATTTCGATCAGAAAAGCTCACTTAAGCCTTCGGCTCAGGTGAGCTAATTATCCTGGTTTAAAGATAGAGATTGTTCTGTTTGATGGCAATCTTCAAAATAAACAGGGACAAATAACTCTATGTGTATACTTCGAACAATTCAGAGAGGTCTGATTGTCAACATGGTGGTTAACTTTGACGCGTACAAAAAAATAGTTGATAGTGTTGAATTTTTCCTTTACATGTATTGATTTTTGGGTGGAAAATAATGTATTTAAAAGCTCAAAAAAGTTGTGATTAGGCCAACTTGAAAATAATGTTTGTTTGCCCTCTCTCGACTTGGGATGAAAAAAATTGGGTCGGTAGGTGAGAATTTTTTTTCTCCAGGACATTTCAATTTCAATGCTATTTTCCAGAATGCATTAAAAAAAATAATTGCTTCCTGGAGGTTAAAAAAAGTTTTAGGCATGCCATTTTTAGACAGTCAGTCGGGAGAGGGCAACCAAACATTTTTTTTAAAGATGGCCTTAATTGGGTGATTATTGTATGTAACTGAAAGCGAAAAAAATGTGACAGACACTTTCAGGATTTGAACCCAGACCCCCTGATTCAGGTGCTCTTCCAATTGAGCTATCTAGCCAAGGATGATCCAAACCTGTCTGACTGTCTGCCATATATGTATGCAACTCTATTTGTAGTCCCCAAAATCAGGCCTAAGTTGATCCACTCTTTCTTCTACATAGCAACTATACAGGACGTATTTTGACTATGGTAAGGGTCTGTCCCGAGACACAGATTACGCTAATCTAGATTCACCACCTTTGTCGAGAAGGAAAACTACATTTGTCTAAGAATTTATGTTTATCAAAATGGCCCTTTCACTTTGGAAGAGGGTCAAACAAGCTTCTTTCTTATTACTAAAACTATCTACAAAGGAAACAAAAAAAGTCTTCGCCAGTTGGACAGGACCTGATTAACAAGTGAAGGTCATGGATTATTTTTTTTTCACAGTGTTACTACATACTTAGAAATAATCAAAACAAAAGAAATCAAACAACAAGCATGTAACCTTTTCAGGCTTATCTGGTACACTGCCTTGTGAAGCTGGATTTGCTGCTTTCGCTTTCGTAGACTGGGTTTTACTTTTGCTTTCGTCTCTCTTCGTTTGAGACTGGTTTTGTCTGCGTTTTCTGACATACCACAATCCACCCAAGACTACTGCAATAGGGGCACCCACTGCCAGTCCGATTTTCCATTTCGGCCACGCGTCATTCGTGGTTTCCTTAGGAATTTCCACGCCGATATGTCTGGCGGCTGCCATGTTTATTACCCCAATGTCACGTGACAATTTTAATTTCATACAGACGGATTATATTTCTCCGGAAAAAACAGCTCGCTTTATACTTTTTATTTTTCATAAATAGTTAAAATGATATCGTTTTTAAATTTGCATATTATTCACTTGTGCTTGATGTTAAAATATGGTTAATGAATGAAAAAAGTGAAGAAAACGAACAGTGATCGATCTCAAAAAAATCTACAAACAATACAAAATTGCCGGTTTAAAAAGGCATAAAACACGGGCTCCCGTATGTTGAAAAAAAAATTTCCCACGACACAACTGCATCTTAAAATTATATAATATCTGGAGAAACACGAACAAAGTACATATGCATGTCCTCAGCGTTGAATTTTTGCTAAAATCACTTCATAGGAGAACACCCCCTCCCCCTCATTATCAAGAAAGACTGAGAAATTTGGCACAGTACACATGCATCGCTTGTATCTGTGCTTAAATGAAATCTAAAATGTTGAATTGGGATTTCAGTTCAGATTTTCAGAACTGAAATCTATCATGAATTGATAGATCAATCATTCTACAATAAAAGGACTAAATCAAGGTATACATGCAATTAATAACTTAAAATAAAAAAAAAATACTTCCTTCAAATAGCCAACTAAACACTATAATTCTCTAAAGGACATATCAGTGCACTTGTTATATCGAAAATGTAATGGTCTTAATCACCTGACTCGAAACTAGAATATTCCAACAATTAATTAAGAACGCCTATATATACAACTAAATATTTCGTCTTAAAATTTGCAAATGAGTGAAGCGACATAAAATTTTGTAATGAGAAAGGTTTTTAAACATAAGATTATGTCAAAACTCTAACTGCCCGAACATAGTCGATGAAATTTTTGTTCAGTATTTCTCTTACTATTTATTTTGACATACATGTATCTCGAATTAGCCTCCGTGTTTGCGTCAATTTCGTTTACCTGTTTACCGCACTGCGGATTGAACTCGGTCAATCCGTAGCTGTCGAACACCAATTTAACGCGTGCGTGTAAGATACATGTAGCTTATCCCGCCTACAGTGTTACATGAAAAACGTCATTTCGGTCCAGTATCTCATCGACAGGTCTAATATCGCACTCTAATATCTCACTCAACGGTCTAACTTCGATGGTTTTTGGACCGCGTAGTAAATCATTGGAAATGTGGGATTTTTTAAAAAAGTAATATTGTATAAGTTTATATTGGAAACTATTTTTAAACAAGTATATCAATAGAACTTATCTCCTGCCTACATGGTGCACATTTTGCTATATATATCAATACAACTTATTTCCTGCCTACATGGTGCACATTTTGCTATACATATCAATAGAACTTATTTCCTGCCTACATGGTGCACATTTTGCTATATATATCAATAGAACTTATTTCCTGCCTACATGGTGCACATTTTGCTATATATATCAATAGAACTTATTTCCTGCCTACATGGTGCACATTTTGCTATATATATCAATAGAACTTATTTCCTGCCTACATGGTGCACATTTTGCTATATATATCAAAAGATTGGTGGGTTTGCAAGCCTGAGAAAGAGTTAACAAATTACAAAAGTCAGGTTACTTTGAGGCCTACAGTTAACCATGCAGAGCCAATGTTATCCTTCCGATCCATCACTTAAACCAGAGCTAATTGATTTTATTTGTGTAGGAAATTGTGGAATATATGTTTCAAACAACCAATAATAACTTATGCTCTTCAGTTTGTGTAATATATTGACAATTTACCCCATTATATACTGATAAAATCCAATTTTTAAAAAAATGAAATGTGTGAATGAAAGATATGATACTGATACCCAAAGAATAGAAATATTTCAACTTATTAAAAACAATTGTCAAAATATTTCAGCTTTCGACAATGAACAAAACCTTTTTGGGTTACTCAACTTTCTCAATTCTGAAAACATGGAAATTCTTAATTTTGTGGGCAACTTTATTTAGGAATGACTCTAATTCTTGGCCAAATTATTCGAGTATAACCTGGTTTGGGTCAGTTTACGCTTTATAATCCGCGAAGCGGATTATAAAACAGCGTAAACTGACCCAAACCAGGTTATACTCGAATAATTTGCCAAGAATTAGAGTCATTCCTTATAATTTAATTTTAAAATCATTAAATAACTATGGGTGTAAAATTTCGTTGCTTTTTTTAGTTCAAATTTGCCGTTCAATAATACAACCGTAGTAACGGAAGTAACGGAAGTGATGGGAAGCAAGGGGAGGTGAAAACTGATACATAGGCCTAGCAGCTTGTTTACATGTGGTAAGATCGAATTATTGTTTGAAGTTAAAGGTATATTTATTAAATCTGGAATTTTCCATGAATCCCGAGGACTGGAAATGGAGGATTGTATGCATACAGATGATTCAGCTGGTTGTCAAGGGGGTGTGTCCCCATACCAAACCAGGTTATACAGAAATAATTTGTGTTCCTTTTTGGATATTAACCAATCAGAGGCTAGAATACAAACAAAATTAAATTATTTAAAGATAACATGTTTTATAGTAATCATATATTTAATGCGTTGTAATTATTAACCTGAAATAGTACCGTCACAGGATCAGCAATTATATAATGTTATCCTATATCCACTGGCATATCTTTTCCCGATTGTTATAATCATTTCATTTTTATCTCTGCTGGCTCTAAATTAGAATATTCTGTTCTTTTTTAAATGGATACGCTCGAGGAATGTTATGTTTGAAGTGAAAAAAAGTAGTTTTGTGTCTCTTTTCATATTTACTGAGGATCACAAGAATCCATCATCATCAAAATAACAGGACATGCATGGCTCCTTGATTTCCCAAGTCTGAAAATAAGTAACTAATATAAAGATCTATTGATCCTGTCTCATAAATCTACCCCGGTCTACACTGATCCAATTAACAAATCAATGCAACCCTCCTCCTAGAAACTAATTACGGAAATTAACTCGGGGTGATTAATTAATATTTACAATTTACGGTAGTAAAACTGGACAATAAATTCGAAAGGTTGCGAATCGTGAGAGAGACAAGTTCAGTGACCAGTTATCAGAAAACAAACGAACAAAACATTAACAATCTTCATTTTTTTACAATGATAACCCCAATATTTGTTTTTGTTTTATGTTTTTTTTGTAATGTTTAATCTTTTACAAAGTGCGTCGTGTTTCACTCCACAGAACAATACAGAACGATGAACACATATAAAACAACTGTATTCCAGCAACTGGACGGTATATACCTATCACAGGTGCATTGTACTGTAAGTATAATAGTGGGATGAATGGAGCAGTGTTTCTTGACCCCACCCCCCTTCCCCTTTATCTCTATCTTTATCACTGACTGTATATGACTTAATTTGCCACATAGAACATATCACAGAGGAAGGATTTCAGTGTGGTACACTGACCATCGTTAAAGCGAAACCCAATAGCGAACGCCATGATGACACACTCCTCCCCTGGGCCTGATGTGGGTTCACTGGGGCCCCAGTGAGGGGAGATAGGCGAGAGAATGTCCCCCGACATCCAATACCATGTCCCGGAGGTCAGAGAAGCCCCGACTGTCACAGCCTGTGAGTGTCCTGAAGGAAATAAAACAAAGCATTTTAGGAGTTGACCAAGTCATTCAAGGAAATGACAACTCACAAACAAAAGTTAGTTTTTGTGAAAGACAAGAGCTAATGAATCACACCCCAGGGAAATGTTCAAAATTCTTACCTTAAAATCGAAGACTTAAAACTGATGAACTTTATATAAAATCAATCAAAAGTGGAGGCATAATAATAAGAAATAGCAAAAGATCAAGATATAGCACGAATAGAACACATAGCTACCAGTCCCGAAAAGGGAGTTCTAGACAAATGCGATCCTAAGGTCGGAGGACAGCGAATAGAGCAGTTTGTACAAAACTTATAGCTACCCATTCCCAAGAGGTACTATAATTTCTGGATAAAATTCATTGACCACGTCGGTGGTCAGTAAAGCAAGCACTTTGTACAACATTTATACTCACCAATCCCCAACAGGTAATTCTGGACAAAGGTGACCCTGAGGTCGGAGGACAGTGATGCTAGCCTCATGTTCTCTGTCTGACAAGCCAGGACCTGGTCGGGCCAAGACAACTTTGTAAGGTTTAGTCTGACGCAATATCCGGTGTCACCTGGTACTGCTACACAGCCTAACTTACTGGCGGGATCTGCGGAAAAATCTCAAGTAAATTAGAAAGATACTTTGACATATACTAGATAATGATTTACAATCATGTGTACACTTAATTTGAAACAAGATTATATACGTTCCTTGAACTTTGCAATTCTTTTCAGGTTCATAAACCTTCTACTCACTCGAAATGTTTCTTTAACTCTTATGATTTCCCAAAAGAAATGTATTTTTTAAGTAAAATACAAACAATTATAGCATAGCTTGCGGGGCAAAATTGGACAAAATAGACATTCCAATTTGACAAGATTATAAAGGAATAATAGACATTTATGTCATTAAGAGTTATCTCTCTTATCAGAGTATCGATGAACCTTAAACATAAAATTTCAAATACAAATTAAGGAGAACAAATATTTTGAAAGAAATAAGGAAATTGCTTGGGAAAATAATGATTTATACAATTTTTTGTAAGTTATGTAAGTTAATTTTTTGTACCTTGTATTTCGTAGTACGAGAGGCCTGGTGAGTTTTGCACGGTGCTGGAAGGTGTATAAATCACGTGATGTCCACTGCAATAGGATTGACCATCCAGGAAACAGGACACACACCTGCTGTCAGTAGCACAAGCCGCCAGACACGCCATCTTACTTCCGGACTTTTGCCAGAGCAAGTTAGAGATCGCTTTCTTATTACTTAGGGATGTCACTTTGGAAAAAGTAGTTTCTAAATATTCTGAAACACATATTTATGACAACGATTGCAGTTTCAAAAGCCACACTATATACCTATAATATGTAGACGATTCCTCAAAACTATACCCATGATCATGAAAACATTTGAACTTACTATCCAGTCGAGTAAGAAAACGTTATATGTACTTACCAGCAACAAAAGGCAATGGCAGAACAGAAAACAGAACCAAAAGTTCTGCCTGTAAAGAAGAAATGTTTCTCATTCTGAATGACTAACTAGACACTTCACAAAAAACAATGATGCAGCTCATTAATTCTAGATACATGTATTTTTAAGACATTAAGATTGTTAGAGCGAGATGCTCCATTCTCATTTAAGAAAGGGTTTGGGGCTTTTTTATATCGATGTTTAAGAACCTCCTGTGCTGTAGGTTTATTAACCAATCATAAGTCAATGATTTGTCAAACTATTAAAGCAGCTACATTCTTCTGACTCCATTTCTGTCTAAATGCGACAAACAGATTTATCTTTACAGTAATTCATAACCTATGTACACCTTGTAGTCTGGCCTGATGATTGCTGCGGATGAATACATAGGGGATTATTTGCCTGGAGACGGTAAATAAAAACTACATCACTGTCACTGACAAATCACTGCAACATATAAAGCACCCGTCGATAAGTTTTGCCGAGCTGTTCTCAAATGACCAGTTATCAAAGTTTTCTTTCACAGTAAGAAGAATAAGAATTTGTATACAGAATAATGTATTTTGTTGAGGTAGTTTGCCTGGAAACTAACCCTACCGACAGGCCAAAATTTAAAACTACCAATAATTGAACTGCTTTCGCCATTTTTGGCCATAAGCTTGATAAAAATATGACTAATTAAAAGAATTAGATGCTATAAAATCATACATTGAATTACATTTCTCACAAACATTACCAGAGAACCTATCCCCTAGTTCCAAATACATATAAACTAAATAATTTTTTGAAAGAAAAAATACATTTTACTTGAATGAGGGTTCGTAGCTGATAAATTTAAACTACATTCACTTTCTCTTCTTATGAAAATATCAAATAGATCGAGTATCATAAACAACAAAATACAATATTCCTTAAATAAAATCATACAGAATGTATATATTCCATAAAACATCACCCAGCATGCACTTTTCCATCGACAATTTAATTCAGTATGCAATATTTGGTAGACAATATAATTTAGAATGCAACAATCCATAGAACATATCACACCAAAATTATTTCAATTACAATATTCCATAGACAACATCAATCAGAATGCAACATGCCATAAGAAATAATATGCAATAATCCAAGAAATATCAAACAAATGATATTCAAGAGTCAATTTCAATCGGAATTTGATATACCGTTATAAATATCATACAAAATACAATAATTCATATATTTGATATTATCCGTTAGGCAAAATTCCATAGATAATATACACAAAAATTTTTTCAATAAAAAAGTGCAATATTCAATAGACAATATTAAAAGAGAATGTAATATTCGTTTTATAATATCACAGATATACAATGAAATTCCATAGGCATTATCATTTCAAATTCAACTTTAATAATCCATAGATAATTTTCACATAGAATGTAATATTCCACAGTTAATTTCATTCATAATAGCGTGCAGAAATGCGATACTCGATAAATAATATCATACAGAGTGCAATATTCCGTAGACAATATCATACAAACGCAATTTTTCAAAAGATAATATATAAAAATGCAATATTCCAGAGACAACGTCAAACAGAATACAATTTCTTTGGATAATATCACACAGAATGCGATATTCCATTTTACAACTTTAAAGACAATATAATAAAACTTCAGTATGCATTACCGGTTATCCATAGACCTTACCAAACTGATTGCAATATTCCATGCATACCAAACTGATTGCAATATTCCATGGATAATATTGTAAACAACATGCATGCAACTTTATACACAACAAAATGCATTCTACATAATATATCATTCAGAATTCATTTTTTAAATTAAATAATATCATACAGAATGCAATATTCCGGCCATAGATCATTTTATACTGAATGCAATATTCCACAACTTAATATTATAAAGAATGCAATATTCCACGGAATATATTAAAGAGAATAATACATCCCAGAGACAATATCATTCAAAATGCTACATTAAATAACCAATGTCATATTCAGTATATTCTAAAGAAAATATCAATCAAATATAATTTTTATCTAGAAGCTGTTTTCTGTATAAATCTATGCATAAAATCAAACATGTCCAACGTTTTTCTTGAGCGGTCAAAAAAATATATGATGGGCCGATTGGTGAGGTAGTAGTACTTAATTTGCATTAGTAAATTTTCAGCTGAGGTGGGACCTTTTGATACGGGTCAACAAATTATACATCATTTGCATTCTCGGCGATAAAGGTACACGTATAACAAAACATGTTTGTACTGGGCTTTCGGACAGATTGCGTTTTACTCAACCTTCGAATCAAGGTGTTGCTTTGGGCCTAACGGTTTCAGGTTCAAACAACTGGTTCTCGCGGGTTCGGCAAAACGCGTGAAACCTCCGAATCCAGTCAATATGATTGTGTATAATATTGTTCTGGAAGGGACAGCCAGTTACTGCTTTATCAGCACTATAGTTCTAACTCGACCAATTCTTCCTGGAGGCACCGTCACCTTATCTTCTGCCACAGGTCGCCATGTCGTCTGCACTGCTATAACTTGGAGGCCACTACAAGGGAATCGGGAAAAACATTTATTCTATCAAAGAAAACGCACCCTTAGTTTATAATTATTCACAAATTGCCAACTGTTTTTGGAGCCGACCAATGTGAAACGCCTTCGATAATGAGTTAACCCATAAGTCCGATCCCTTTAGGTCCCCCTCTTGTCCCTACTACTCCGTTTGTATATTCCCCATAAATCCCCCGATTTCAGAACACTTAGATAAGAAAGTTCAGTACACATAAACCCAGAGAATATTGCACTACCGGGTCCATAACTACAGACAGGTGCTTGATCATGTCTCTGCTCCTGGCTGCTTTAGCAACTCTGGTCCTTAGGGTCACAGCCCAGGGAGGGTGTGACCCCGCCAGCAACTGTCAGCTACCCAACTGTCGCTGTTTTTTGGACAGTGCTGTTCCCGGGGGTCTGAATATGTCGGACGTCCCCCAGTTAGTCGTTCTGACAATGGACTATATCTTAAATGAAGAATATGAACCATTATATAACCAGATCTTTGTGGTTAACAATCCTAATGGATGTGAGATAAGGGGAACATTCTTTGTACAAGATCAAGGCTCGAACCTGGGACTGGTCAAGCGGTATGCCGACGGAGGGTTTGAGATTGGAATCAATTCTATAGATGGAACAATTCCTACCACGGAGGGAGACATGGTCAACATGATGAAAAGTAAGAGATTTCTCCAGACACAGTCCCCACCACTGTCACGACGTCCCACTGGTACAGTGTCAATGATTGTTCACTGAAATGTTCTCACTGAAAGGGGGGGGGGGCAGACAGACACTTCTTCCCGAGTGTAGTCTTTGCTTTGGTAAATTTCCTTAAAGATGTGGTTCCCCTCCCTTTTTGTTGCAGTAATTGGCTAATTCCAGGATTTTAAAAAAATACCATCAGCATCACAATGTCCAACCAAAGAAAGTTGGTTATAGTGCAGAGCAAAAATATTACTGTCAACAAGGAAATTTTGAACATATTTTATATTTCAGCTGTAAAACAGGACCTGAAGACAGCAGGAATCGACGATACCAAAGTTAAGGGTGTCAGACTGCCTCAACTAGCGACTTCCGGTGATACAGAATTCACCGGTAAGAAATACTGTTTTTTTTTTTTAATTTAAATGAACTCCCAATCTACTGTAAACAAATTTTACCACCCAAACTTACTCCCAAGTCTCCTTACTGTTCCAAAACTGCAGACTTTACAACAACAAGCTACGGTAAACAACCTTCCCACTCTCAAGCTACTGTTAACAAACTTAACTCAAGGGAGTCTTTATCTACTTTTACAGTAAAATTATACCAAAAAGTCAAATTCATAGAAACCTCTAAAGTACTGGTATATAATATATGACTGGATACTCTATATTTTCTATTACAATCTTCCTCCTGAAGTGAAACCTCTTGTACATTGTTTTGGATGTTAAATTTCAGCTATCGGTAACAATGGCTTGCTTTATGACGCCGGATGTGTTACAAATCAGTACGACCAGCAGTTGAATTACAAATGGCCGTTCACATACGACTACCCACCTACCGAAAACCTGTGTACAACCGGCACCTCCGCCACCAGAAAGTACCCAGGTAACGTCATTATCTGCCACATGTGGCACATTAAAATCCTACGTAAAAGTCCATATCTGTCACATGCGGCACATGTAAATCACTGGTTTCGTGAATATTTACCACATGTAGCACATTTCAATCACAGGTTTCGTCAATATTTACCACATGTGGCACATTAAAATCCTAGGTAAAGGTCAATATCAGTCACATGTGGCACGTAAAAACCTCAAGCAATATTTACCAAATGTGGCGCATGAAAATTCCAGTTCACGTCAATATTTACCACGTGTGGCACATTAAAATCCCAAGTTACGTCAATATTTACAACATGAGGCACATTAAAATCCCAGGTTACGTCAATATTTACAACATGAGGCACATTAAAATCCCAGGTTACGTCAATATTTACAACATGAGGCACATTAAAATCCCAGGTTACGTCAATATTTACAACATGAGGCACATTAAAATAATAGGCTACGTCAATATTTATCACACGAGGCAGTTATGTATTTAGAACGTTCTATCTAGATGATTGACTACCAAAATAATGTCTTCCACATTATCAAAATTTCCATTTTTATAATAATTACAGTACCCTCTCCTCCTAAAGACGTAATTGCACAGACCTCCTTAGTGAATATCTGTTTGTACGATGTTACAAAACTTTTACAGGTAAATGGCAGGTGCTCGTTGCCGATCTGACGTGGAAGGGGAACAAATGTCCCTCCCCAGCTGGGTGTGCCGGGGTCGATACCCAGAAGGACGTGTTTGATCTTTTATACAATAAGTAAGACAAACATTGAGTTATAAATACAATACAACTGAGATACAAGCACAATACAATTGAGATTAGACGTATAATACAAGTGAGACATAAGTACAATACAATTGAGATACAGGTACTCAAACGTTGAGATACATGTACATGTATAATACAATTGAGATACAGGAAATTAAACAATGAGATACCAGTATACTAAGTAATTCATCCAATCACTGAGATACGAGGGTTGTTCGGAAAGTTCGTGGACTATGCCAATTTTCGTTATACTGTCTTCAAGAAATTTAAAATGAGCACATTATCATATGTAAAAATATTTATTTTGTTTAAGTATGAAGTTTCATTCCATGTGATTAAATAGAATTCATGATATTTAATTTTAAAATCAACACGTTTTGTAACCATTGAGCAAACTCAACAACACTGCAACGGCACAAACATACCGACATGAGGTTCTCACACAGTATTGCCCAATACCAGTGCACTCATTAAAACGTTTCTCTATCACTTGAAATCTATTTTGCTAACAATTGTCCTAGTAGCATTATTTTGTTTGTCAATGTTATATATTTTTGTGTGCTTTCATGAGATCAGCATCTGTGAAGCGCCAAACTCTTAGCATGACGTTAAAAACTTTTCAATGTTTTTGAGAAGATTTTTTACAGATAATCCGTTTTCTCAGAGATCGATATCACCATCGTCTAAGCAGAGTAGTCTATCATATATGAGGCGCCGTTTTGGTATTTACTGCCAAAAAGTAATATCACCTATTCGAATAGGTGATATCACCTATTCAGTGGTGATATCACTTATTCGAATAAGTGATATCACCTATTCAGCTTTTGAATAGGTGATATCACCTATTCGAATAAGTGATATCACCTATTTATATAGGTTACTGTAAACCAACTTTTATTCGCGACGACTTTATTTCGCGATTTACCGGGGGTAAACTAGTTCGCGACGATTAATTTTCGCGATCAAGCCTTCTTTTGGATCTGTTGTTAATAGAAAGAGAGAATTTAAGGACCGGTTCGCTGCGAGAAATATTCGCGATGACGAGTATATCACCTATTTGATTTGAATTGGTGATATCACCTATTCAAATAGATAATATCACTTATTCGTATAGGTGATATCACCCATTCAAATAGGTGATATCACTTATTCCTTTTGAATAGGTGATATCACTTATTCGAATAGGTGATATCACCTATTCAAATTAAATAGGTGATATCACCATTTGAAATAGGTGATATCACTTATTCAAATAGGTGATATCACTTAATCATTTTGAATAGGTGATATCACTTATTCGAATAGATGATATCACCTATTCAAATTATTTATGAAATAACAACTGCTCCCAAGACTATAGCCTTTAATTCTCATTTACTTTCACTTTCGTTTTATAACTTACCGTTCTTGGAGACAATAGATTACAGCTTCGCATTTAGTTTTAAGCACCCCAGTAGAATTTGTAGTTTGTTTTGCTCACAAATTATATTCATTACACTTATCTATCATGTATACTATAGGAAAAATCGTGAAAAACGCATAATAAGTACTAGTATTTACTGTTCTATACGGAAAATGCCCCACTTTACATAATAAAGAGAGAGGTATGTCACTCTATTGTACCCCAGCTTTATGGAACGCCATAGCTGCCTGAAGGTCATTTTCATTTTATATGAGGTGTATAACCTTTATGTGAAGTGGTGAAGTCATTATATATAGTGGTAAAATCATTATATTCAATGAAAACTTTATTATATGCAGTGGTTTTATCTTTATATACAGTGATAAAATCATTATATACAGTGATAAAATCATTATATTCATTGATAACTTTATTATATGCAGTGGTTTTATCATTATATTCAGTGGCAATGTCATTATATGTAGTGGTTAAATAATGTAATGAAGTGATAGTACCGTTACATTATGCTGTAAAATCCTTATATGCAGTGGTTTTTCCATTATATACATTACTGATATCTTTCTGTGATGTGATGAATTGAATATATACAGTACAAACATAATTTGTGTGATAAAGCAATCATTACATTGTATGAAACCCGCTGCATGTGGAGTGCCAAGTTAATTTCATTCAGTGCGACATCTTTACATGAAGTGAAAAATCTATTATGTGCAGTACTAAGATCATTATATTATATTGTAAAATTATTATATATATTCCTAAAATCATGCTTTGCAGTGGTAACATCTTTATATGAGGTGGTTAATTAATTATATGATGTTGTTAATTTGTTATATGATGTGGTCAATTCTTTTTATGCATTAGTCGTTTCATGTTATGCAGTGGTAACTTCTTTATCATCATCTAAACTGGTCCTCTTGCAAAAACATTTTTAAAAAATGCGCGGAGTTCCAGTTTAAAGAGTGTTTGAAAATAGGAAACCCGGGCCGTGGCAAATTAAAAGCCGGGACTATTCGAGATTTTTCAAATTTCTGATTTAAAATTTTCAGACTCTTTTTTTAGGCTAATGTGTTTTCGCTGTAAAAATTGTATTTAAATACTTGGTATTTTAGATTTTCTTTACGATTTTTGGTTTCAAGTAAAATTGGTAGGCAGTTTCAATTTTCTGATTTAATATTTTATCCATTGTGCTATAAGTACTTAGTATTTTAGATTTTTTTTTTTTGGCGATTGTTGATTTCCATGTTGGTAAAATGTGTAGACTGGGTTGGCGATATTTTATGTGTGTGTTTTTTTGTTGTTGACATATTTGATAAAAATCTAATAAACTTAAAAATTATTCCGATGTTAAACACTGTATTTTAACTAAAAAAAACTTTTTCTTTTTGATAGTTATTTCTTTATTTGAAAATGCTATTTTTATGCAAAATACACATTTTCATTAAAAAAAAAGGATTATTAAACCAGATCCGATCATTCGGGAAGAACCTGGTGCAAAACACCATAAATCATTTCTAATTTCATAATATGCAAATGTGCACTTGTATCTATTTGTTAGTAGATGGAAGGAAACTGGATTACGTTAAATATGTAATTTGTTTAATAATTTTTTCGGGGGGGGGGGGGGGGTGTTAAATTACTAATATCAACTATTTATAAGACTGTTTCTAAGACTTCAGAAAACCTTAAATCACATTGAAATGCTTAAAATAAAAATTGCTGCATGAAAACATTTCATTTTCAAGTTTCATCTTTGCCGTCGCCAACGTGGCACGGTGATTAGAGTGTCTGCTCTAAGAGACGCGGAATAAGGATCGAGTCAATCCTTACGTCACGGGTTCGAATCCGACAGTGGGACGTTGAGACCGGTCCTTCGTAAGAGACCGCATAAAGCCATAAACCGAGGTCCCGTTCCACAGTAGGTGTTGGCACGAAAAAAATCCCTCACTGCTCAATGGCCGTAAGTGTCGAGTATAGGACAAAATTTGCAGCTCTCCACTGGCAAATTGTGGCGTCTCCATATGAGTGAAAAATTCTCGAGAGGGACGTTAAACAGCAAACAAACAACCAAATTAAAATCATTTTAGCCTTTTTGAATAAAATGATAAAATTAAAAGTTATCCTTCAAGGCTGAGGATCGGATATCCTTAAACCAAGCAACTTACGCGTGATTAAAGTTTGACACAAGGCTTTGCATTAATAGTCCTATAATTACATGTATATGTGATAATTCTTTAATTAATTTATATTTTATCAAATGGCATGTAGATAATGAATAAGTATTTCGGATTTTTTATGTTTAACTTCCGGGAGATCAAATCCGATTTTAATGAACCATTGGCATCGGAAGGAAATTGATAGTGGGTGGCTAATTGAAATAGAAAAAAAATCAAACCTGAAAAAAAAACTTGACAAGCAAAAAAAAAAAAAAAGGAAAATTGTTCTTTCTCCAAACCCGAAAATCCTATTTCGGGGGTGTGGGTGGGGTGGGGGGGGGGGTGTGGGGGGTTGGTCGAACATCTCTCAGTACCAAATTCTTTTAAACACTACCAATTACCCTTCTTTCACTACAATGAATCGTGCCTGTAGAAAGTGGTGAGGGGGGGGGGGGGGGCTAGACCTACGCCCGAATTTTCAATGCCTACATTACGTCTACCTTTGTAAAAAAAAAAAGGGGGGGGGGAAATAGCCCCCCCCCGGTTCCGACGCCTATGTGAACCAGTTTTTCTTAAACGTGTCATTTCACTCAAAAAATGCCTTTCAAAGAATGAATAATTTTTAACATCAGAATAATTTAAAAGTTTATTAGCTTTCTGTCAAATATGGCAAAAAAAACAAAACAAACAAACAAACAAAAAACAACAAACAAAACACGTAAAATGTCTACTTGATTGCCTACCCGATTTACCAACCTCACGGGCGGATTCAGAAGGGCCTATGGGCCCCTCCCCCCCCCCCCCCTTGTGTCCAAAATATACATAAGATTTAATAAATCAATTGTTTTTTGGTTTGGCTGTGGGCTACCTACCTACCCCGACCAAAAACTTGTCGGGCCCCCCTTTTCAAGATTCCTGGATCCACCACTGAACTTGGTAATCAACAATCGCCAAGAAAATCTAAATTACTAAGTATTTTAAAATTAAATGCAATTTTTACAGCGAATACACATTAACCTATAAAAATGAGTCTTAAACTTTCAGCACAGTTGATAAAATCAGGATGCTGTATAATAGAATCAGAAATTAGAAAAATCTCGAATAGTCCCGGCTTTTATTTGCCACGGCCCGGGTTTCCTATTTTCAAACACTCTTTAAACTGGAACTCCGCGCATTTTTTTTAAATAAAAGGACCAGTTTAGATGATGATAAAGAAGTTACCACTGCATAACATGAAACGTCTAATGCATATAAAGATTTGAGCACATCATATAACAAATTAACAACATCATATAATTAATTAACCACCTCATATAAAGATGTTACTACTGCAAAGCATGATTTAAGGAATATATATAATAATTTTACTATATAATATAATGATCTTAGTACTGCACATAATAGATTTTTCACTTCATGTAAAGATGTCGCACTGAATGAAATTAACTTGGCACTCCACATGCAGCGGGTTTCATACAATGTAATGATTGCTTTATCACACAAATTATGTTCGTACTGTATATATTGAATTCATCACATCACAGAAAGATATCAGTAATGTATAAAATGGAAAAACCACTGCATATAATGATTTTACAACATAATGTATCGATATTATCAATTCATTACATTATTTAACCACTACATATAATGACATTGCCACTGAATATAATGATAAAACCACTGCATATAATAAAGTTATCAATGAATATAATGATTTTATCACTGTATATAATGATAAAACCACTGCATATAATAAAGTTTTCATTGAATATAATGATTTTACCACTATATATAATGACTTCACTACTTCACATAAAGGTTATTCCACCTCATATAATATGAAAATGACCTTCAGGCAGCTATGGCGTTCCATACAGCTTGGTATAATTTATAAAATTTATATTACATTACAGGGGTCGATAACATAAGGTATTTAAATGTCTCAATTACAGGGAAAAACGGGGCAGCCCGAATTTGCTTGGTTCTAATGGAAATGTAGATAGTCTTGAGGAAGGGAGCATTCATTATTTATTGTTGTAAGAAATGCAAATAGGTGATATCACCCATTCAAATTGGCGATATCACCTATTTAATTGAATAGGTGATATCACCTATTCAGCACGAATTAATAGGTGATATCACCTATTCGAATAGGTGATATCACCTATTCATTTCCAATAGGTGATATCACCTATTCGGATAAGTGATATCACCTATTCGAATAGTTGATATCACCTATTCAGTTTGAATGATAACAATAAATACCAAAACGGCGCCTCATACTATCATTCAAATACCGCTTGTACCATGTACACACACACACATGCATGGCTCGATTTTGACTATTTCCTACTTCCTCTGGCATTTTCCAAGTTTTTTATGGAGTTTTTTGGTGCACAAAACAAAATTGTATGGTTAACTGCTGCTCCGTGACGTTCTACTACGTCATCTTTTTTGGCTTTTTCAATGAGGACTACCTATCTTCTGAAACTGATTTCTTTTCAACAAAACAAAATATTAAATCATAATTTGGAATCAGAAGAGAAGAAACAATTCTTATTTTGAACGTGTAGAATTTTTTCGATTTTATGTCATTTACAGAAGATATGACTTCAGACATTATTTAGTGCCTTGATTGTAAGTTACGAAACTTTGACCTGCTCCGTGATCCGATTTTCGCATTTTTAAAGTCTAAATAAGTTTAAAATAAAACATGATATTTTAAAATTTTTAATACACATCAATTGAATTTACTGTGGAAATATTTCTTCAAAAATTGGATATAATATTTGATCCTCTGTTGTGGCCTCGCCAAACCTCCAGTGTCATTATTTTAACAAACTTGAATCTACGCTTCTGTATTATTATGGCTAATCATGGATTTGTTGTTTTTAAGTAGAAGATTTTTTCTTTGCATTCTCAAGTAAAACTTTGATTCCCATTGTGCCCCCCCCCATCTTACCCCTGGGGGACACGATTTGAACAAATTTGACTCTACACTTTAATAAGAAGCTCTAATAAGTGTCATCTTTTCTGGTCCAGTAGTTCTTGAAAAAAGGATTTTTAAAAGACCTCACCAATTTGTTTCCTAATTATCTCCTCTCGGAAGAGGGTTTCACCCTTCATTTGAATAAATTTGAATCCCCTTTGCCCAAGAGTACTCTGTGCCAAGTTTGGTTGAAACTGACTCAGTAGTCCTGGAGAAGAATATGAAAATGTAAAAAAAAAAGTTTACGACAACGATATCAGTGACTACGGACGAATTTTCTTCAGAAAAGCTCACTTGAGCCTTCGGGGCTCAGATGAGTTAAAAAGATAACAAGAATTCACAGGTTTTTGTTTTTTTTTTTGAAAATCTCCAGAACTCAATCTTTGATAGCCAACGGATTTCGATCCGATATCTATACTCTACAACACGCAGCGGACACAATGCTTAAATCACTTTTGATTTCTATCCGAAATCTTCTCTACATCGTGTAGCGAACGCGATGCTTGAAGCATTTAATTTCTGAGATTATACTAGTGATATCACTGCAGACTTAAAGTGCACTCGAGTTTCACCATATGTTGAATTCAGACCCCCCCCCCCCCCCCCGGAAGCACTGTCTGCTTAAATTCAGCAAAATTAACTAGTCACCTATCTTAGCCATAAATACAAGACTGTTTACCGGTATATTATACAATTTACGATGTTGTTATTTTGAGCTGTAACGTTTTTTGTTATAGTTTTGCCTCCCACTATGAAGGTAACAAGGAACCCTATGTGATTGTGTTGGACCCTCTGTGGATGAAGACCGACTACAAACTGGAGGGCACTATAGAGTTTGTGGATTACGTCAGAGCAGCTTTTGACGTACGTTTCTTATTACTCAGATATCTAAACAAATAAAAATTATTTCATAAGGGTTGTCAGACAACACACAAAGTTAAAACATATTTACACGTTTTAAACCTTAAACAACGAAGGCACCAAAAAAGTTGTTCATGAATGTATTTTATGCATGTACCTAGATACGTTCTCACACAAAACACGAATTTACAGAAGGGAGAAAGGTGGATTTTCAAGATGTGCGAGTTGTTACAGTTTACTTGATTGGGTTGATTTTTAAGATGTGTGGGTTGTTTCTGTTAACTTGATTGGTTAGTATCAAGATGTGTGGGTTGTTACCTTTAACTTGATTGGTTAAGTATCGAAATGTGTGTGTTGTTACCGTTTATTTGATTATAATTAATTTTTAAGATGAGTGGGTTGTTACCATTAAATTGATTGGTTGATTTTAAATATGTGTGGACTGTTTCTGTTAACTTGATTGGTTGTTTTTCAGGATGTGTGGGTCGTTACGGCTGACCAGATGTTACAGTGGGTCCAGACCCCAACCAAAAACTCGGATCTTAACAACTTCGCTCCATTCCAGTGTTAAAAAACATCAATTCATTTTACATGTGTAGAACTTTAAGTGCGGGACTCTCTCGCAGTTTTATACCGGTAGTATTCAAACAGTTAGTTTGTATCGTTTTTCAGTTTTTATAAAAAGTTTTAACATTTGGGTGTCTTATTTATGAGGATGGTGTTGTGTGTTGGTATTAACAATATATCAGAACGGTTCCCATGAACTGAAATCCTGTACCCTAGTCTTTTGGGGTAAAAGTGTGAATATGGTTCATATTAGAAACCAAGTTCACTGAACATTACACCGATATAGAGTACATAAAATTTGTCTAATCCATCACGCACTGGGAGACATTTATAGTGTCGGAATAGGCAGGGTGTCGGATTGCAGAGTGTTAAAAACATATGTAAAAGCAAAATGGAAATTTAAAACAAGGGTCGGAATTCACAGTGCAAGGGATCGTACGTGTGTCGAATTAGACTGCTTTCTTCACACGTGCTAACATATGCCCAGGTTGCAGGGTGTCAAAAAGAAGCATTGCATTACATTACATGTAAGGTGTTAAGCTATGTCCTATTATTTTTTTTTTTTTAATTCAGCTATATTTGATTTGTTTTGCTCAAAAATTTCACATGACTGGTAACCTACCGGTACATGTATTAGAAGTCGGTCATTTTTCGTCTAAATTATTTTTGAAGAGTTATCTGTCCTTGATGAAATTAAGAAAATCTGAAAGTGCTTCCGTGAAATGGTTCATTTTATTTCTTTTAATAAAGTCGTGTCTTATGCAAATATTTTAAAGAGATTTGTATGAAATTTAAATTTTTACAATATCTCAATAATACAAGGCTCTACCCATGGACTTCAAAGTCAAATTTAAGGTGCTATTAACCGATCAGTAAACAAAATTTTGTAATTTTCCGATAGATGACTATCATTTTAGATAACACTTTCAAATGATACTGTACTACGATTTTTTTTTCAAAAGACTTGCAGCCATTTTCACAATTATCTACAATATAATGTTCGTTACAAAAGTATACCTCAGATCCATCTTTTTCACAAATTTAAAAATATTCTTTAGTTACCTCATATTTCAACTTTTTATTAACTAAGATCCCAACAGGAGTCTTAATTCCCGAGAAACACTTTTGTTCAAAGAGTAATATATTTCTAAGTAAACACATTTGCAGAGATAGGGGGAAATGAATGAATATGAGTGAAAATTGAAGGGAAAAAAGTCCTCTTTTTGCAAAAAGCGCAAAACCTTTAAGATTTTACACTCTATATATGTCTACATAACTCTGGTATGTTATGACTGGTAGCCAGGGGCTATAAATGTAGGACTTGGTAGTGGTCTTGTACACGTGGCAAATTTATAATACACATTGAGAGACATAATTAAAGGATTTCTAAATGAGAAATTTATTAAAATTCTTTTAAAATACTCTAAAATATTTTTTATAGAAATCAATAGATTATTTTCAAATAAAAATATGCAACTGATAAAAATTACAATAATAAAATGTTTTCGTATTATCGACTGGGAGTTGTGGCGTGCTCCTGTAATCCAGCTACTTGGAGGTCAGAGTTGGTGGACGAGTTGAGGGCGGGAGTCCTGCTCTCCGGCGACCTATGTCGATCGGGCGTCCGCACTAAGCATGGCATCAATATGGTCACCTCGGGGGAGCCCAGGGTGTCCAGGTTGTCTAAGGAGGGACGTAACGGCCTAGGGTGGAAACACAGCAGGCAGAAGTCCCCGTGTTCTGCAGTAGTGGGATCGCGCCCGTGAATAGGCACCGGTTGGCAGCCCGTCCAAAATAATCGGACCCAACTCTTTTGTTGTTGTTGTTTAAAATTAGGATTAATATATTATGAATAAAAAAATGTATATATAATAAAAAATAGATCTGCTCTTTAAAAAAAAAAAAGTGGCCCATGTGCCAGAACGCTCACTTCAGTCACTTTGGCCCTACTGTTCAGCGTACTAAGATTTCTTTTCCAGGCAAATAAATACGACTCTGTTCAAAACAATGCAAAATTTTTTTATTGCCTTAAATGACACCATCCTATACCTAGGGTGGGGTGGGGGCATGATTTTTATACTACCAGTGGATACTTCTACATTAATATTATTCATCCTGGCTTTGTTGTTCTTAAGGACTTTTAAAGATTTTCCCCTGTATAGCACTACCTCAGAAAGTTTTCACCCAGGTGTCGTTCTTTTCTGATCCAGTGGCTCTTTACCCCCACCTCATCTCCCGGACGTGGGGACAATTTAGAATCTATACTTCCTAAGAAAACTTCCACACAAGTTTCAGCTTCTCTGGTCCAGTAATTACTGAGAAGTTTAAATGATCCCACCTAGTCTTGTCTTTTCTAGATTATCTCCCCTTGAAAGACGGGTTTACTATTTATTTTAGCAATTCAGAATCCTATTTAAACAGGGATGCTTTGTGCCAACTTTGGTTAAAAATGGCCCATGGAACTTAAGATGATTAAAGTGTGAAGAGTTTATAGACTGAAGGACAGACAATGGGTAGTCAGAAAAGCTCCCCTGAACTATTTCAGAAGGCTTATCAATCAATCAATCATAAATAACCAATCAGGTCCTAAACTAAGGATCAGAATGTGTTACTTTAATCTTATCCCAAGCCCTGACAATATTGCAAGATGATTTAAACATTTTTATTTAACAAGGCACATACCATCATTTTTGAAAAGGAGGATTAAAATTAAGAACTATATAATTGGTATATAGCCAGGCAAATTAGAGACAAAATTTTTGTACTTTTTTTTTTTCCAAATATTTGAATAGTATGTAATAGTTTTGCTATGTTTAAAATGTACCTTTCTTGAATGCAAAATAATGATTTTGTATTATTGTATGGTCAAAAAAAAAAAAAAAAAAAAAAATTCTGGCTGTCCAAAACTTCCAAATTTCTGAGAATGCTACCAGAGAATCAATACATGTACAATATTTTTGCAGTAAGAAGACACTATGCCATACTGAAGAAAAATATCAATGATTTCTGTGGATGTTTAAAAAAAAATAAGGGGTTTAGGAGTGCATACACAGTTTACACAATTATGTAGTGTAGATCAATTATAACTTAATATAAAGTTTCAATAGGAGAATGTAAATTCTTTCAGGTTTATTATGAACATATAAACATAACAGCATGTTACCAAGAATTGTCTTATCTTAGTCTATATACATAATGTTGCATGAATTACTGAATTTAAATGAAATCAATTATATAATATCAAGCATCTAAACCTTCAAGCTTTATTGGATTTGATCACATCTCAAACCATAGTTACATTTTAAAAGTTTTTTATTGCCCTTCCCCGAGTGAGGCACACAGCCAGAGCAATGCTATTGTGTAAAATTTGTCATAGCAGTGTACATGTATGAGTTGACTGTCAATAAAGTTTACTTGACCTGAGTCTCCTTTGTTTAAAATGGGCACACATGTACCTCAAGAACTCAAAACAAAAACTCAGTGATATTTTAGTTTTATGTAGCTAAGATACACTGCTTACAGAAAAAATTACATTAATGCAAGTTGCTTTTTAGCTCAGAATGCAATAGACTAAATACAATAACTAGTACAAGTGCTGTGAAAATGGCAAATGCAGTATAAAACATTCTAGTTAAAAATTAGCAGACAGAAAATTTAAGAAACAATGATGGTAAAGTTTAACTAATAAATATATATACACACGAAATTACAAATACATGTGTATCTAAAGAACAATTTACATGTACAAATAAATTCATAGTATTGAAACCCAAAATATGCATCAAATTCCTACATACAATAGATCCCCACAAGGTCAGGGTCAAAGTTCACTGATGACTGTATGATCCCTGACAGACTTCAAGATAGCAGGATTTATAGTAATCAGACTAAAACTGTTGGAGGAGAAGCCTTTTGAAAGACTTTTACAGAAATTTTTATTTTCAATAACCATGGCAAAACTGTTCATTAAAATCATTAAAGATAATACGAATTATGTATCATAGTGTAGTTTAAGATGTGCATTCCAAATTGTATCAAAATCACACCAAAAGTGTGGGAGAAATAGAGTTTTTGAAAGTATTTCACAGAAAATTCTATGTAGGTAACCATGGCAACACAAATTACCAAAATAAAAAAAAACAATAAACAGAATTATATAACTTAGTGTGATCTTCTTGTGTGCCAAATTAGATTGAAATAAGACAAAAACTGTATGAGGAGTAGCATTTCGAAAGTATTTCACAGAAATTTATATTTCAGTAACCATGGCAACACCATTCATTGAAATCAAAATCTGATACAGAATTATTAATCTTACTGAGGTTTACAGACAGACAGATGACGGACACCTTACTACTGCATAAACTTTTCTGGTCTTTGACCAGTAAAGCTAATGAACTTTGTCAGTGGTCCCATGGCCACAAGTGGACTCAGGAACACTGACGTAGTGATACTAAAAATACTATTTTGTATTATGTTTTCAATAGCTGCCCTTTATAATCTGAACACAACAAATGTCCAGATCTGTTCCCTCTACAATCTATAACAAGTCTAACTTCTGTCCAGCAGAATTATAATGAGGACTGTTATAAGCAAGGCTTTACAGTAAAATGATCTAATACAGTTATAAATATGAAGTGATTGTAAAATGTCAAAACAAAGCTTTTTTAAATATTCTCATTATAATCTACTGGTATTAAAAAGATCACTTAAAAAAACAGAGTTAAACTTACTCCAATACACAGATCTTCAAGACAAGTATACCAGTGCTTAGATTATCATTTAAATTTCTAAAGAGAAAAATTAAAGTTCAAAATGTAAAACCACCGTTTTTATTATTGAAATTAAAATTTAAATACACATTTGAACCAGTAAATTATCTATGACCAACACTGCACATCATGTCAAAATTTACAGGAACCAGCTGCATGTACTGTAAGCAGTAATGAGAAATGTGACAGGTCAGACCAGGATTCTAACCTAGGTCCCCTTAATGACTAGTCTGGTGCTCTACCAAGCCACCGCAGGTGATCCAACCTGTCAGGTCGGACCAGGATTCTAACCTAGGTCCCCCTAATGACTAGTCTGGTGCTCTACTAAGCCACTGCGGGTGATCGAACCGGTCTGACCAGTACAATTTAATGAAGTCTTACAACTCTAATATATATACATAAATGTGTTTCTTCTACAGCAAGTCTGAGTTTACAATGCCTTGACTAAGTTTCTGCTGCTTTGATGTAATTTTTTAGTAAATGCTGTCTTCCTAAAGACACTTCCATTTATTCATATTTCTTTCTTCATTCTCTAAATTGTCAGTGCAAACAATTATTCTATCAGATTGTATCAATCTAAAATTTTTACAACCTCTGTTATTCCAGGAATATTAACTTTCTGAACACTGTTGTTTGATGTTTCTACAGGTGTAGATTATTTCTGTTTGATGTCCGGAGGCTTTGGTTCATTCCTTCTCTCCGACACATCTCCCTAACAAAAGTCCCTCCCTGATTACAGGAGCTGTGGATGATCCCCCTCCCTGATTACAGGATCTGTGGATGATCCCCCTCCCTGAGTCTATTTTACTAGGACATTTTCTTTCTGAGGTCATTTAAGCTGCTTAGTGGGTGTATATTCCAAGGTAAAGCTAGCTAAAAATGAGAAAAAAACAATTAAACAACTACATAGTTAATCCAAAGCTCTTCTAAAAATAAAAACGAAATCCAACATAGAGGTGGAGATCAAACCCAGATAATAATAAAGAATTTTTTTGTCTAATTTAAACATAATAAAACATAAACATATTATATCATTTAATCTAATATACATAATGTACTTGTATATGAGTTTAAAAAAACTCTTTTAAAATATTTTCATCAAAACAATTCAAAATCACACATGAATGGAATTTTTTTAAAAATTTTCTTTAAAATAAACAAGAGGCCCAAGGGCCTTAACAGTCACCCGAGTATAATACAACAATTTAGAAGTTAAATACACTGATAGTTGAAGCTTTGTTGCCCTAAAGCAAGAGAAGTAGGAAGATCAGGATCAACAAAATAATTAGTCTAGTATTCAGTATCAACTCATAAATTAAGTTCTAATCTGTCCCCCACTTAACACTATGCAGACTATTAACAAACTATCAGTGCTTCTGTACTATTTATAAACCCATATTAAGACCTCTAGCATTGACCTCTCTTATAGTCTTTGAAGAACTTTTAAAAAGATAAGTTATTTTTGTCTCATTTTTATTTATCTATTACTTACAGGTCTACCTGTTTATTAAAACTAAGAAAGTACTTTTTTAATTATACAATAAACATTCTTGCATAATTATCTTATTCTATTAACCTTTCAAATATTTATTTACAGTGATTAATTATCAAAGGTGAATGGAAAAGGGGAATAACTTCTCTCAGTAGAATACAAATTAATAGAGCCCTGCCCAGGACCAGAATGCTTAGACCAATGGTCCAGATGTTTAAAAATCTGGTAGAAATACACTTACTCATATCATTTAAACTTTTACTCAGTTTGCTTCCAATATGCCCAGAAGCAGAGAAGAATTTCACAGGTACAATGCATTTTCACTACAGATTCAACAAAGCCTTACCCTAACACCAGAACCCAAGACCAAGGGTCAAGAAATTTACAAATTTGGAAGAGTTACCCTCATCATCATAACTATGGACTTCAAAGAATTAACACTTTTCCACTATATTATCAAAGCCCCCCCCCCCCCCCCCCCCCCCTCGTTATGCCAGAACCCCTGACCCTAGGACCACAAGATTTAAAAATTCTGTTCGAAGCTCCCATTTTCATCATAGCTAAGCAATTTATTTATCAGCTCAACACTAAGGAGCAGACAGGATTAATTAATGATTAATAGAATTAATGCTTTTTCACTATATAATCAATAGAGCCCCCCCTCCTCAAGAACCCCAAAAACTGAGGCCATATATTTAAAAAAAATTGGAAGAGGCATCCTTGTCTATCATAATCATGCACTTAGTTTGTTTATATAATCTCCAGTAGCAGAAAAGAAGATTTTCAAAGAATCAATGCATTTTCACTATATAATCTATAGAGCCCCGCCCTAACACCAGAACCCCTGACCCTGGGGCCATGAAATTCACAATTTTTGAAAAGGCATCCTTATGCATCATAACGATGCACTTAGTTTGTTTAAATAATACCCAGGAGCAGAGAAGAAGATTTTCGAAGAATTAAAGCATTTTCACTATATAATCAATAGAGCCCCGCCTTAACACCAGAACCCCTGACCCTGGGGCCGAGAAATTCACAATTTTTGAAAAGGCATCCTTATGCATCATAACCATGTACTTAGTTTGTTTAAATAATACCCAGGAGCAGAGAAGAAGATTTTCAAAGAATTAAAGCATTTTCACTATATAATCAATAGAGCCCCGCCCTAACACAAGAACCCCTGACCCTGGGGCCATGAATTTCACAATTTTGGAAGAGGCACTCTTGCTCATCATAACTATGTACTTAGTTTCTTTATTTAATACCCAGGAGCAGAGAAGAAGATTTTCAAAGAAATAACGCATTTTCACTGGTAGAGGGCTCCATGCTTATTACAATGATGCCAACAGTTTGACTGCTTGATGTCCAGGAGTAAAGAAGAAGATTTTTAAAGATTGCATTATTTTTGGTGGTTTTAGCCCCACCCCTCAGGCCCCAGGGGGGCAGGGACCATGAAATTCACAATATTTGTTCCCCTTCATCCATAGATGCTATATACCAAATTTGGTTGAAATTGGTTGAGCGGTTCCAGAGATGAAGCTAAAAATGTTCAAAAGTTTACAACCGACGAACGACGTACGACGACGGACAAAAACGGATAGCAATAGGTCACCTGAGTTTACTCAGGTGACCTAAAAAAGCTTAATCACAGCCAAGAACACATTATGTTCCTTTATAGTACAATTGTCAAAGACCTTTAATGTTAAGAAGTAAAATGTTTTGTTGTCATTACATCTTAGGTGAGGTTAAATTAATGACCAACAGACATCAGTCAGTTATATAAGACTTTTTCCTGAATGCAAAAAGAAAAAACGAGAGAAACAAGAGGCCCAAGGGCCTTAACGGTCACCTGAGTATAATACAACAATTTAGAAATTAAATACACTGATAGATGAAGCATTGTTGCCCTAAAGCAAGAGAAGTAGGAAGATCAGGATCAACAAAATAATTAGTCTGGTATTCAGTATCAACTCATAAATTAAGTTCTAATCTGTCCCCCACTTAACACTATCACCATGGAGACTATTAACAAACTGTTAGTGCTTCTGTACTATTTTTAAACCCATATTGAGACCTCTAGCATTGACCTCTCTTATGGTCTTAGAAGAACTTTTAATAAGATAAGTTATTTTTGTCTCATTTTTATTTATCTATTACTTACAGGTCTACCTGATTATTAAAACTAAGAAAGTACTTTTTTAATTATACGATAAACAATCTTGCATAATTATCTTACTCTATTAACCTTTCAAATACATTATTTACAGTGATTAATTATCAAAGGTGAATGGAAAAGGGGAATAACTTCTTTCAGTAGAATACAAATTAATAGAGCCCTGCCCAGAATGCTTAGACGAATGGTCCAGATGTTTAAAAATCTGGTAGAAATACGCTTACTCATATCATTTAAACTTTTACTCAGTTTGCTTCCGATATGCCCAGAAGCAGAGAAGAATTTCACAGGTACAATGCATTTTCACTACAGATTCAACAAAGCCTTACCCTAACACCAGAACCCAAGACCAAGGGTCAAGAAATTTACAAATTTGGAAGAGTTACCCTCATCACCATAACTATGGACTTCAAAGAATTAACACTTTTCCACTATATTATCAAAAGCCCCCCCCCCCCCCCCCATTATGCCAGAACCCCTGACCCTTAGGACCACAAGATTTAAAAATTCTGTTCGAAGCTCCCATTTTCATCATAGTTAAGCAATTTATTTATCAGCTCAACACTAAGGAGCAGACAGGATTAATTAATAGAATTAATGCTTTTTCACTATATAATCAATAGACCCCCCCCCTCCTCAAGAACCCCAAAAACTGAGGCCATATATTTAAAAATTTTGGAAGTGGCATCCTTGTCTATCATAATCATGCACTTAGTTTGTTTAAATAATCTCCAGTAGCAGAGAAGAAGATTTTCAAAGAATCAATGCAATTTCACTATATAATCAATAGAGCCCCGCCCTAACACCAGAACCCCTGACCCTGGGGCCATGAAATTCACAATTTTTGAAAAGGCATCCTTATGCATCATAACGATGCACTTAGTTTGTTTAAATAATACCCAGGAGCAGAGAAGAAGATTTTCGAAGAATTAAAGCATTTTCACTATATAATCAATAGAGCCCCGCCCTAACACCAGAACCCCTGACCCAGGGGCCATGGCTTTCATAATTCTGGAAGACGCCCACCTCCTCATCATAACTATGTACTTAGTTTATCATCTTAATGCCCAGGAGCAGAGGAGAAGATTTTCAAAGAATCAATGCATTTTCACTATATAGTTGATAGAGCCCCGCCCTAACACCAGAACCCCTGACCCTGGGGCCATGAAATTCACAATTTTGGAAGAAGTACTCTTGCTCATTATAACTATGTACTTAGTTACTTTATTAAATATCCAGAAGCAGAGAAGAAGATTTTCAAAGAATTAATGGATTTTCACTATATAATCAATAGAGCCCCGCCCTAACACCAGAACCCCTGACCCAGGGGCCATGAAATTCACAATTTTTGAAAAGGCACTTTTGCTCATCATAACTATATACTTAGTTACTTTATTTAATACCCAGGAGCAAAGAAGAAGATTTTCAAAGAATTAATGCTTTTTCACTATATAATTTATAGAGCCCCGCCCTAACACCAGAACCCCTGACCCTGGGGCCATGAATTTCACAATTTTCGAAGAGGCACTCTTACTCATCATAACTATGTACTTAGTAACTTTATTTAATACCCAGGAGCAGAGAAGAAGATTTTCAAAGAAATAATGCACTTTCACTATATGATCTATATAGCCCCACCCTGGGGCCAGAACCCCTGACCCTGGGGCCATGAATTTCACAATTTTGGTAGAGGGCTCAATGCTTATTACAATGATGCCAACAGTTTGACTGCTTGATGTCCAGGAGTAAAGAAGAAGATTTTTAAAGATTGCATTATTTTTGGTGGTTTTAGCCCCACCCCTCAGGCCCCAGGGGGGCAGGGACCATGAAATTCACAATTTTTGTTCCCCTTCACCCATAGATGCTATATACCAAATTTGATTGAAATTGGTTGAGCGGTTCTAGAGAAGAAGTTAAAAATGTTCAAAAGTTAATGCACGACGGACGACGCACGACGCACGTCGCACGACGACGGACGAAAACAGATAGCAATAGGTCACCTGAGTGACTCAGGTGACCTAAAAAAAAATTGGGGAAGATTCAACATTCACAACAAAGACTTATGTATTTGTTATCTGAAAATTATTCCAAGTACTTTTGATTGGTGAACAAATACATACCTTGGTAAGAATTAAAGCATGAATGTGTGCTGAACAAATATTAACTTCTCGTCGTGATTTTTTTTATTTTTCTTTCTTTGAGCCTCTTACTAACACTGGAACCTATGTCTACAGAGCCTTTTTAAACACCTGAAGCTACATTGTCTTCAAACACCAGCAGAACTTACCCTTGCGAGGACACTAGGACTTATATTGTCATCATCGTCTGAGTCATCAGTCTTGTCATCAGAGACAGAGGAAGATGATTCCTACTCCAGCAGAACTTACCCTTGCGAGGACACTAGGACTTATACTGTTGTCATCATCTGAGTCATCAGTCTCATCGTCGGAGACAGAGGAAGATGATTCGTAGTCCGGTTTCTTTTTGGGTGCGACTCTTCTCTTCTGACTAGACTGAATAAGAAAACAGTTACACTGGGAATAATTAAAATATCTTTAATGATCAACATTTGAATTTTATGTTACCATCTAGAGTAATACATCACTGTCTTTAACCATGGTTTTTACAAAATTGTTATGTCTGATTACCTTAACTACTATTTTTTCTTTAGGTCTGTTTACTCTGACAATGTTTTTTTTTAACATGTTTGTTAGCAGTGACAACAATTTTGTTTTAAATTTCTGGTTAAATTGACAACACTGTATGGTTACCTTGACAACACTGTATGGTTACCTTGACAATACTGTATAGTTACCTTGACAACACTGTATAGTTACCTTGATGACTTTTTTATTTCCTTTAACTTCTTTATCATTTGGAAAAGACGGCAAGTAACCCTTCCTCTTTTTGGGTTTGCTGACATCATTTGGAAAAGACGGCGAGGGGCCCTTCCTCTTTTTGGGTTTGCCGACATCATTTGGAAAAGACGGCGAGGGGCCCTTCCTCTTTTTGGGTTTGCTGATATCATTTAGAAAAGACGGTGAGGGGCCCTTCCTCTTTTTGGGTTTGCTGATATCATTTGGAAAAGACGGCGAGGGGCCCTTCCTCTTTTTGGGTTTGCTGATATCATTTGGAGAAGATGGCAAGGAGTCTTTCCTCTTCTTGGTTTTGCTGGCCTGAAATGAAGACAGTAGAATCTGATTTTACAATCATAAAATTTCTTTGCTTAAAACCAAATTTATATCAAAGTATAGGAATTATTTAGTTTCACTCAAAATTGGACAAGAATCCTGTGATGTTGACCATGATTACCAAAGACAGGCTTCGTGTGTAATGCAATATTTTATATACTGATTTTTGGCATTTTGAGATTAGGGCCTTCCAGGTAAACACAAAAATTGCTCCCTTCTGGCATTTTGAGATTAGTGCCTTCCAGGTTAACACAAAAATTGCCCCCTTTTCTCAGGTAACTGTAAAACACTTGGGGTATAAAAGATTGACAAGTCAATTCTGATGTTGGAAATGAAAATGTTTAAGAACTAAAGTAATAAAATGAAAGAGAAATCACTCAATGCTGCTACCTTGGTTTGTGTCCCTTTGGTTGTCTCCATTCTGGACTTAAGGACGGTTGCTCTATAGACCCTCATCTTTGCGGCTTTTGTAGCATGGCTCTGTCTCTTGACCTTCATGGTTGAATCACCTGTAAATGTTTATACTCTTAAAGACTTCAATATTTTTCTATTCTAATTATACAAGACACATTTACCAGTAAACTACAATTACATGTCGTATAATACTGAGATTTTTTCACCTCAGAGATGGAAATTAAGTAACAAAGTCAATAATTGCAGCCGTTCAACATCCCCATTCTTAATTTAAAAAAGGTACATTTTCCCCATTGAATGTTTTAATTTTGCTAATAGTCATTTCTCCCAAAACTTAAAGAAAATATAATTAGATATATAATAACTATAAACTTGATCCTTACATTCCTCTGTATTGTAGAACAAAAATTTAGTGTTTATACCAAAGACCAGATACTTATTATATCATGATTTGAAAGGATAATGTTTATCCCAAATTTCCCAAAAGATTGCCATTTTCCCAATCTTTATGGCCCCGGCCCCTGTCTGAAACAGTGGTATGAGAGCTCTGCTTTTGATGTAATTTATTGTAAATTTAAACATATTTTTCCAGTATTGTTATTTAACATTGAAGCTTATCTTTAATCAGTAATCAAAATCTCATTTGATTTTGAGTGATAATGGATTATTCATAAGTTTTTGTAACTCATATTACATGTTACTTTTTTTCTAAAATGTCTTTTATGGCATGTCGTATAGTAGTGAGATCTTAAAATTAATGTCATAGCAGTTATGTAATCAGGTATGGAAGCAATGCAAAATCCATAGGCGCAACATCCGTGCGATATGTGGGGTTTTGGGATATCACAGGAGTTGATCAGCAAAGTCAATCCTTCCATTCTTACAAAGCTACTATCTTTTGAACACTTTGTTCCTAGGCAATCCCCAGCAGCATCTAAAAAAAACATTTTGGTCTCTTTTGGGCATTTTCCAGTCTGCACACATAATTTTTCAATAGCTCAATGCTCCAAGGTGTTCAATGACGTTGCCATTTTTGGCTTTGTTTTTACACTTTGATCATTTATAATTAGTGATGAAACAGTCATAACCCCTCCAATTTAATTCAGAATTTCACCAAATGACATTTCATGAATATTGTAGGGATGGTTGAAATATCATAAATCTCCGTGCTACAACAGTACAATTTTTAATTTCAAAAAATTGTCTATTTTATGTAAACATGCGAAAAAAGTGGCACGCTTCGTGAAGCATGTTTTATCTAAATAATGTAGCTGTTTATTTTTTTTATTTAAATTCGAATTCCTGTGAGCAGGGCGAAAGGGGCGAAAATTTCCCCATATACAGTACTTTTCAAGGTTTAAATCATCATGCTCAGGTACTCTCCATAAAGTACTACTGTACAGACTCACAAAACAAGCCATGCTCAGGTACTCTCCATAAAGTACAGACTCATAAATCAAGTCCTGCTCAGGTACTCCCAATAAAGTACAGACTCACAAACCGAGTCATGCTCAGGTACTCTCCATTAAGTAAAGACTCGCATGAGTCACACTCTGGTACTCTCCATAAAGTACAGACTCACAAAACGAGTCATGCTCAGGTACTCTCACAGTCTAACTGGAGTAAATATCCACACTGATGAGTCATGCTCAGGTACTCTCACAGTCTAACTGGAGTAAATATCCACACTGATGAGTCATGCTCAGGTACTCTCACTGGAGTAAATATCCACACTGATGAGTCATGCTCAGGTACTCTCACTGGAGTAAATATCCACACTGATGAGTCATGCTCAGGTACTCTCACTGGAGTAAATATCCACACTGATGAGTCATGCTCAGGTACTCTCACTGGAGTAAATATCCACACTGATGAGTCATGCTCAGGTACTCTCACTGGAGTAAATATCCACACTGATGAGTCATGCTCAGGTACTCTTGCTGGAGTTCAAGCCCACACAATGAGTCAGTGCCTTTTCCATGTTATGGACAATCAGATTTCTGCTCTTAGGAACCTGAGATGAGGTCTGCTCCCTGGCCAAGGGTCTTCTCTAAACAGGTGGTGGCCCTATTAAACATTGGCCAGAAACTTAATAGGAAAACTAGATGCTGATATAGCTCCATCAACGGCCCTACAAGGGATGGCAGACTCTAATGACTACTCTTCTGATGGGGAATCAGGAAAAGACTTACCGTTAGATGAACACTCTATTTCTTGTCTATCCCCTAATTCACTGGTCAATAAATGCTCTCTTTCTTGTGTAATCCCTGATTCACTGGTCGATAAATGCTCTCTTTCTTGTGTAATCCCTAATTCACTGGTAGGTAAACGCTCTCTTTCTTGTGTAATCCCTAATTCACTGGTAGGTAAACCTTCTCTTTCTTGTGTAGTCCCTAATTCACTGGTAGGTAAACGCTCTCTTTCTTGTGTAATCCCTAATTCACTGGTAGGTAAACCTTCTCTTTCTTGTGTAGTCCCTAATTCACTGGTAGGTAAACGCTCTCTTTCTTGTGTAATCCCTAATTCACTGGTAGGTAAACCTTCTCTTTCTTGTGTAGTCCCTAATTCACTGGTAGGTAAACGCTCTCTTTCTTGTGTAATCCCTAATTCACTGGTAGGTAAACCTTCTCTTTCTTGTGTAGTCCCTAATTCACTGGTAGGTAAACGCTCTCTTTCTTGTGTAATCCCTAATTCACTGGTAGGTAAACGCTCTCTTTCTTGTGTAATCCCTAATTCACTGGTAGGTAAACCTTCTCTTTCTTGTGTAGTCCCTAATTCACTGGTAGATAAATGCTCTTTTTCTTGTGTTTCTTGTGTAGTCCCTAATTCATTCGTAGATAAACGCCCTCTACTTTGTCTCTTCCTTAGTTTGTCTTTTAGGCGTTTTGCTCGGTCTGTAAATTTTCTCCTTCTCTTTTTCTTTGTCATCTATAAAACAAAGGAAAAAAATACATGTACTGAATTTCCTATAAATGAATGGCAAAAATTTAATTAATTTAAAAGCAATGAATTATTCATTTTTTGAAAGATGTCATCTCATACCTACAGGGGAGTGTGCATATTTTGAAAAATTGCTTTCATGTAACATTGCAGTCATGAGACTACACTGTTTAAAAAAAGAAAAAAACATGGCCGTAGTAGTTTCCAAGCCCCTCCCAATAATAATTTCCACATTTAGTATTCTATAGAAAACAAAGCTACTTTACTGACCTGATGTGCCCCCTTAATAATTGTGTATGATGTCCTTTTCCGCTTGTCAAGGAATTTTTGCTTGGTAGAGCACACCCAACATTGCCCAAACTTTGGCTATCTCCCCCTCTCCCAAATTTATTTCCAAATATGATATTCAATAGAAAACAAACCTACTTGGCTGATGTGCCCCCCTAATGATTAGGTATAATGACTTTTCAAGGAATTTTTGCTTGAACATGTTGATACAATGTAGCATGAACTTTGTCCTCTCCTCCCTGCGACTGAAATCGCTTCCTATGGGCTTGATTTTCAGTATTCCTTTGCTTATGTTTACATTTTTTTAACTCCCTGTCTTGTCTGCAAATATGATTTCGATTTCAAAATCCCTGTTTTATCTTTTGGGTAAGTTACAATTAAAGAGCCACTTCAGCACTTCTATGAACCAATCAATGTGAGCATGAATTTTGGCTTTTGAAATTGTCTTGTATGTCTTTCAATATTTGTAACATCAAAATAAAAACAATAACTTAAGCTTTTGACCTCCCTGCCCATTTTATGGTGTTTTGAAAGCCAAAACTTTCCAAACATTTTATGAGGGACATTAAATAAATGATGTCATCAATCAGATTCCATTAAAAAGGTTTTTTTTCTGCTCTCAATTTAGTTCATAATCTATTTAATGGCTGTTTCCTTGACCAGGTTTTATCAAATACTCCTCTGAAAAGCTGATATATAATGCCTATTTAAGACAATCTATGTGACTGGTAGGTCATCTTCCAACAATACTGAAATTAGAGGCTACACCACTTACATCATATGTCATATTCTTTTTGCTTCCAAGGTGCCAAAGAGCAGAGAAGAAGATTATCAAAAAAAGAATGCATTTTCACTATAGATTACCCTAACACCAAAGCCCCTGATCCAGGGACCAAGAAATTTTTAATTTTGGAAGACGCACCCTTGCTTATCATAACCATGGACTAAGTATGTTGCTAAATATCCATGCTAAATATCCATGGGCAGAGAAGAAGATTTTTAAGGAAATTGTGCATTTTAACAACTGAAAAAGTGGTTAAATTGAAGGGTTGGAAGTTTGATGATTAGCATTAAGCAGTGCTATTTAACAGGAATGTGAAAGTTGATGAGTGAAAACTTTGATGATCATTAGAAATTCATCAATTTTGTCAACGTTTCCTCATCCTGAAAGAGTTGGATCAAAGTTGCAAGTGTAATTTGTGTGAATCTGGGCTCGCCCATACAGTCCTCCAGTAAAACATTTATCTGCAGTGTATTTTAAAAAAAAAAGTAAGCAGAAGCAGAGACATAAATAACAAAGATTATTTATCAGGTCCAGTACAATCAGTATATTTAGCTACATAGCTAGAATTACATAGCTTTATTTAGCTATTTCAATGCAACTTTTCACAATTTTGCTTTTATTTAAAAAAAAGACAAAAAATTTCAAGTATATGACTACTAATATTTATACTAAAGATTTTTTAAAAAGGCAATCCAAAGCAGAAATAGTTTAAACATTGCTGCGTTTGAACACCTTTAAGCAAAAGATGTTTTTCCATTATTTACATTTGCAATTATTTTTCTTAGATGAACCTATTGAAGAGAAAAATATGTTCAATTCTGTATGAACTTATTAGGGGGTCAGAGGTCATGGCTTGACCGAATCACACAGCGAGATGATATCTTGTCTACATATTTCTGTCCCGGTAACACTGGTTTCGGAACTTCTAAGCCGTTAAAGTGATGAAAAATATAAAATTATTGAAACATATATGTTTTTCTTTGTTCAACAAACAATCATTAGTTCTTTCTTTGATGTGAAGAATGTTTTTAATTAGCCTAAAATCACGCTTTAAAATACCTTTTTAACCCGAAATTCCTTTGAAGGTATGTAAACTGAAGACGATAGCACCGCTTTTGACTTCATATATTAAGAACTCATACAATAATAGTAAGATTATTCTCAGTAGCAATCATGGATTTTTCATTATGAATAGATATATCCTGAACTGGACTGCTGAACGTCAATGTTAGTATTCAAATGTTGGAGCGAGGCGAACTTTCAAGACCAAACAGCTTCTAGATCATTGCGCATCACAACGTAGCAATACGGCAGGCCATTCATGTAATAAATGCAGTTCTTTTCAGAATATTCATCTCAAATGTAAATAAAAGTAATAAACAACGTTAAAAAGTTCACTGGGAAATGAACTTGGGTGGTACGTGATCAAATCTTCTGAGAAGCCCTTTGGGCTTCACAGGATTTTATCACATGACCAACCAAGTTCATTTCTCAGAGAACTTTTTAACATTGTTGTTTATTTCTTAAATGTTTAACTGTACATCACTTTCACTTTGTGTGCGGTGAGGCATGGATAAGTATTATTACTTCACATTGTGCTGAATAATTACCAATCAATTATCATGTTAACCAGAACTGGTTTTCTTTGTCATTTCATTCAAGAAGTAACTGTTTGGTCACAAATTATAAACTGTTTCATATAACTCCAACACTTTTAGAACACCGATTGCAATTGCGCAGAAAAAGATACATCTTCAAGAGTGATTTTTTTTTATGAATTGTTTTCAGATGAGTTTCAAGATGAAGATTATCACTGCATCAATTTTATGCACATCCTGAGAAAAATGCTAACTTAAGAAATAAGTATGATTTAGTAGCTAAATAAAGCAACTTCAGGTAGGTAAATAATTCAAGCTATGTAGCTAAATCTAGTGATTGTAGCAGACATGTTTATGTCTCTGGTAGAAGCAGCAACTTCTAGTAGATTTAAATACCTAAGTAGCTTTTAATGGCTACGTAGGTAGAAAATGTCTTTAGACTCGACCTGTTCAAAGACCAAAAGTGAAAAACAAAACAAGTCTTCAGCTGGTCTACCTTGCTTGAAATCTTCGTATCTTATGGCTAGTTAATTAAACGAAACAGTTAATTATGTTCTATGGTAGAAGTTATATATAATTCAATTACAGAAATAGAATACACTGTACAGTACTAGCAGTACGTACGGATTTCACTTTGACTTCGACTTCCATCATAAGCTAGACCATCATGCAAAATAAGGAGGTATAATATGTATGCTGTTTTGGATCTCGTAACCAGCCTCTATAACCAGGCAGAGCGCATGCGTGAAATAATTTTCCATCGAGATCGGAAAACAGCAGAGAGGAAATTCGGAATATATAATGGAAACTAGTAATGCGGAATGATACTATAGTCAGATGCAGAAATTTTTGCATAATTCGATCAACTTTTATTTAAAAAAGCAGAAGAATAAATGAATCAACTTTACAGTTAGTTTTTATTTATTTATTTATTTATTTATTTATTTATTTATTTATTTATTTATTTATTTATTTATTTATTTATTTATTTATTTATTTATTTATTTATCATTCTTATAATTAATTAACTAAGTAACTGATTAATTTATTAAAAAATATATATTTGTATTTTTTTTTTAAATTCATTTATAACATTCTTTCCTTCATTTATTAATTATTCCATCCATTAATTAATTATCTATTAATTAATTCATTGATTTATTAATTTGTATGCATGTTTATTTATTTATTTATTTATTTATTTATTTATTATTCTAATAATTAAGTAATTGATTAATTCATTAAGAAGTTCATTTATTTGTTTGTTTATTTATTTATTATATTCATTCCTTCATTTATTTCGTATTCTATTTATTTATTTATTTATTATTTATCTATTTATTTATGCATTCATTTATTCGTATTTTTATTTATTTCTTTATTTTTTATTTCTTTATTGATTGATTGATTTATTTTTGCATTTATTTATTGATTTATTTATGCATTTATCATATATTTCTTTTATAAATTAATTATTTTTACGGGTTTGTATACTTATTACCAGGGTCTGTTTATGTATTGCCATAGTTTGTATACCATCACCAGGGTCTATATACCTATCACCAGGGTCTGTATACCTATCACCAGGGTCTGTATACCTATCACCAGGGTCTGTGTACCTATCACTAGGGTCTGTATACCCATCACCAGGGTCTGTATACCCATCACCAGGGTCTGTATACCCATCACCAGGGTCCGTTTTATCTATCACCAGGGTCTATATACCTATCACCAGGGTCTGTATACCCATCACCAGGGTCTGTATACTTATCACCAGGGTCTATGTACTTATCACCAGGGTCTATATACCCATCACCAGGGTCTGTATACCCATCACCAGGGTCTGTATACCCATCACCAGGGTCCGTTTTATCTATCACCAGGGTCTATAAACCTATCACCAGGGTCTGTATACCCATCACCAGGGTCTGTATACTTATCACCAGGGTCTATGTACCTATCACCAGGGTTTATATACCCATCACCAGGGTCTGTATACCCATCACCAGTGTCTGTATTATCTATCACCAGGGTCTTTATACCCATCACCAGGGTCTGTATACCCATCACCAGGGTCTGTATACCTATCACCAGAGTCTATATACCCATCACCAGGGTCTGTATTATCTACCAGCAAGGTCTGTATACCCATCACCAGGGTCTGTATACCTAGCACCAGGGTCTGTATACCCATCACCAGGTCCTGTATACCCATCAACAGGGGCTGTATTCCCATCACCAGGGTCTGTATACCTAGCACCAGGGTCTGTATTATCTATCACCAGGGTCTGTATACCCATCACCAGGGTCTGTATATC